TTGAGCTTCGGGTACGCTTACAACCAAAGCTTGGAGAGTATGGCGCTTGCCCGGCAGCTTGCAGTCCTTGAGTTCCGGGTGCGCTTACAATCAGAGCTTACGTTTGCCTGGCAGCTTGGCGGAGACCCAGTTGCCCAACACCTTGGACCTGAATGTGACGTTTGCCTGGCAGCTTGCAGTCCCTGAGTTGCGTGACGTTTGCCTGGCAGCTTGCAGCCCTTGAGCTTCGGGCACGCTTACAACCAGAGCTTGGAGAATGTGACGTTTGCCTGGCAGGAACATTTGAAGCATGAATGCGCACATGCCCGGCAGCTTGCAGTCCTTGAGTTCCGGGTGCGCTTACAATCAGAGCTTACGTTTGCCTGGCAGCTTGGCGGAGATCCAGTTGCCCAACACCTTGGACCTGAATGTGACGTTTGCCTGGCAGCTTGCAGTCCCTGAGTTGCGTGACGTTTGCCTGGCAGCTTGCAGTCCTTGAGCTTCGGGCATGCTTACAACCAGAGCTTGGAGAATGTGACGTTTGCCTGCCAGGAACATTTGAAGCATGAATGAGCACATGACTCATGACATGGGGCATGCGAGGTTGACATTTGATGTCTCATGTTGCACTCCATTCAGTTGCGTTTTCTAACCCTAAACCCTAAGTCATCTTCTACCACATCGCCACGGTGTTCGACTTTGGTGTCTTGCTGGAGCATGACATTCCCCGGAAGAGCATCAATGTGATGCCCATATGGCTTGTGTGACGTTTGCCTGCAGTCCGTGAGCTTCGGATACGCTTGCAACCAGAGTTTGGGCAATGTGACGTTTGCCTGGCAGCTTGCAGTCCTTGAGCTTCGTGACGTTTGCCTGGCAGCTTGCAGTCCTTGAGGCAACCAGAGCTTGACGAGTGTGACGTTTGCCTGGCAGCTTGCAGTCCTTGAGATTCGTGACGTTTGCCTGGCAGCTTGCAGTCCTTGAGCTTCGGGTACGCTTACAACCAAAGCTTGGACAGTATGGCGCTTGCCCGGCAGCTTGCAGTCCTTGAGTTCCGGGTACACTTACAATCAGAGCTTACGTTTGCCTAGCAGCTTGGCGGAGATCCAGTTGCCCAACACCTTGGACCTGAATGTGACGTCTGCCTGGCAGCTTGCAGTCCCTGAGTTGCGTGACGTTTGCCTGGCAGCTTGCAGTCCTTGAGCTTCGGGCATGCTTACAACCAGAGCTTGGAGAATGTGACGTCATCTTCTACCACATCGCCACGGTGTTCGCCTTTGGTGTCTTGCTGGAGCATGACATTCCCCGGAAGAGCATCAATGTGATGCCCATGTGGCCATATGGCTTGCGTGACGTTTGCGAGCTTTGGGTACGCTTGCAACCAGAGTTTGGACAATGTGACGTTTGCCTGGCAGCTTGCAGTCCTTGAGCTTCGTGACGTTTGCCTGGCAGCTTGCAGTCCTTGAGGCAACCAAAGCTTGGAGAGTGTGACCACGTCTTCCAGCAGCAGTACGACATCCACGACAGAACAGCAGGGAAACCTCGACAAGTACGTGGACCTGGATTTCCTGTGTGATTGAACGCGCAGACAACGCCCCGAAAGGGGTGTGTGTGGCACACCGCTGTACATGCGGGTTCGTGAACAAGCAGGAGCATGTTGTGATGATGATGAAGTTCGTGATTTTGAGTACATCAACATGTTTTCGTTCGGAAATCAGCAGGGGGCCGAGGAGAGTGTGGACTGGGGTGTGGGGGTCCTCGGCCAACGAAGACGCCCCCACACCCCACCCACACTCTGTGTAAACGTACCTGCGCTTCAACATTTCTTTTTTCGTTTTGCATGATGCATGGCTGAACACTTGGTGACAACGCAGATTTTGCATAAAGCATGGATGAATTCTTTGAGTTTGACGTTTGACACGGAGTTCTGCCAGAACCTGGAGGCAATCCGACTGCTCAACACCTTGCAGACGTTAACGTTCAGCGCAGAGTTCCATCAGAGCTTGGAAGGGGTCCAGCTGCCCAGCAACCTGCAGACGTGGACGTGCGGTTTTGCGTCTTTCCAACCAGAGCTTGGAGGAGATTTAGCTGCCCAACGCCCTGCCGATGCTGAAGTTCGGTGCAAAGTGCTTGGCGGAGATCCAGCTGCCCAACACCTCGCAGACCTGGAGCATGTGAAGCATAAGCGTGTGGAGCAGGAAGTGGTGCATGAGCATGTTGGAGTGGTTGAGCACGCACAGTGTGTGAGCATGTGGACGGGATGAACAGACATGAGTGATCGAGCATGACTAGCGTTTGAACATGTGGAAGAGCTGAGCAGACATGAGTGATTGAGCATGTTCGGTGTTTGAGCATGTGGTGGAGATGAGCAGCTTTGAGTGAATGAGCATGAGCAGTGTGAGAGCGTGTGAATGGCGTGATTCACGTGCAAGTGTGGGAAGTTTTACTTACTCACATAAAGCTCCATTCGTGAAGTTCTTTGCCATCTCCATGGATGATCGCCTCGGTGGCTTGCTAGAGCATCTCTACCTTCGGAGCATCTCCATCTACCAGTTTATGTGGAAACACTAAAACAAAACGTTTTTTTGGGGGGGTGGGGTGGTGTGTGGTGTGTGCCTGTGTGTATGCTCGTGCGTGCGTCTGTGGTGTGTGTGTGTGTGAGTAGTGTGAGTCTCTGTGTGTGTGGTGTGTATGGTGTGTGTAGTGTGTGTGCTGTGTCTTGTGGTGGTGTGTGTTGTATCTGTCTGTGGTGTGTCTTGTCTGTGTGCCTGTGTGTCTGTGTGTCTGTGTGTCTGTGTGTCTGTGTGTCTGTGTGTCTGTGTGTCTGTGTGTCTGTGTGTCTGTGTGTCTGTGTGTCTGTGTGTGTGTGTGTGTCTCTGTGTGTGTGTGTGTGTGCGTGTGTGCGTCTGTGTGTGTGTGTGTCTCTGTGTGTGTGTGTGTGTCTCTGTCTCTGTGTGTGTGTGTGTCTCTGTCTGTGTGTCTCTGTCTCTCTGTCTCTCTGTCTCTGTCTCTGTCTCTGTCTCTGTCTCTGTCTCTGTCTCTGTCTCTGTGTCTGTCTCTGTGTCTGTCTCTGTGTCTGTCTCTGTGTCTGTCTCTGTGTCTGTCTCTGCGTGTGTCTCTGCGTGTGTCTCTGCGTGTGTCTCTGTGTCTGCCTGTCTGCCTGTCTGCCTGTCTGCCTGTCTGCCTGTCTCTCTGTCTCCGTGTCTCCCCGTCTCCCGGTCTCCCGGTCTCCCTGTCTCTCTCTGTCTCTCTCTGTCTCTCTCTGTCTCTCTCTGTCTCTCTCTGTCTCTCTCTGCCTCTCTCTGCCTCTCTCTGCCTCTCTCTGCCTCTCTCTGCCTCTCTCTGCCTCTCTCTGCCTCTCTCTGCCTCTCTCTGCCTCTCTCTGCCTCTCTCTGCCTCTCTCTGCCTCTCTCTGCCTCTCTCTGCCTCTCTCTGCCTCTCTCTGTCTCTCTCTGTCTCTCTCTGTCTCTCTCTGTCTCTCTCTGTCTCTCTCTGTCTCTCTCTGTCTCTCTCTGCCTCTCTCTGCCTCTCTCTGCCTCTCTCTGCCTCTCTCTGCCTCTCTCTGCCTCTCTCTGCCTCTCTCTGCCTCTCTCTGCCTCTCTCTGCCTCTCTCTGCCTCTCTCTGTCTCTCTCTGTCTCTCTCTGTCTCTCTCTGTCTCTCTCTGTCTCTCTCTGTCTCTCTCTGTCTCTCTCTGTCTCTTCCTGCCTTCCTTCCAGGCGTAAGGTTCCCCCCGAAAGGAGAACCGCCCCAAGGGGCAGTTCGTTCGTCGGTGTGAAATGATGTGACCCCCCCTGTGTGTTGCAGTGGGGGTACGAAAACAGGGTGGAACCCGATCAGCCATGATATGGGAAACATAAGCAACCAAGACTGCGATATACGAAGCGCGGTTCCCCCAGAACGAAGTGCCCAGCAAAAACGTGCTTTCCCAGATGCCTCTGTTGGGTGGACCTGGGTCTACAGATATGTATCGTGGAGTGGAGTGAAACCGCCCTGAATTGGAGCCGTGGCACTTGATATCACGAAATGTGAAATGTGAGATTCCCCCCACTACGGTTTCGGCAGTGGCTAGGGAAAACGGAGCGCCTATTTTGAAGTTAGAATACTGGTCCAGCAGGATGGCTTGGACAAAAGCGGGTTGAAAGAGTGCCTATTCAATGTCCCCCTCCCCAACAACCGAAGAACCCCCACAATCACCTACCAGCACCCGGGACCCACGAGGGGAGGAAGGACAGGTTGGAATCGTTCCCTCTTATACTTAAAGAAACTGTTATGACCCTCATTTTGCTTCTCACGGCTGCGAAGGTTCAGTTGAAGTGGAAGTGAAAGCAAGGAGGTAGTCGATGGTGAAGGTTGTGTTGCTTCTCGTGGCTGCGAAGGTTCCGTGGTTGAAGTGGAGGTGATATCGTGGTGGCAGTCGATGATGAAGGGCTGTGTTCATCTGCGCTTTGGTGGGTGCTTTGGTGTCGTCGTCGCCACCCTTCGAATCTGGTTCGCGAGGTCTTCCCATCTTGTCGGCGAGGTCGTGGGAGAGGGTGCCATGCTGGTTGGGTTTTTGTTGTTGCCATTGTAGCCCCCATATTCGAGCCAACTCGGTCGTGCTCCCTTTTCCTCTTCCTCTGCAGTGGTGGGCGTGCATCGTGGTCCTCTTGTTCCCAGTGGCTGCCTTCTTCTTCTTGCCCCCCATGGCTTTCCCAATGACGAGTGCCCGACGGTATTTCACATGGCGCACTCTCATGTCTCTGCTCCCACCGAGTGCCCGATGGTGTTTCACACGGTGCACTCCCATATACTGTCATCGGCTTCTTGGTTGTGTGATGTGGTGGTGGAAGAGCTCCTGCTGGGTGTTGTCGCATGTGTTGCATAGCTGAGGGTTGGTGCGATGTTCTCGTCTTGGCGCCCACTGTTGGTGGTGTAGGAGAAGTGGTAGTCGGCGATGTGGTAGTCGAAGTTGTGGCACCCCGATGTAGTTGTATATTCCTCTGTTTCCACCAGGATTTGAGGTGTGGATGTGGTACTGCAGGGCTTATGGGTCCATCATCTCCCGGGTCCACTTGTACTTCTTCATATTCTTCGTCCATTGGTGGGTGGGTTGCTTCTTCATTGGCTCTTGGGTGTTCTTGTCGTCTTGCAGTTTGTCCTCCCTTCTCCCATGGCTTTCGGCTGGGGTGTGGTGGCGATGTCGGTCTTTGTTCCCCTTTTGCCGCCTTGTACGTCTCCCTTTCTCTCATGCTTGGATTGGTCCGTCCAGCGACGTCGTTGCCCCCCAAGCCCTCGTGCCCTTTTCTTTCTTCGTTCAGGTTCTCCCGGTCGTCGTGCCTCACCTTCTCCTTGTGTGCGTCTTCATCGATGTCACGGGTGGGCGAGCTGGCCGATGGTTTTTCACATGGCCTTGCCCCCCTGTCTTTGGTTTTGGTGGCTTCTGCTTCTGATTCGCTTGTGACCCCCCAGTCCGGCTTGTCCAGGTCAAGCGTCTCCCCGTCTTCCATTTGTTCTTCGCGGTGAGGTGATAGGGGTCTCATGACGTTGAGGGTGGCTTGAAACCATTGGGAGATCTCATCCGCGGTGGTTGTAGGGGAGTTGATGCGCTCGGCAATTTCCTGCACCTGTTGGGGGGTGAGCTGGGCGGCCACCCAGATGATGGCCTTCCCCATGTAGTCCAGCGCCAGGTCGATGGGGTCGATCCCCTCGTCATGCTCCCCCATGGCGGTGGTGCGCGGCGAATCCATGGCGGTTCAGTGTTGGGTGTTGTGAAGGACTGGTAAGGGTGAGGCATGCAGTGGTACAAGGGCAGTGGCAAAGTGGAAGGTCCTGGCAAAGACTGAAAGGCCTGGGCAACATGAATGTCGGGAAAGTAGATTTAGTGCTGTATGCGATGCGCCTCCCTCAGCTCCTTTCGCTCGGCTTTTAAGGTGAAAATCCCTCGAAGCAAAGGCACCTTTCCTGGAATGTCCCCCTGAACGAAAACCTTACAAAGCGGGTAGGGTGGCCGGCGAGAGGTTAAGAGGTTTGAGCCTGCGGCGCGGCTGACTCAAGCCGGGGCTTGGGGGCGGGTTCCTCCCCCCGACTAAGCGACGGGGCGGACGAGGACGAGGCAAAACCCGCTGAATCGGACATGGGGGCAAAGAAGGCCAAGAAGACAGACGCTAGCGGCGACCGACGACATCCCCGACTACACGATTCACCACCAGAACATGGCAGAGACTCCAGACGTAGACGCACACATGAGGGAGCAAGTAGTGATTGACTAAGGTGCTGAGGCCCGGGGGACTGAACACACATCCTGCAGTAACCGTACTTACATGCTAACACCCCTTGTTTGAACCAAGCCTTTTCTCTCTGCGGGGGCCAAGCCAGCACACACAAAGGGGGGAGAACAGCTCTCTGTCTCTCTCTGTCTCTCTCTGTCTCTCTCTGTCTCTCTCTGTCTCTCTCTGTCTCTCTCTGTCTCTCTCTGTCTCTCTCTGTCTCTCTCTGTCTCTCTCTGTCTCTTTCTTTCTTTCTTTCGTTGGGGCATGGGGGTGACCCCCCGCGCAGGTGCGCGCCCCCGTCCGTTTGCGTCTCAGTGCTCGCTAAAACTCGCGCGCAGCCGTATTGGCCGCCTCTCTGTCTCTCTCTGTCTCTCTCTGTCTCTGTCTGTCTCTGTCTGTCTCTCTCTGTCTCTCTCTGTCTCTCTCTGTCTCTCTCTGTCTCTCTCTGTCTCTCTCTGTCTCTCTCTGTCTCTCTCTGTCTCTCTCTGTCTCTCTCTGTCTCTCTCTGTCTCTCTCTGTCTCTCGCTTCTTCTCTGTCTCTCTCTGTCTCTCTCTCTTCTCTCTGTGTCTCTGTGTCTCTGTGTCCCTGTGTCTCTGTGTCCCTGTGTCCCTGTGTCCCTGTGTCCCTGTGTCCCTGTGTCCCTGCGTCCCTGTGTCCCTGCGTCCCTGGGTCTCTGTGTCTCTGTGTCTCTGTGTCTCTGTGTCTCTGTGTCTCTGTGTCTCTGTGTCTCTGTGTCTCTGTGTCTCTGTGTCTCTGTGTCTCTGTGTCTCTGTGTCTCTGTGTCTCTGTGTCTCTGTGTCTCTGTGTCTCTGTTTCTCTGTGTCTCTGTGTCTCTGTGTCTCTGTGTCTCTGTGTCTCTGTGTCTCTGTGTCTCTGTGTCTCTGTGTCTCTGTGTCTCTGTGTCTCTGTGTCTCTGTGTCTCTGTGTCTCGGTGTCTCTGTGTCTCTGTGTCTCTGTGTCTCTGTGTCTCTGTGTCTCTGTGTCTCTGTGTCTCTGTGTCTCTGTGTCTCTGTGTCTCTGTGGCTCTGTGTCTCTGTGTCTCTGTGTCTCTGTGTCTCTGTGTCTCTGTGTCTCTGTGTCTCTGTGTCTCTGTGTCTCTGTGTCTCTGTGTCTCTGTGTCTCTGTGTCTCTGTGTCTCTGTGTCTCTGTGTCTCTGTGTCTCTGTGTCTCTGTGTCTCTGTGTCTCTGTGTCTCTGTGTCTCTGTGTCTCTGTGTCTCTGTGTCTCTGTGTCTCTGTGTCTCTGTGTCTCTGTGTCTCTGTGTCTCTGTGTCTCTGTGTCTCTGTGTCTCTGTGTGTGTGTGTGTGTGTGTCCAACCCTGTAGCCAAGGGTTTCAACCGTCGACCTCATTTCTTTTGTGCAGGGGGGCAGAGGGGGTGTGGGGGGGCTCTGCCCAACGAAGCTCCTCCTCACACCCCAGGAAAACGTACCTGCTTGTCTGCGCCTGGGCCCCGTTGTGGGCAGCTGGCGGGACATTCATTTCATTTCCCTGTCAACACCAGTTTGAAACATCAGCGGTATTCAGGAGCATGATGTACTTCAGTGACAGCAGGCTTAGCCTGTCTAAGCTGATGTGGCTCGCAGATCGGAGGTACCAGTATTGGCTGTCAGGAAGGTTGCTTGAGTGTGTTCCAGGCAGTGTAGGGCTAGTCCCTACGTCTTTCAGAGTGCTGCCTGCGGCGGGGTGGCCCGTGCAGTATCCTGCAGATTTCGTCATGACGAAGCAGGGACCCATCCTGCAGACTTGGATGATGTGCAGGGCCGTTGATGCTGTTTGCTGTTTGCTGTTTGTTGTACGGTGGTATTCTGGCACAAATCAGAGGTCTTTATGACTTACCCTCCTGCAGCCATCAGGTGTTGACGTTTTTTTCGAGTAGTGTAGATCCCGTCCTTTGTTCTCCAAGCATGTCTTGGTCTGGACAAAACTGGAACTCCCAACAGCAGCAGCCGCGTGAGTGGCAGAAAAAAGAAGTTCTTGCTACGACAGCTGGCAACAGGACGATCAGAACAGTGAGCGGGATTCGTTTTTTCCGAAAGGTGCAGACGTCGAGCCTGTGCGTTTAAAACGCCGTCGTCGGAAGCGGTAGTTTTGGCTTGTCCTGTTGTGCATTTCCCGCGGGTCCGCCTAAGGCGCCGGCAGAGTGGGCCGCATGGGTCCATGGCACAGATGTAAAAGGTGCCCAAGGCATCCTAGCGGTGCAATAAAGCCTTTAGGCAACTTGGCCTTCTTGGCTTCGTGTGTGTGTCCAACCCTGTAGCCAAGGGTTTCAACCGTCGACCTCATTTCTTTTGTGCAGGGGGGCAGAGGGGGTGTGGGGGGGCTCTGCCCAACGAAGCTCCTCCCCACACCCCAGGAAAACGTACCTGCTTGTCTGCGCCTGGGCCCCGTTGTGGGCAGCTGGCGGGACATTCATTTCATTTCCCTGTCAACACCAGTTTGAAACATCAGAGGTATTCAGGAGCATGATGTACTTCAGTGACAGCAGGCTTAGCCTGTCTAAGCTGATGTGGCTCGCAGATCGGAGGTACCAGTATTGGCTGTCAGGAAGGTTGCTTGAGTGTGTTCCAGGCAGTGTAGGGCTAGTCCCTACGTCTTTCAGAGTGCTGCCTGCGGCGGGGTGGCCCGTGCAGTATCCTGCAGATTTCGTCATGACGAAGCAGGGACCCATCCTGCAGACTTGGATGATGTGCAGGGCCGTTGATGCTGTTTGCTGTTTGCTGTTTGTTGTACGGTGGTGTTCTGGCGCAAATCAGAGGTCTTTATGACTTACCCTCCTGCAGCCATCAGGTGTTGACGTTTTTTTCGAGTAGTGTAGATCCCGTCCTTTGTTCTCCAAGCATGTCTTGGTCTGGACAAAACTGGAACTCCCAACAGCAGCAGCCGCGTGAGTGGCAGAAAAAAGAAGTTCTTGCTACGACAGCTGGCAACAGGACGATCAGAACAGTGAGCGGGATTCGTTTTTTCCGAAAGGTGCAGACGTCGAGCCTGTGCGTTTAAAACGCCGTCGTCGGAAGCGGTAGTTTTGGCTTGTCCTGTTGTGCATTTCCCGCGGGTCCGCCTAAGGCGCCGGCAGAGTGGGCCGCATGGGTCCATGGCACAGATGTAAAAGGTGCCCAAGGCATCCTAGCGGTGCAATAAAGCCTTTAGGCAACTTGGCCTTCTTGGCTTCGTGTGTGTGTCCAACCCTGTAGCCAAGGGTTTCAACCGTCGACCTCATTTCTTTTGTGCAGGGGGGCAGAGGGGGTGTGGGGGGGCTCTGCCCAACGAAGCTCCTCCCCACACCCGAGGAAAACGTACCTGCTTGTCTGCGCCTGGGCCCCGTTGTGGGCAGCTGGCGGGACATTCATTTCATTTCCCTGTCAACACCAGTTTGAAACATCAGAGGTATTCAGGAGCATGATGTACTTCAGTGACAGCAGGCTTAGCCTGTCTAAGCTGATGTGGCTCGCAGATCGGAGGTACCAGTATTGGCTGTCAGGAAGGTTGCTTGAGTGTGTGTGTGTGTGTGTGTGTGTGTGTGTGTGTGTGTGTGCGCGTGTGCGTGTGTGTGTGTGTGTGTGTGTGTGTGTGTGTGTGTGTGTGTGTGTGTGTGTGTGTGTGTGTTGTGTGTGTTGTGTGTGTGTTGTGTGTGTTGTGTGTGTGTGTGTGTGTTGTGTGTGTGTGTGTGTTGTGTGGGTTGTGTGTGTTGTGTGTGTTGTGTGTGTTGTGTGTGTTGTGTGTGTTGTGTGTGTTGTGTGTGTTGTGTGTGTTGGGTGTGTTGTGTGTGTTGTGTGTGTTGTGTGTGTTGGGTGTGTTGGGTGTGTTGTGTGTGTTGTGTGTGTTGTGTGTGTTGTGTGTGTTGTGTGTGTTGTGTGTGTTGTGTGTGTTGTGTGTGTTGTGTGTGTGTGTGTTGTGTGTGTTGTGTGTGTTGTGTGTGTTGTGTGTGTTGTGTGTGTTGTGTGTGTTGTGTGTGTTGTGTGTGTGTTGTGTGTTGTGTGTGTGTGTGTGTTGTGTGTGTTGTGTGTGTTGTGTGTGGTGTGTGTGTTGTGTGTGTGTGTTGTGTGTTGTGTGTGTGGGTGGCAGGGGCACCTTGTTTTTTGTGATTGATCTTCGAGTTGGGCTTGTGCAGGCCATGAAGCTTCTTGTGCAATCCAACACCAAGAGTGCGCACTGGCGAAACTGTTGGATGGATGCAGATGCCCAAGATGCACAGCGATGTGTTTCCGAAGACCCTTTCTCCATCAGCTGCAGTGCGAGCTTCGATTGAGGATGATGACTTAGATGAGTTGTACGAAGATGTGGTGGACTCGTCAAAGCCCCAAGCAATGTCTCTGCCTCGTCAGACCTGAGATGATCGTTATCTTTATTCCCAGGCTGCAGGAAGCGCTCAGGGACTCTAGGCTTAACCCAGAGCTCCGGCACCGCCGGTGACCGAGCGAAGGCTTCCGGAGTGCGGGGCACCTTTGCTCGTTATTTTTGTTAGCCGAGCCAAGGTCTTGAAGTGTGTCGCCGCGTCATGCGGGAATGCCACATACTCATCCGCCCCTTTCATGAACTCCCCTCGGGCACCCGCGGGTCATGCAGGTGAGGACAGCTACTGCAAAGACTTGTGGGCCCGAGCCTTATCCCGACATTGTGCGTTCACAGGCTAGAATCGGCTCGAATCGGCTAGAGTCGGTTAGCAGTCTAGAAGTGCAAGACGCTGAAGGCACAAGAAGACCGTGGCGAGCGGCGCCGCAGAAGAGAGGAGCCGGCGGAGCCAAGCCCGAACACTTCTTCACCCGAGTATCCATGGCGCAGCGCAACGTCTTTCTGATTGAGTCCACCTACCTGATTTTTTGATGAACTTGTTTCGTAACCGGAGGATGGATCCAGCGATGAAGGTGGTTCTCCGTGTTCAGAAGGCCAAGGGGTCTAAACTTAGGTTGCATCCAAAGCCGACACACACACATGTGTCATCACAGGTCAACGAGTGTCATGTTTTGCTTTCACAGCTTTGACGACTTGTGACTACCACGCAGGCCCTTGCAAGAAGGTGCGATCCGAGAAGCTGGGGCCCATGACTATTTGCTCTTACTAATGTTGTACCCTGTCTAGTGTGTGGCCCCCCCCCTCCCCTCCGCCTCCCTCAGAACAGTCGAAGCTGGTTACTGTTTTGTTTATACGGTCCACGGGCTTTTTGTGATTTTTATTAGGGAGGAGTTTAGATAAGTTTAGAAGCGACCGCGATGCCCGGCAATTGATTTAAACGCTCTTCTAACGACGCCCAGACGATTTGACTTTATTGCGGACCCCACCCTGCACCCCCAAACAGTCAGGGTGTCCTGAATAGCCCTGCGAAATTGACTTTATTCCGGAGGCCCTTAACATTACTTCGCTCGAATACACTCTGTTTCCTGAGAAGGTGTTGAGATTGTCGGAGAAAGCATGCTCAGAAACATCCGAAAGCATGTCGAGCCAATTGTGGCTTTGCCATGCTATGCGCCTTGAAGGCAAGCGCTTTTGTGAATTCTGCAGCTGTTGCTTAGGTCTCCTTGTGAGTCCGCATCAGTGCATGGAGGGGTCAATAGAAAGCCTGAGGTCAACAGCTTAGGTGTCCTTCAGGTGTCCTGATTTCCTGCAAGGGACCGATGATTCGTTGCAGGAATCCGACGGAAGAAGCACGAAGCCAGATTTTGTGCGAGAATTGTTGATAGTTCAGTAGCCATGCATGAAATCGTCGACAGCTAAGTGTTTCTTCCGCGTAGGGTACAAAGACTATTTACTTAACTGTGCATCTTGCTCTGAAAAAAAGAACCCTGCATGCCAAATCTTGAACGGTGCTGGTAGGACCCCTGTGAGTTGGGCTTCAGGACGTCTTGGCATGTCGGCTCCAGGCCATTGCCGAAACTGTAATGCATGTTTGTTCTTCAACTTGTGTACCTTCGCGCTAGTGCGCCAGGCTGAGAGCATTTGAAACATATTGAAGCCCGGCTCTCTAAGTCGCAGTCCATTCCGGGGTTTGGCGGTTGTAACATGGCGACGTCTATAACAGACGGCCCAGAGGACCCGGGAGCCGATGACATGGCCGGCACGGCCGGCACGGCCGGCACGGCCGGCACGGCCGACATGGCCGAGCCGGAGAACGTCGAGAATGTCGAGCATGGGGAGCTCGGAGACCTCCGGCCACAAGGTACATTGGAGTTTCCGGACCGGCGCGAGGAGCGGAATCGACGAGGCATGATCAAGTTCAGGCTTGAGAATGGAGTCCCTGATGTTGGTGGCCTCGGATGGCGATCCCGAGCAGGCCACCTACTGAAAAATCAGACCTTCTACGCATCCCGCCCAGGTGAGAATCAGTGGAACAATCCAACGCACGCAGGGCCGAGGACATGGAGGAACTATCACGGGCCGAAGCTGCGCACGGACGCAGACCTCATGGAGCGCATGGACCGAATCGAGGCCCAGCATGCCACGTGGGAGGCCAAGAAGGCCTTCGTGAACACGGTTCGCGTGCAGACCTTGGACCGCTTCTACGGCAGAAAGGTCGAAAATGAGCAGAAGGAAATGGCATCCACATGGGCTCCGCACCGACGGGCCAGGGGCGAGTATCATAAGTATCACGAGACCATGTCCTCAAACTTGGACAACATGCCAATGAAAGAATTGAAGAAGGTTCTTACGCCAACGGTGCTGCATGGAGACAGAGAAGCCATCCGTTCCATTTCGAAACGTGTCCAAATTGAAGAAACTTGGAAGGTGGCCTGGAAGCATATGGAACTGGCACGGAGAGCAGAAACACAAGCTGATTTTGAGCATCGGATGACCTACAATGCCATGCTCATGGAGCTTGCAGGGCAGGCTCCGAGGCCTCACAATCCACAGCGTGCAGCGAGCACCTGCTCCCCAGTGGTCAATAATCTGGCGCAGCCTGTGCAGCCCATGGTGTCTGACATCACGAAGCGTACCGACTACCGCGGGCTTGTGCATGTCGATCACCCGGTCGCCTTGGAAGCTCGTTTTCCTGGTTCGGGCCACAGCCTCGCAGTCACCTTTGCGAACGATGCATCTGAGAGAACCAAGCCGGCCTTTCCAGCCCCGGAGCCTCCACAAACACCAGTGCCGCAGAAGATGGCATCCACTGCAGCGAGCATACGCAAAGGATCTGTCCCTGTGAGCCACAGACGCTTGCACAGTATTGGAAGACGTCAGGACAGGCCACTGAGAAGTATGCAACAATTAGAGTTTAAGCGATTCTTTAGTTACCTTTCCAGTTTCTGGTCCTAGCCGTCCTAGCCGTTGTGCCCAAAGATCAGGACAGTGGTCGGCAATCTGTATGTTCCCTGCTTGAAGGATCCCAATGTGCTGGCAGAGCATTCGAAACACCAGTTCCTGCCAACTTCTGCACCTCCTGCGCCTTGCTCTCGGGCAGGCGCACCACAAGTATTGGTACGTTTTGAGCACCTAGCTGGTACACGTATCGTATATTGACATGAGAGCGGAATCTGAGCCAGTGGCTTCAGTTGGTGGCTGTCCTTGTCTGCAAGCCGTTGCATGCTTTGTGTGCGCCGCTCTGTTCTCCAACTAAGGCCTGACCAGGCAAAGACGTTGCTACATGAACCCAACGCTGTAGCCTTAGCTTGGCAGCACACTTCTACTGCCAATCCAAGTGGCTTGGGGTCAAGAGCTGTCGACACTTCCACCGCTTCCCGGAGTTCTCAAGAGCTCCTTCGTTTGTTTGGCGCTGCGCACACAAGTGGCCGGGCTGCTTCTGGCATCAAAACCTCTGAAGTGCAGTCCAAACACGAAAACAGCGTCTCATGGGTCTCATGTGGCTTCACCCAGAGGCTTCTGTTGTTTCAAAGAGGTCCGGCTATGATCTTCTCTCCACCACTGAGACTAGCCTTTCCAGAGACCTCGCAGACGGAGGGTACGGGAATGGGTATGGGGCGCTGCGGTCGGCGCGGTCAGCGCGGTCGGCGCGGTCGGCGCGGTCGGCGCGGTCGGTGCGGGCGGTGCGGGCGGTGCGGGCGGTGCGGGCGGTGCGGGCGGTGCGGTCGGTGCGGGCGGTGCGGGCGGTGCGGGCGGTGCGGTCGGTGCGGGCGGTGCGGGGTCGAGATATCCGATGTTGCAATATGTTACACATGTTGCCGACCACTTCTGGTCACTTAAGGGGTGTTTCTGAGGCTGTTGACTGCCTGCAGATGAGCCTGGAGTTTCCTCCCCGCTCTGATCACAGCCAGAGTGGAAGCCTACATTCCAAGGAGGGGACGCCAGTTGAAAGCTTTCGAAAGCTTTCGAAAGCCTAAAACGAAGTGCCATCAAGTGCCATCAAGTACAGGACTCCATATCCAAGCTTGACGTGGCGCCACCTTCCTGCCCTATGGCATACCCCGTGACAGTTGCAAATGCCACTGCCTCAGCAACCTTCAGAAACTAGTGCGTGGTGTTCTTTGCTGCATTGCTAGTTTCCTCGCTGCCGTTGCTGCCACCGGCAGTTTTAACAGAAGACGAGGTCGAAGACGACATGCAAGATCCGGACTGGCGTCCGAAGAGATCGCATGGCGCGCTCGCTTCTGCCATGCACTTAAGTCGCGCAGCCTTCACTGTTCCTTGACTACTGCTCGAACTGTTGAGACTGAGACACCTTGCAGGTCACCCCAAGGGAGCAAGCGTTGCAAAGTTCTCGGATGGAGCGCTGGCCCCCAGCACGAGCCCCAGGAGTTCTTTCAGATCATGGTGTTGCAGGTGCATTCGTCCAAGGCATGAATCCATGTTTTCGACTTTTTGTTTTCTGAACTTGCCCATAAATGCCATGCGCACACTCCATGCTACAACCCTGCATTCCCAACGCTCTTCCCCGTAGCCAATGCCCCCCCCGACACTGTGAAATCACTGGTCAACTCAGCAAGCAGCTGTGCTTCGATGTCTCAATCCTTGGAGATTTGTACCTTGCTTGGTCTTCCCGCGGCTCGCCGCTTTCTACCGATTTTTACATCTCTCTTTCCCCAGGTTAGATTGCGACCCAAGTAGCCTTCCGGCTCCATTTCGTGCAGGGCTTGCTCTCCTGTGAGAAGCTCCACGTTCTTTTGAAGGAGGGTCTTCTCCCTCTCCTCTCTCTCTCTCTCTTTATCATGACTGGTCTCGGCAGCTACCTTGCTCACTTGAGTCCCAGCTCCTGGTTGTAGTTGCCGAATGGAGACTCTGAGTCTTCACACGTCTTCACCGAAGGCCAGGATGAGCATGAGGGAGTGAGTCATCTGAGGTTGGAAGTCAGACAGTTATGGTGACCATCATCGGGGCAGAAGGATCTACATGTGATCTGCTTAAGATGGCTGCTTCACAGAATTGCTCCTGGCAGGACTGCCAAGGGCTGATCGTGGTGGCCATTCCGATCCCTACGTGCTTGTCCAGGCCAGATGCGTGACATTGGCCGATACTTCGAAGATGTGGCGATTCTTACGTTGCATCATCTTGCAGTGTGGCTATGGACATGCCAGGTTCCCGGCAGAAGTCGATCGAAGGCAAAGACGACAGCCATGCCCTGAGCTTTGTCGTGGAATTAACTTTCAATAAGGAAGCCAAGGCTGTCACGAAGCGGTGGCTCGCTGTGTCTTTCTCGTGCCCGAAACAACATAGATGCCACGTGACACTTTGAACATGAGTCATATGGGAGCCAGTCAAGCGAAGATGGCATGCATGTCATCATTCTCCTACATAGGCTTTTGTCAAGCAAACACGTCAGGCTGCCTTTGTCGCCAATTTGATGTCAACACCTACGCACGACCATGGCGAGTCTATCAGGTCGTCATGCTTGCAATAAAGGCAGGTTCTGCACCTCCCGCGTCGCGTGGTGCTTTATTTCCCCGACGCCATCCACACCGGCAGGGCTGTCACAGCTTGCTTCACTTTTTCACCCACCCGCCAGCTTTCGGTACACATAAGCAGGGGCTTGTGCAGCAGTCTTGCCTGCCTACATGCATACATATTTTATTCCGATGCCTTTGTAGGGTCTCGGGTTTTGAAAACTTCCAGACATGCTTGCTATGCCTGGAAACGCTTAGGGCAGCAGAGTACAGTAGCCTTCTCAAGTCTGGAAGTTGCGGAGGCTAGGGCATCGGCATGCGCTCGTAATCTTTCGGTATCAAAATTCGCTACTGCAATAGTGCATGATCGACAGCGGTGCATGATTGACATGTGGCTTTGTCCGAAGTGGGCTAGTTTCCAGAGAACGGCCAAGCTGATTGCTTGTATAGTATATTTCTCAGAAGCTGGCTAGCTTTGCCATTTCCAGTTGACTATTGTGAGGCACTGGCGAACACAGAGGATCCTGTGTGGAACCAGACCCTGGCTGTGCGCTAACCTCGGCGTCTAGCCTGAGCAAGTAGGTAACAACACTGTGATCGCATCTTCAGGCCCGGTTGGAGGCGGGGAGAGCCACTTGCTGTGCAGGCGCCAGGGATGTCGACACGTGTCAACAATATGAGAGGGCAAATATCAGCACTCTCTTGGACCCTATGGCCCATGCCTTCGACAGGTTTTTGATGCAGATCTCGTGGGTTCAGACGACTTGCTCGCCAGCATGGAGGTGGCCGCACGGGCATTTCACGGACGCCAAAGGGCGCAAACAGACTTGCGTTAGCGTGACTTTGACATGATCGGTGTGCCGTCCAACTGATGTTCTGGGAATGTGTTCTGAGCCACGAGTCTTCACCATCTTCACCCTCGGTTGAAACTTGGTTGTTCTTGAGTCGGCCATTCTCCTCGCCCTCCTCACCCGGTCTCCTTGCCTTGGCGCTGCATTGCGTCGATCCGAGTATAGTATGTGCCAACCCCCAGAAAAAAGCTTGGAGATAGGTTTGCCGGGTGTCCTCAAGTGCCAACATCCAGAGAAGAGAAGGTTGCAGGAAGTCCCGTGGAGTATCTATCCCTAGGGTGCCCACCCCCAGAAAAGAGTCCCGCCCAGTATCCTTGGAGTGCCCCTCAGAGAATCCCACAGATGCTCCTGCCAAGTGTTCTTGGAGTGCCCACAGAGAATCCCGCAGAGAGTCTGCCGAGTGTTGTTCGACGGTCCACCCCTCAATTGCCTGACCCAAAATGGCAGGGTGGCTCCCACATCGGCTGTAGGTTGAGGATGACCGAGGTTACTATTTGTTCGTAACGGTTTATGTCTTCGTTCTGATTCTGACTCCCTCTTGGCTGAAAACCCATGAATCCAGAAGTTAAAAAGAATTAAATCCTGATTTAATTGTTGCTTCTGGGTTGGGTTTTGACCTACCTCGACATACCTTATCCCTACAAAAACACAATTAAATCGTGATTTAATTGTGTTTCTTTGCGTTTGACTGGAAGACAATTAAATCGTGAGTTAATGGTGCAGCAAAGACTTGTGCTAATTGGTACCTGTTTGCACCATTAAATCATGATTTAATTGCACTATTATTATTGCTCTTACTATTAGTCTTATTATTACTATTACTATTAGTCTTATTATTATTATTAATATTAGTACTATTATTACTATTACTATTATTATTCCTATGATTATTATGTTTACTACTATTATTATCCTTATTCTTCTTCTTATTATTATTTTCTTATTACTATTACTATTACTATGACTATTACTATGACTATTACTATTACGATTACTATTTCTATTACTATTACTATTACCATTACTTTTACTATTACTATTACTATTTCTATTACTATTACTATTACCATTACTATTACTATTGCTATTGCTATTGCTATTGCTATTGCTATTGCTATTGCTATTGCTATTATTCTTCTTCTTCTTCTTATTGTTACTACTATTATTATTATTACTACTATTATTATTATTCCTATTATTATCATTATTATTATTGCTATTACTATTTCTATTACTTCTTCTTCTTATTGTTACTATTGTTAATATTGTTCTTCTTATTATTATTCCTATTATTCTCATTATTACTATTACTATTATTATTACTATTATTATTACTATTACTATTACTATTACTATTACTATTATTATTATTATTATTGCTATTATTATTATTACTATTACTATTATTATTACTATTATTATTACTATTACTTGAGGGGGAACAATTAAATCGTGATTTAATTGTTGAAAGGTAGGGGGGAACAATTAAATCGTGATTTAATTGTTTCTGCGGGTTGGGATCGTCTAGCAGAAACAATTAAATCCTGATTTAATTGTTTTGCTTGAGAAGCTTGCCGGCATGGCATGCTGCGTCGCGCGACATCAACAGGCAATTAAATCGAGAGTTAATTGTGCTGGACCTAAGGGGCGTCGAGCCGGCCCGATGCCGGTCAATTAACTTCAGAGTTAATTTTCCTTAACTCTTGGATTCACTGTCTTCCCCTCTTGGCTGCAGCACAGGAGAGGTTCTTTAAATGAGCGTGTGAGTTTAAGTAAAGCCTGAGGTGCCGAGCGCTCAATTCTTTCCGCATGGATTCGAAGGGAGGCTGGTGGCTGTGCTGGATAAGTAGTGAGGGTGGCTGTTTTTTGCAAGATCTAGATGTTGCCGAACACCACATCAGGCTGGAGATGCAAAACTCGTGGGTGCCCGCGGGCGAAGTACCCATGGCTGACGACTTCTGTCAATTCAATCTGGCATGCAGGCGAGGATGCTCGAATCAAATTGTTAGGAAGACATCGACAGACTGGCAGTGCGGCAGAACTGCAAGACACATCGGATCTGAGGCCGTTCATTGAGCTGAAGATTGTCTTGTGCAACGATGTATACACGGGCAACAGGTAGCTGCCTCAAGGCCTTGGGGTGTGCATCGGTATGTGCCGAAGCATGTAAGGCAGGCAATCAGCTACGAGGAGGCAGAACAGGCCGTGTCGTCCTCACTACCGCCAGAATGCATGGGAAAGGTGTTGGTGCGAGTTTTCCAGAAAAGGTGTTGGTGCTCCGGTGCTTGTCTGTCGCGAAGAAAGGTCTCAATGCCTGATGCGAAGCCCACGCTAGGTGGCCTGTGCACCCGTGTGGACGCTTGCGCTGCACATGATAGCACTAGTGCTTAGTGCTAGCTGTGCTGCAGGAGCCATTTGTGCACACTTGGACAACTTCGAAGCCGCGCTGAAACCGGTGCTTCGGCGGCTGGTAGAATGGGATGAAGATGGATAAAGTGTTGATGTTTTGCGTATTGTGTCTGCCTACGGAGTATACAGTGATGTCGCGAACAAGCTGCCAAACGCAAGTGTGTGCCCGTCTAGAGCCGCAGGTACCTCGGTTGGGGAACTTTTGGGTGAGCCCCAGATGATCGTGACGCACTTCCTTGATGCTTACAAGAGCTGACAGTTGCATTGCTACCAATATGATGATCTCCAGTGAGTCACAGGCCGCCTTCCGGGGCTGCAAATTGCTAATATAGCAGTTTGCGAGTTTCACCGAAGTTCAGTAGCAGCCAAAGTAGCGCCCAGTCAAACTGGATTTTGAGAATGTACATAGTGCACATAGTTCTTGGGGCCAGAGGTCAACAGTGTCAGGAGCAGGGTCTAAGGCTTGAGGTAGTTTATGGCTCTGTTGGCTCTAAGCTTGGGCTTTGCACTCGTGTGAAGCAGGCTCGGGCTGCACGCGCCGGCCCGTCGCAGGGAGGTTGGAGGGGCGGTTTTGGGGGTGTTTAGAAGTGTGTCAGCAGCTCCAAGCGTCCAACCCCATCTCACGGGTTAACAGTAGCCAGAGGACGCCGTGCTGTGCTTTCTGGCTCGATGCGTGAATGGGGGCAATCGTGCAGCAACACCTTAAGCTTGGGCAGAGCGTGCGATCCCCAGACTTGAATGAGACCTGCCCCATGTCATGTCATGTCATGACATGTCAAGAGCTTCCATTGCTGGAGGTAATGCCCAAGAAAAGAAAGAGGATCCCTCAAGCGGAGGGGCCGCGCGGACCTTGGGTGGTACGGTGGAAAGGTGAAAACCGTTCTACTGGTGCATCTGGCATGGATCGGAGTCGGTATTCCCTTTATACATCGCTTGCCTTTGAGAGCTTTGATGTTGTAGAGTATGTTCGTCTCTTTTCGTGCGTCCTTCAGGTTGTCTGCCAGCTCTGGTGTCCAAGTGTCTGAACTTTCGGAGGTGGCTTACTGTCGGGGTGAAGCTTGTGAAAAAAAGATATATATATATATATGTCTACATATATATAATATACATATATATATATATGTATTGTGATGTATCTACAGCATCGGGGTTGGCACTCTCATGATTGTGGTTTGTCCTGTGCAGCAATGCCTGCACCACCCGGCGCAAGCTTCGGCTTGAAGCTTGTTCACTGGTTTTTGGATGTTCGAGTTTCTGCCATCACCTCTGCTTTATAGACCATGGCGGAAGGTTGAAACTTTAACACCCAAACCTGATTCGCCTTAATGCTGAGCCATAAGCTTGTGGAGCCTTACGACTGGAATGGGCTCATTCGGCCAACCTGCATTCACGATGAATGGTCCGGGTGGATCTGCTGCAGCAGCGTTTGTCCCTCAATGCACTTGCGGGCGTTGAGGCCAGATGCTTCTGCTGCGGAGATTAACGAGGCAGTGGGCTGCAGTACTTCCGAGTTCCAAACGGTCTTCAAAGAATACGCTTTGCAGAGAGGTCCTGTTGGCACCTGCGAAGCGGTTGGGATCTCAGTCTTGCACATCGGCCTCGCGTTCCACTGCAAATGGCCTCGGCTAATATGCCCGTTCGTGGAAGGGCACGAAATCGAGCAGGAATCTGGGTCCAAAATCGATTTTCAAGTTGGTTTTACCATGTTTCAGCCTCTCCTGGCATCTGGGGCCCGTGAGTGGCCATGATCCAGCCTGCGTTGCGTTGCTAGTATGCATTGCTCCGCGCTCTTCCGTTGGTTCCTAAGGTCGACCTTAGCCTCGCCGACATCAAAACAAGAAGCCAAGTCTGAAGCCAAGTGCCTCAACTCGACGCTGCCTGACAGACTTTTGTCTATGTTCAACTTTGCAGCTGTCTTGCACCTTCGCACATTCCTTGCTTTCTTTCGCCGTCTCTGTAGTCGTAGTAGTTGGAGTGGTTCTGGGAGGCCGGCCCGCAAAGCAAAGCCGAAAGCAAAGAGCGCACCAATCGCAGCCGCCAAATCTTCGCCGGTTCCATCGCCACCGCCCATTGAGAAGGTCTTCCGGCAATAGCAACAGCTGCAATTGAATGCAGCTCTCCGCAGCGAGTTGACTTCTGCTTCTGTGTCGCAAGAGGCGACCTTCGATGGAGCCAAGCTGGCGCTTGAGTTGCTGGAGGCACATTTCAGTGTCTATCTTGTGTCTGTCCGTGAGAAGCCGAACCAGGCTGCAACCACTCAGCTGTTGCGGCGTCGAGTCCTTGGACCGTGCGGCCTTGACACCTGAAAATTTTACCAACCAGCAACAGTCAAAGGGGGTCCAAAGGTCCTTCGCGCAAGCCTCATATTTCTGCAAAGTCCACTTTGAGAATTGCCGAGTTTAATCAGCCAGCTCCGATGTGGCAGTTGATTAGGCTCACAGCTGTTTGCTGAAGTGACGTGAGCACCAACAGCCTGTGTTGACCGAGAATGCGTACAAAGCTTCTCCAGTCATTGCACATGTAAACGGCGGTTCAAGTCCAAGAAATCACGGGCAGGCATAATTCGAACCGAGGAAGGCTTGTACTGAAAACAAGCATCATCGGGCAAAGTTTCGCATGTTCGCAGAGTTCAGAGCTTGGCAGAACTGCAATCAGGTAGGGGCTGGTTCCGCGACGTGCGGTTGAGACGATCTGCTGACGTCTTGGCCTCAGCGGGCTGACGTGATTGATTAAGAGTGCCCAGTTAATACTCTTTGAGGCGCGTCTAATATCGCTCACTCTTTTCCCCTCACAGCGTTCGTCCTTTGTTCGTTCACGCACACGCCTGCAACAAGTGAACGCAACAAGCGCCTGTACAATATACTATTCATGCACTAGTTTATAATAGTATTAATATTGGGGCTCTTAGTGCGTTCTCCCGCCCGTCTAGTTTCCTGGCTCATGATTCCAAGGTGTTACACGGGTATAGCTGGAGAACCTGATGTTGCGGTCCCGAGGGTGGGTTCCTTGTCAAGAGAGTTCCTGTCACGTAGAAAGACTCATGATGGTACGGTTTCGGTGACGGCATTTCACTTTTAGGAATTTGTGGTACATGAGTGGTGCGTGCGGTCTTGTGCTTTGGCTCTACTAGTAGCGGGTAGATGCCTTCCAATGGAGCAACGTTTGCTCGCAGGATGTGTCAGGTTGCATTCTGGCCATAAATTTGCATTTCTATATCCAAGAGCCAGATGCAAGCAGGTGCACCGTGCGCTGCTATGCAAGTTGACGTCCTCTGATGTCGCCCTTTGCAGGTTTGTTTCTGGGCTGGCTCTGCGAAGAGAGTAAAGCAGAATGGACAGCCTAGCATTATTCAGTTGCAAATGCCTCCACAGCACCACAATACGTCATCGACGCTGAAGTTCAATCTCTCCTCGCAGCCTCGCAGCCTTGCAGCTTGTGCTGAGGCATACATGCGAAGCAGTAAAGTATTTCAAAAAGCTTCATCGCGAGCCAGCCTCAGTCAAACAAGCATCGTTCCGTGAAGCATGCTCGCGTTCACACATGATCAAGCATGCCACGTGCGCCGTGTTGCTTCCAGCAGAGGTCAAGCGGCCAGTTCTGGCAAGGCTGACAAGGGTTTTGAGAAGCCAGGGCCAAAAGAGCTGGCCGCATACGAAGAGGTGGCTTTGCTGGCCTCACCAAATTTGAGCACCTGATCCGCAATTGCCCAGCTGAAGCGCAGTGTCGGGTCATAGGAGCTGCAAGCCCACCTCGAAGGGCTCAGAAAGAAACTTGGTTTGCTTCCCAGAAGCCGATTCCAGCATCTAAAGTCAGACTTCTGTGTAGTGTGCCAAGCTGAGGGACCACCCCCATGAATGAGAGCCGTGAAATCAGCGCAAACCTCAGCTGTTTCGCGGTCGTGCCAGAGTTGTGCCATGTCTGTGCTCAGCTGCTGTGAAGCAAAGGCCTCAAATCTGCGGGTCCTGGCCAAGTCATCGGAGCCAAGCTCAAGGCAGTCCAGTATAGATCAAGAATTGAGAATTCACAACACGACGTGTCACTCAACGCCAGCCACGTGTGAAGGGCCTCAAGAAGAGAGCTGCTGAGCTTGAGAAGAAGCCGCGGTCGGTCATCAAAGGCGACTTCCCTGCAGTTGGACAATGGTTGGTAGGTATGCAGGATTCAAAGGGCATGCTCCAGACTTTAGGGCGACACCAGGTTTTGGTGGCCCCCTAAAAGCCGCTTGTTAGACCTCGTTCAGTTCGTAGTGTGGACTCCATACGCCTTGAAAGATTGATCTCTGATCTCTCAACTCAACTGCAGTGTCTTGGCATCTTGTGGCCCATCTTTTGTCTTTTCAGTGGTTGGGCTTTCGACCAGTTCAAGTTTGATGGGCCAGCGATAGTCCGCCCCCCTTTCTCTGGGGGCCCCTGGAGGTTTAAGGTTTGGGGTTAGGTGGTTTACGGGGCTTGTTTTTTTCCGGTGGCTTGGGCCTCTTTTGTGGGGGTGGTCCCCCTGGTCCTGATCCTCTGGTCGTCGGTCCCCTGCTCCTCCAGTCCCTGGTCCGCGGGCCCCCTGCTGCGAATTACAATAATATTTTCATTAGTAAGTCGAGTTACATCAGTCGTATCAATTACAGCAATTACGCTAATATCCAGTAATGGCTCTTTGCCTTTTGGAATTACTATTTGCTAATTACTGCCGGCTAAATTACTATGTCCTGAGAAGTAAAGATAAAGAATAACTAATGAAGCGCAAACATCTACATAGCAAGTAGTAAGTATCAAGTGCTACGTGCGATGTCTTCATCGCTAGTTTCTTTTTCGCGATGACGATTTCATCACTTGTTGATGCTTGGCAAGTTGTGTAAATTCGTTGTAGTTCGGAAGCAGTCAGTTTTAATGACTGGCTAGTCAAAGCTAATTCAATACGTTGGAAGGAGCGTGTGAACAGCCAAATATGCTGCAAGTGACGTCAGCAGCCGGGAAGGGTCGCCAACGTTAGAAGAGCAACGGAGGCGCCAACGTCACGTTATCAAAAACAAGTTCCACCGGCCAAGGGTTTTCATTTTTTGCCGAGGTCTGTTTAGGGTTAGAGGTTTTGGGGCTGTGGGTAGGATTTAGAATTTCGGGTTGAGGGTACAGAGTTTATGGTGTAGGATTTGCATGAGGGTTTTGGGATTAGGGGTGGGTGGGGGGGGCGGCATTGGGGGTAGGGTGCCATTCGGGGGGATGGTTGGCGGAGAGCCCGAATCAGATAGTACGCAGATCCCGCCAACAGGAGGGGGGGAGTATGACAGGTTAAAACTTGTTGATGTGTTTTTTGTGGTGATCTTTTCTGGTTTTAAAACTTACCTCAAGCATGCTGTGGCTTTTCACTGTTTCTGGTCACATGTGGTCATTGTTTTGATCCTTGCTTTTTGTTTTGCGCTTGCTTCTGCGAGACTGAAAAGAGTGTGCCTTTTTTGACTTTTCAACACCGCGGTGTTTTCTTTGCCTTGTCCGTGCATGTTTTCCAGGTGCTCCTGAACTGGAGCTTATAAGGTTCTTGCATGCTGCACACTTGTGATGTGGGAGTTCTTTTGCACCACCCAAGCATGGAGATGTGGCTGCCAATGCCGACTGGTTCATGCCTGCCAAGTCTTTGCCGTTCACGGGCTTGCAATGGCTTGCAGTAGAGGATTGTATACGCACGTTGTTCACCTCATGTGCGCTTCGATCCTTCTGTTTCTTGTCTTCCTCGAACAGGAACTGTGCGGTCTGACTTGCTTGTCTTACTGCAGCCTGTCATGTTGCATGGAATCCTGTGCAGCAGCAGCCTTTCGTGAATTTGAGATGGCCAGGAAGAAGCGCAGATCCCAGAATGAAGGCAGAAAAGCTGTGCCCGAAAGAGACCCAGGTGCATGCAAGTGTGTATGCAGATTGCAATAGGAGAAGGCGAATGCTGGCAGGTGCCCAGAGTGAGATGTGAGGAATGCCAAAGCAGCAATGCGAGAACATCTAGCACCTCGCAGACAAACATTGCCTCCAGCTTGCCTCCTCACTTTGGTGGAGCATCATGGAGCAGCTGCGTGCATGCCGCATCAAAGGAAAGTACCTACAGATGCGTGGTGAGTTGCCATCAAAGTGCCCGAAAGTGCCCCATGATCTCCCTGACAGCACTGCGCCATGGACAAGCGGCTCGAAGACGTTTCATCGCTGGAGATTTCTGGAAGCCGACAAGCATGTCTGAACCGTAGCTTCAGTTTCGACTCCCGGCTGTCTTAGCATCCAGGATTCCTGTTAGCATCTCATGTCATTCCTTACACTTCCCCTGACTTCTTTCGACAAGGAACCAGGGGACTCAGGGGACGGTGTCTTCAAAGATCGTGCTTCCGCGTCTCGTTGGCCCAGCCCCAAGCTTGGAGGTGAGCCTGAATCCAACGAATCCAACGAATCCAGCATCTGCTTGGACTCACAGACTCAGGTTGTACTATGGCAGTGATGGACGCTGGCATTTTGGTAGCACGATCAGCAAGAACACAGGGCAACTGGCCACTGTGCTGCGCAGTGTCTCGTCACATCTTGAAAAATATTTCACAATGTTGAACAATTTCCAACCTAATCTTCCTGTTTCGCTAGTGTGTCGAAGGCATAAAGTAGGCTCCACACAGGCTCCCTGTGCGACACAAGCAGTCCTCCAGACAACGCCTGGGAAGAGCGAGTGTTGCTCTTTGGCCGGTTCTTTGGCTTTCAGCCCTCTTCCGCAAAGGTAAGTGGCTAGGCTTAACCGACTTGAGCAGTTTTTGTCTTTGCAGGTAACGGCAACATCAACGGGCGATTCTGTGAGAGAATGTAAGGATGTGAGTTCTGGGAGGATTGCCGTGCTGCTTGGAACACTGCCAAGACTTCGGGTGCCTGCAATGCCTTGCAGATTCTGGATTGCGAGATCGCTGAGACTTGCTTCAAGAATCTTCAAGACAGTTTCAAGACTCCGAGACATTCGAGACGTAAGACACAGTTCAAATGAAGCATTGGTCTGAGTGCTGACGGCATCGACTGGCCCTTGCTTAAACCTACCTCTGCGCATCTCGACACTACAACCTGCTGCAGCCCGCACCCGAGCCTACATCCCGTAATGGGCGCCAAACAAAAGGGCTTAGCGCGACCCCAGATGTCGGAGACCTGGAGTCCTAGAGTTTGCTGCGATGCAAGGAGCTGCGAATCCGAGTTGCCGACAGCCGATTGCCGTAAGAGTTGTTGAGAGCAAAACGGCTGTAAGAAAGCTTACGTTCTGGCTGTGCTGATCGTTGTTCGTCGTTCAGCACCATCGTCACCCTGAAACACCTCCTTCCTCTTTCTGCACTTTCCTCACTGTCACCCATGCCTGAACCTACCCCAAGTCCCACACCTCAGGGCCTCATCTTACTCCATCTCACACCTTCTTTGCACCCAATGGCATTGCGACGGTTGCCTTTCAGCTCGCTGGTGTCTTCCATACCTGTTGTGCCTTCACTTCAACAGATGGGTGCTGCAAGACAGCTTGTGATAGTCTGCTATTTTGGGTCCTAAATTCTAAGAGATTCTGGTCGAACCCTAGCAGGTGACCCTTAACCCTTTGTTTATATATACGCCGTATATATTTAAGCTTATATCGATCTGGCCTGGGATTCGGGCTTGTTTCCTGTCACAGGCCTCTCCCGAGGCCAGCAGCAAAACATACACATGTTGACCGAATGTCGTGATGCTAACATGCTCAGCTGGTCGCTCAAGCATGTGCCGTCACGCTGAGTTGCTGTCAGCTAGCGAGCAAACACCCCTAAATTAAACTTTAAACCCTAAACCAATGGCTAGACAGGTGGCAAAAGAACACAGTGGTGAGTCTAGACTATGTGTGGCTCTGTTTAAATGTTGGTACTGCGTGTATCCATTTGGGGATACTAGCAATAACAACCCCTACTTCATGTAGACATGATGATCTGATACACAGGTACTGTCAATGAAAGCTGTGCATAGTGGTGCCCAGAAGCAGAGCATCTGGGATGTTTTGGGCTGGAAAGCAGCAAGCCCAACCCCTCATTCTCGAGCGCAGAATGGGGGGGTTTGGGTTGCTGAGCCTAAGCCGCTGCCGAAATGGGGGTTAGGTTTGGGTAGTTTTTTTGGCTGATCTGAGGATTTAGGGGTCCGTTCTGGCGCGGGGTAAGGGGTCCGTTCTCAAGCAATGTAAAACACAGGGTGGGACGTCTACAGAACAGACCCCTAATCCTGTTTCACCGCCTTCCCGCCATCCCCTCTTCAGAACTCCGCCCCCTTGCCCCCCCTCTCCCCGAAAGCTTCAGTTCCTCTGAAAAAAGTGCAGGCGAGGAAGAAGAACAAAACCACGCAGAGGAGCAAGATCAAAATCAAGAGTCAAGCTCCCTCAATGACAAGCTTTGCAGAAAGCAGAGCAGAACGCCGATGCCAAAGCAAAGTGTGCCACAAAGTGAATGGTCCAGGATTTCAATGCCAAATGCAAAGGGGCAGAAAGGCAAAGGTCGAGCTCAGTGGCCCTGCACCGAAGATAGCTATGCCAAGTAAGCGAGATTCGACTGGACAGACCCCGCCGAATCTTCCGCCAGACCCCAGAGAATGTCGTAGAAGTTGCAGGCTTCTCGCTGACGACATCACATGACATTAGCTTTGTTTCCGATTGCTCACAGGTCAATGCAAAGCTTCTTTGTGCCATCCATGCCAGAATGGCCGAAACCAGCATCGTGATTTCAATTTCGGCTCCTTACGTAACCTATGCAAAGCCCATATATAGCAATGTGCGCCGAACACGCATATACTCCTTGTATAAAGCATATATGGGCACGTCCCAAGGGTCCATCCCACCACCCCTTGATAAATCCTGAAAGGTTTAGCCGAAACGCCCTTCGGGCATAGTAGTCGCAGCTGATGAAAAGGTGTTGCATTTTCTTGAACGGACGCTGGATTGGAATCCAAGAACAGACATTGTGCTGATTTTGGAGCAGTTGGTGCTGTGGGTAATACTGAGGAGATCAATGCGATGTATGATCAGATCATGAGTGGTTCGGAAGATGGGGAAGCGCCCAAGTTTCGCCAGAGAGGGAGGGACGCATGGCTTTACTACGCATCGGATGGTCGGTGGCATTTCGGGTTCGGTCGAGCTGCCGCAAGAAGTCTACCAGGAAATCGGCTACGCAGCCAAGAGTGCCAGCCGGGCACGCTTCCTGTCGACGTTCGAAACTGGGAGGTTCGTGGCAAAGGGGCAGGTTGTGAGCGGTGTTCGTTTCTTCCTTCACGTACGAGGCCCGGCGCAACGTTGCAATCATTGAGTGTGTGATCTGACAAGATGTTGACCCGGTGCAGTCTGCATCAGGTTGCTTCGTGACGCTTCCGATGCTTGGTCTTGGCGGAACGACGTTTGGTCTGTATCAGCAGCCGTTGAGATCAGGGGAGCAAGATGCAGCGATTCAAACGGCTGCTATGAGCTTCAGCATGCCAGGACTGGGATAACGGGGGGGGGGGGTGTTGGGGGGGGCTCTTCTCAGGTGCAAGCTGGGTGGGAAGTTTTGAGGGAACGGCTGTCCGACAGTATCCGAAGCTGTCTGCAATCGAAAGGAAACCAAACCTGATGTGTTGGCCCATGCTCGCACGTCGAGGGTGGACCTCAACTAACTTACTCGTCTTCGCCTTGCTTCTCCATGCGCTATTGCACAATCAGGGGCGAGTTGACCAGACCGAAGAGATTGGGACCTTTCTTTTCACGTACCGTCGTAGCACGTCCTGTTGTATTCGATCTCTAGAGCTGTCTAATTGCGGCCGGCTTCGGGCACAGCAATGTCTTGCTCTCACGAGGGCTGTCTGAATGTAATCTAGAGGTACATAGCACATGTTTTTGAGAATGTGCTCCTTCCCGCCCAAACCGTCTGTGTAGCCTCTCAACATATTCTACTGTAGAGTGATTTGCGGGCAAGCGGGGTTGCTCAACAACCACATTTTGGAACGGTTTCAGTGTTTCTGACAGAAAACAATGGGTGTAATGTGCGGGCGCAAGGCAGAGCGGGGGGATGACAAGAAGATTCGCAGGATTTGGGGCTGTGTAAGGCGAGAACCTCGGATTTGAGAAAGTTGCTCACTATAAACTGGATTCTGCTGGCTCGCGTACGTTTGCAAAAGTCACATGGCGAACAAGGGCAGCATTCTGCAGATTGGCCAGAACATGTGTTTGCGATTGTGGGGTGACGCTGCTCTCTAGATGTGTTTTGGATGGGGGTCTTGAAGTCATATGTCGTAAATTCAAGACACTCATCCAAGATCAAAACCGGAAATGTCACCAAAATGATAGAACGTCACTCAAGAAGACCATCACAAATCTAGGAACAAGGAGGACGAGACAGTACTGTTGAAGTTGCATGCAAAACAAGTTACGGTAATGCGGGCATGTGTCGTGGTTCGTAGGTAGCTCAAGCATTCGAGTTTCATGCTTTCAGCAGATTTCTAGCTTCACGACCGACAGGAGCGAAGGTTCCCCAGTTTTCAAGCACCGCACATTGCAGCACTGGCTGTATTTTGCAAGCGATGGCAGATGGTATGTGGGTGGGGATGCAGATGACATGTGTCTTTGGGCATCGCGCGGCTCGCTTCGAAGCTGTGAATGTGCACCTGGAACACTTCCGGCAGATGTTGATGCCTGGGAAGAGGAGTCGCCCCTGTACAACGGATATGTGCGAGCGAAAGCTTGCATTGTGACTTCAATCCCTGGTCCTGATTTGAAAATTTTCAAGGATGCTGTGCTGAGCGCACCGCCTGCCGTGCAAGTGACCGGTGCTGCAGCGACTGACTGGAATGGAAGATACACTTTGCAGGTGCATGGCTCGTGTCCTACAAGGCAGGTATGACAATTAGCTTGGTGAGCCTTACGTATCACGGGGATGTGCTGTGCAGGCAGTGCAGCATGTCGTCCCTCTGAGAGACATGCATGTTTGTCTGGATCTGGCAACTCCCAGAAAATTCTGAAAGCATCAGGAGCCTCGTGTTAACTGACCGTGGAGAAGCCGTACTAAGGGCACATTTCATGTCTGTCCAGGCATGCAGCATTGGCATCAACTTGATACGCTAGCATATGTACAAATCTGCATTCTTGAGAGAATCAAGAACGCAAATTCCCATTCTTTGCAAAAGGAAGCAATCACAACAGCTGCTAAGCCGGCACCTTGCAGGCTTCCTTCATTCTGGAAAGCGGACCTTGATGTTTGGCTTTATCAGTGCGACGATGGCAGATGGTGCGCCCATCAGACTTTGCATCTTCAGCAACCCTTCCATTCATCCGCCTAGCATGGCTGCGGAATGCTTTCCAGGTATGTCGGACACAAGAAGCACAAAGAGAAACGTTGCCCAGGGCGAGGGCTACGCAGCTCAGCCTGTAGAACCGGAGAGCTTCCATGCTTGGCCTCCTGGGATGAGCATCGATGGTGTGTTTTGACTGATGAAAATACTGTCGGCACAAGCTCGCATTGATTAGCCACGGAGGTTTAGATAATTGGCAAGCAATCGCAGAACTAAAGACATGGTGTAGGTATCGACTGGATTCAAAGCACGAGAATCATGCTTGCGTGGGCTTGAGGCTACGCCAGGTCCATCTTCGAGCCCGCCGTGTGTGTCAAGGTTCTGGTGGAAGAGGGATGATGCGGTGCTGACAAGGCGTGGCAGGTGCGGAGCCAAAACCGCAGCGGCAGGCAGATCACAGGCTTCACTCAGTCCGAGTACTCCCAGATCAGACGGCTCTGGTCGACTCTGATGTCAAACAAGCGAAAGGAAACGAAAAAGGCTGTAGCCCGTAGCTGGCAGAACAGATCAGAACACTTCCGGGCGCATGGAGATGGTGGGCCTCGTCAACGAGCGCCCGAGAGGACATCTTTGAGTCTGTGCCATTTGTAAAGCATTTGTGCCAGGCAGCAGTTGCTGGGGGCCACGCGATGCCGAAGGCACCGCAACGAGCACCCTAGCCCTAGCAGCCCTAGCAGCGCTGGCAGCTGCAAGATGCTGCAAGCAATCACAGCAGCGCAGCGCTGTGCTGAGCTCCAGCCCAGAGCCTTCTTGCGGCAAAAGACGAATCCAGGTGGTCAAAACAGAGCTTGATGCCACTCCGCTTCTGCAATTGCAACCCCTTGCAACAAAGAGTCATGCTGTTTGAGATCAAGACTCCAGGTAGTGAAGCTACTACCTTGTAAGTGCAACCTTCAAGCTTCCAGCCAAGTAGCCGCTTAAAGCCGCTGACAGCCGAGTATGTGATCTTCATATTGTTCGAGAATCTTCTGGAAATCCTGTTGGCCTTTCGGCATGGCCGCTCGATGCTATGGCGCAGCAGGATATGCTTGACGCCTGATCTGCCAGTCCCATGTGGATTAGGGCAGCCAACTGCACATGGAGTCTCGTGCATGATCGAGGACCTGTATGAACTGCTGGGCGTCCAGAAGGATGTTCCAGAACTGGAGATTCGCTCGTCTTATCGAAGACGTGCTCTCCAAGTGCACCCAGACAAGGGCGGCAGTGAGGACGAGCTGTTATGACCGGTGTCGCAGCCAGTCGCATCGTATGTTCGTATGCAAAGCAGGATCTCTTTCACGCCGTTCTGACGGCTTTCGAGGTGCTGTCCTGCAGGAGTGTGCAATGTCGCCAAAAAACTTGCAGCTCCTTTCTGATACTCCCCCCTACTCGTGGCATGGACGGTAAAAACTTGTGTCTCAACAGGAGCACACGTCAAATTTATGATACTGCCCGCGGGCGTGGCCTGTCACCCAAAGATGCCCTGGCTGCTGCCACAGGTTCGGATGAGCACATGAGCACATAGCTTGTGATCAAGTTGTTGCTGCTGTCCAGCACAGGACGCAGTCGCAGTCAAGACCTGGCTACGACCAAGGCCAGGCGATGCTGGGGGGAGCGTCTGCGTATCTGCAAGATTTTTTTGTCCGCGCCTGGGTCTCCCATGGTCTCTCCTTTTCAGGTGCAAGCCAGCCACCGTGCGCTGCTGCAGCTTCGGCAGCTCCTGGCGGCTCTGACGCGCGAAGCGCGCCAGGAGGCCTTGCAGCGCATCCCGGCCGAGGCGCCGACTCAGCATTCCCAGTGCTTCAACTCTGGCACAACACGGCTCCTAACACCGTTCCTGTTGGACAGGTCCAGCAGGCGCTCATGACCTTTATGCAGCAGGCCTTGGCATTTTGCGTACATGGAAATGTATGGCAAGCTTGGGTCACTTTGGGGACCGGGTGCTGGAGGTTTAACACATGCTGATGCCAATCGATCAGAAACAGCCAGATAGTCCAGGAGGCTGATGTTCTGCCACAGCGACCTAGTGATGCTGCTTGACAGCGCTGGCTGCAAGATAAAGTGCAACGTGAGCTTCATGGCATGTCCACCCAGTCAGAAAGAGCCAGGAGGCTGTTTGCTGCCACTGTGTGACTGTTTCCTAAGTCTGGTGGCTCATCAGACTTGGCATTGACGAATGCAAGCGGGGACACTGGAGGCCACAACTGGGACACAACTGTTCATGTGTTTTGTCGTATGCCAGAGCCAGTACTTAATCGGCACGAGTAAGGGTCATCATGCAGTGTCACAGCATCTGCTGCACACGAAACAGCAACTGTGAGAGTAGCAAGCTCCCTTTCATTGGCATCTTGACGAAATGCACGTGAGATTCGACAGTGACAAGTCGTGCTTGGACCGAAGTTCGTCAAGAAAGCGTTTCCGAGCCTTCTTTGGCACTTCTTCATGCTGAGATCTGCATGACCGATGTATTCCTGACAAGGCGCAGGTGGACGTATTAGCCGTGGAATCTTACGGCAGAATACATCACCACCATCTTACAAGGCCTGCGTGTTCCTTCCAAATCTGTCTCTTGCCCGCACAAAGCGAGGAAGACTAGCACAGAGGCACAGCCACACTGGTCTTTGTGATGTGCTATCAACTGTCTGATTTCTCTCTGTCAGGTTCTTGATGTCCGTGGCGAATCCATCCTTGGAGCTGGCAGCTTGCCAGCATGTGTGTAGAAGAAGAAGAAGCACAGAGAGAGAGAGAGAGAGAGAGAGAGAGAGAGACAGAAAGGGGGGGGGGGAGAGGGAGAGAGCGAGAGAGAGAGACAGAAAGATGAGAGAGTGAAACGAGCGGAGGGACAGCCAACGCGTCTGACACCTTCCGGCCTTCACACAAAGCCCCAAATGTCCACCTCTACTATTTTCGCAAAGGGCAGTAGGTCATGACAAATCTTGTCGTTGTTCAACATAGTGTTCGAAAGCGGGAGTCATGTCCTCTCTATGTCCTCCATGAAAGCGTGGGAGCAGCACTTCGGGCTCGAGCGCGCACTGGCGCGCACCTCGGTGCGGAAACCTTCGGGGGCTATGCAAGGAAAGAGGGAGAGAGAGAGAGAGAGACATTGACGACCGAACCCGAGCTGAAATGTCAGTTTGGATTACCAGGTTACTCAAGAAAGCGTTGGGGGGTCGGCAGCAGCGGAGGGGTCCGTCTGCACCCCCCCCCTCACAGAGTTTCAAGTCTCCCACAACACTTGGGGGCGCGCGGACTGTGCGGGGGGCTCGCCCATCAGGTCCCATGAAAGAAAAAAGACGAAAGACATTGACCCGGTAAACTGGGTGCCGTTCCCCGAAGACGAAATTCGGCCCGGAAGACGAAATGGGAAACGAAATAATGCGGCCCCGAAGGCTACATGTTGCCGCGACAAGACTGCCAACAGGAACATCGGCCCAAACCCTGCCAGTGCGCCTGCTCCGGGCGCTCTCTGTTTCGGGTCGGCATTTCTGTTGTGTGCTGAGGGCGCCCCCTCCCCGCCCCACCCCTTCAACAAACAGTGTGGGCAGGGGTGGGTATTCGGAGGGAGGGAAGCCCGAAAGATGGACTTAAGCTTGCTATTGAGGCTAGATCACAGTGCAGAGCTTGCGAAGACCGACTTGATTGTTTGTCCATATTTTACCCGGATTTGGCGCAGCTGCTACCCTCTATGAAAATTGATCGCCTGGCCTCGCTACAGAGGGTTTGTTGAAAATGGAATCTTAGGCTCTACGCAAGATCGGGCAAGCCTCCAGCTTTAAGGGGCTTTTGGGATTCGACTTTGCCAAGACTGGGCTCACCTTTAGTTTTACCTGGCTTAGGGCTTGCAATTTTGCAAACGCTGGGCACTTGGGCTGGTAGGTCTAGTTTGGGTCCATACCCGTCATGCAAGCATTGTGTTTGCAAATTGGGGAGGCCTGTTTTTGCCCACGCAAGCATGGTTTGTAAAGAACATCAGACCATGAAGAAGACCTGCGCTTAAGACATCTGGGTGCTTTCCAAACCTGTCGTGCATTTTCAAGCCGCGAAGTAGATACCAATGCAATCTTGCTTTCTAAAGAGCATCAGCCGCGAAATCAACTTGCGTTTTGGACCATACACGGATCCTTTCCAAACCCGTAGTGCTAGCGTGCTAGCATTGTGTTAGCAAATGGTGGGGAGGGCCTGCACTCCCCCGAAACCCCCATGTTTTACTTGTTTGCAAAGAAGATCATGCAATGAAAAGGACTTGCGTTTAAACATATACGACAGGCCGAATTTAGGCTTCAGGGGCATTTTAGCCATCAGGCCGTGGGCGACCGAATCTAGCTTCAACGCCGAATTTAGGTCGGTTTGAAAATTTAGGTTTCGAGGGCTTTTTCGGCAGCCTCTCGGCGCCGGCTATATGGACCGCCAACCACTTCTGTGCGGGGGCCACGCGGAAGAATTGGCGGGGTCCACCTAGCTGTGTCAATAGTGGCCACCCAGAGCTACCACCTCGCACCGGGATAAGCACAATCGGGCGACTCGAGGATGGGAAACCGTTTTTCGCCAGGCTAGGGCGGCGTAATGCACGTGCCCAGGTTGCAGGTGTAGCCGAGAAAGTAAACTGAAAGCCTGCAGTTTCACCTGGTCTGCCAACAGGTCTGACTGCGTGTAGGAATCAAGGAAATAGGGGCAGCGGTCATGGGGGTGCAGCAGCAGAATCAGAGGAAACAAAAATAGAGAGTGAGGCCTTTGCTGTGCCCGGCAGAAGAAAAAGAAGAAGAAGAAGAAGAAGAAGAAGAAGAAGAAGAAGAAGAAGAAGAAGAAGAAGAAGAAGAAGAAGAAGAAGAAGAAGAAGAAGAAGAAGAAGAAGAAGAAGAAGAAGAAGAAGAAGAAGAAGAAGAAGAAGAAGAAGAAGAAGAAGAAGAAGAAGAAGAAGAAGAAGAAGAAGAAGAAGAAGAAGAAGAAGAAGAAGAAGAAGAAGAAGAAGAAGAAGAAGAAGAAGAAGAAGAAGAATAAGAAATGAGAGTGGGCGAAGAAATGTACGTGTGTGCTGGCATGTGCTGGCTGACCTTCCTGTTTCCGTATATGGAACGTGCAAGGTGCTACAGCGGCACTCGGTGCTGCTACGCACGCGGGAACTTCTCTGCTCCAATGTGGATGAGCTGAGCAGCCGCAGCTTCCGCGCGGCATTTACCAAGGCTCCAGCAAATAGTTGTAAAGACCTGAGACCAGACTCCTGCAGTAGTACCAGCTGACAGTTCAGGCTTGTGAAGAAGCAGAACTGGATGGTGCTGAAGAGCTTCGTGCACTAACGTTCTGCGCCATCGTGCCAGCTTACTACGAGGCCTCCAATCACTGACAAGGGCCAAAAGTACTCAAAGTATGACAGGGCGAGTTAGTTCTCCGAAGAGCCCAATCGTGAAGACCTCATGTTACTCGTCGGGTCAGTTCTCTCAGTAGATGAGCATAGGGGTCGTACAAAAGCATCTTTCCCCAAAACAGACTTTGCAAGAGCTGACTATATGCCCGACAGCACACGCACTTGTGCGCACCACAGACGCTGGAGAATGAGGTTGGGGATGCTGGGTCGCGTGTAGCCCGCGGATGATGCAGATTGGCATGGGGCAAGGTAAGCATGTTAGCAGGGTCCGATGGTAGTAGGGCCGGACAGCTGATGTTTCTGCCAGTGTAGCCGACACTTTGCCTGTTGGTGCAAAATTGGTTGGTGAAATCTCGGGTCTCGGAGTCTTTCACATTGCGTCGGCGAAGAGCTTGGCAGACTAGTAAGTTTATACTATGCGACAACGAGGCATTCCCATTGCAATTTCAATTAGGTTTATCTCCCGCCCCGCACGTGAAGTTTTCCAACCCGAAGCCCTAACACCCCAAACCCCAAAACCCGAACAAGAAGCAGAAACAGCTCCTCTGAATTGGGTAGTAGATGGATTCGTTATGCTTGTAGGATGACTTTGAACAGGCAAATGACTATGCCCGTGGCCCACATGTTACGCAGCCCTTCAGTAGCCTCCATCAGAGCAAAGGCTTCTTCTGAACTCAAAGGTGCTTGCAGATGCATCTCTCCTCTGTTCGGTTTTTGTCTATTATTATGATTGTCGTTGTTTTTTGTTGTTTTTTGTTCGCTCTCTGTCTCTCTCCGTCTTTCAGTTCTGGGCCCCTTGGGTGCATCGATTTCCGGCGTCCGGGTCCTGTGTGGATGGGTTTCAAGTATCAGTCTCACAGGGAGTGCGCAGCGCTTCCAGAGAAAGGCAGAGGCCATCGAGTGGGGCTCCAAAGCCGGTCCCGGGCACCTCCCGAGAGCCATCCACGCCCCACAGTCCCCCCACAACAATTCCTGGCCACCCAGGCCAAACGATCCCAAAAGCGCACGTTTTTGGCGAAAATCTGGAAGCGACGGCAAGGGAATCTCGGCTGGCCCTTGCTGGGGTCAGCAGGACAGCAGTGGGGATCGTCCCGACGACAAGATGGCACGGAGCTTCCTTTTCCGGCAGGGGTTCGGTCCGATTCGGGCAGGGCAAGCCAAAAAACCAATATTGCTCCAGACGCGGGCGGCGGCCCGGGCGGATTAAGGATTCTGCAATGATTGATGGAATGGCTGGTATGTGTGAAGCTAGTTAGTCATCGGATGTAGGTTGGGATGAAAACGCTTGAGATGTGAGCAGCTCTTTTGTTTGCTGCAGAAGCAGAGAGCAGCAGAATGGTCCATCTTTATGACTTCAACCTCGAAGCAGTGTTGGAAATGGACTTCGGTTTCCAGAACAGAGCCGCGAGGTGAATCGCCAGATCAAAGGCCGCCAAACCAATGATTTGGACTCAGCGCTTGCCCTAAGAGATCGCCTCTTGGAGGTGCCAGAGAAGAGCATTCCCTCTATGTTGCTGTGATGTTTTCTCAAGTTGTCTAAAACTTTCTCTTGCGTTGACGATGGTCAGGCAAAGGCTGAAGGCTGGCCTGCACTGAGCCGGTGTCCAATGGGGTCCATGTGCCGTGGCAGATTCGTCTTCGATGGCTGCCAAGGACGCGAGTGGATGGCCATCATGCAGTGCCCAAGCGAGGCCAGGGCGAGGTAGATGTAGACGCAGGAGTGAGGAGAGCATGGCATGGGCGGTCCGGACCGCAAGCAATGTGCCAGTCCACATCCAAGGGCATTCTTGCTGCTTCATGTGTCCTCAACCGTGCGCAGCTGCTGGCTTTGATGACACCTTTCACCCCGCAAAAAGCAAGCATGCCGTATTTTTACCTCCTGGGATGTGGGAGAGCCATTTTGTTGACGGCGTGTTTGGAAGGTTGACAGACCATCCTGAGCTCTTTGAACCTTGTTTAAACCCGTGAGCCCATCCGAGCTTCGCCAGCCTAAGCCCATCTAAGCACTAAACCGCTCCACAGGACCCCTAGAGGGCCGGTGCGTTTAGGATCTTCTAGGTATGTGCGCGCGGCATAGGCATCAAAAAAAAGTAATAAGCATCAAAAAGAAAAATAATAGGGATCAATAAAGAAAACAATAAGGATCAAAAAAACAAAATAAGCCATCCGGCCCACCTGCGTGGTCCTCTGGTCCCGTGGTCCTCTGGTCCCGTGGTCCTCTGGTGCCGTGGTCCGTGGTCCCCTGGTCCTGTGGTCCCCTGGTCTTGTGGTCCCCTGGTCCTCTGGTCCTCTGGTCTGCTTGTCTGTCCGCCTGGTCCTGCGGGTCCTAGGTGTATAAATAAATAATTAAATTAAACAAATAAATAAAAATCAATAAATATACATATATATTATATACGCACACGATAGTGAAGGTCAACGTGTGTGCATATCTATGTATGTATGTATGTGCATATATATATATATACATATTACATAATACACATTACATTACACATTACATATTATATATTTTACATTATAAATTATATTATATATTATGTATTATGTATCATGTATTATGTATTATGTATTATGTATGTATTATGCATTATATAGTATGTTTTTTGTTTGATGTACTATGTATTATGAATTATATATTATATGCTTGATATTATGTATTCTGTATTATTTATATTATGTATTCTGTATTATGTATTATGTATTATGTATTGTGTATTATGTATTATGTATTATGTATTAGCATTATGTATTGTATATGTACTATGTCTTATGTACTATGTATTATGTATTATATATTTTATATAATATATCATACTATATCTATAATATATAATATAATTTATATATTATATATTATTATATAAATATTCTATATATATTATATTCTATATATATAAATGTATTATATATATTAAATAAATAAATATATAATAATATTATATTATATTATATATATTATATTATATTATATATATATTACATATTATATATTATATATATTATATATATTATATATATATATATTATATATATATATAATTATATATATTATATATATTATATATTTATATTATATATTATATATAATATATATTATATATATATTTATATTATATATATATATTATATTATATATATATTATATATATTATATTATATATAATATATTTATATATATAATATATTATATATTATTATATTATTATATTATATCTATTATATATATTATATATATTATATATATTATATTATATTATATATATTATATATATATTTATATATATATATATATATTATATATTATATATTATATATATTATATATATTATATAATATTATTATATATATATTATATATTATATATAATTATATTATATAAATATTAATATAGTATTATATATATTATATATATTATATATCATATATATTTATATATATATATATATTATATATTATATATATTATATATATATATATTATTGTATCTATATCATATATTATATTAATATATTATTATATATATTATATTATTATATATATTATATTCTATATTATATAATATATATATTATATAGATTTTATATATATTATATTATATATTATATTATATATTATATATTATCTTAATTATTATATATATATTATATATATTTATATATATTATATTATATATATTATATATTGTAATATTATATCTATTTATATTATCTATATATATAATATATTTATATATATATATATATTATATATACATATATATATATCTATTAATTATATATATATATTTCTATATCATAATATCTATATCATCATATCTATAATATATATATATATATTATATATACATATATATCTATATAGATATATATATAGATATTATCTATATATATATTTAATATTGTAAACATTATCTCATGTGTATATATATACACTTGTTTATATATATCACTATATATATATTTTATACCTTTTCATTTATATCTATATTTTCTTATTGTTGTAAATTATATGATATATAATGTAAAATAAATATAGATATACATATATTTATATATATACATATATATATATATATATCGCATATTGTATATTATATTTCATATATTGCATATGATATATTGTATATTGTATATTATATACTGCATATAATGCATAGTATAAAGTATATAATATATAATATATACATAATATATAATATATAAAATATATAATATTATTTATTATTAATTAGTTTATTGTTTATTATTCATTATATAGTATTGTTTATATATTACGTATGTAGTATGTACTATATATTGTTCTTTGAAGCCATTGGAATGCAAAGAAAATGGAAGTTTTTTGCTTAAAACATGTAGAAGTAGAGTTTTTCCGATGGAAACATAGAGATAATAGAGGATTTCTCATGAAAACGTGATGACAGTAGACGTTTTCTTGTGAGAGTATGAAGAAATAGAGGCTTTCCCATGGAAAGATCGAGAAAATAGAAGGTTTTCCAACCACTACCACCACTTCTACGCATCGTGCGAACATTGTTTGCAAATGGGGGGGGCTGCGCCCCCCCCAACCCCCCCGCTGTTTTTTTTAAGCTGTGCAAAGCGTGCTGCAAAGCCAAGTGGGGGGGCTGCGCCAACCCCAACCCCCCCGCGTTTTTATCAAGCTGTGCCACTGCAAAGCGTGTTTTCTGAATCTTGTTGAAGCCTTTGGGATACTAAAAAGTTTAAGTTTTTCTTAAAATATATGGAAATAAAGGTTTTCCGATGGAAACATAGAGATGATAGAGGTTTCCTATGAAAACGTGAAGAAAATAGAGGTTTTCTTGTGGGAATATGAAGAAATAGAGGTTTTCCTATTAAAAGATCGAGAAAATCGAAGGTTTTCCAACCACTACCACCACCCACTACGACCCATCGTGCGAGCATTGTGTTTGCAAAATGGGGGGGGTGGGGGGCCCCCGCCCCCTCCCCCCAACCCCCCCCCAACCCCCCCCCCAAACCACCCCCCCCAACCCCCCCCCCCCCCCAACCCCCCCCCCCCCCCAACCCCCCCCCCCCCACCCCCCCCCCCCCCCCCCCCCCCCCCCCCCCGCTGTATTCCAAGAGGAAAATGGGTTATTTTTTTTTTGATGCTTATTTATTTGTTTTTTGATCCCTTGGGGTTATTTTTTTTGATGCTTACTTAGTTTTTTTTTGATCCTTCACCCTGTGCGCTCTTGTGCGCTCTTGTTTTGACCCTCAGTTGCTGCAGCTCGGCATTAGTCGACGAAGCGCTTGTGACACGCAGGCAGGTCACCGCAGCTACAGCGTGGGGGCCTCAAACAGGGTCAGAGAGTCAGAGACCCTAGGGTTTTGGGGTTTTGATAGCAGCGGCTCGTTTTGCTTCGCCTTTCTTGGTTTGGTGCTGAGCCCTTCGTACCGAGGCTGAGCAGGCAGCACAAATAGCTGATTCTGCTTGGGACGCTGGCATAGCTTCAAGAGCCAGAGCCGAGGCGTTCACATCAAGTAATTGACACCATCTTGTGCCTTTTTTTCTGTAACTTCTGTAACTTCATGTAGCTTCTGTAACATATCAATCTATTGCAGATGCCTTGCAGCTGCCTGCCAGTTGGAAGACACACTGTGTTTGAAGTTGCACGGACAGGCAAAACGTTCGGCAGTCCCAAAGCGGAGAGATCGGCAGGACAGCTCGTCAAGTTTGGAACCTGCATCAAGTCTTGAATGGCGCTCTCACACCTTCTGCGCTTCCCTCATGCGAGGTTGCTTGCGGTCCAACTGTGGTAGCTAGGTTAATAAGTTGCAGCATTTGTTTGCTTGGGTGCAACTTTTTATTTTGCTTGTCACTTTTTGTGTCTCGGGCCTCAAGGTTCTACCCCCAGCACTCAAACGAGCCTGTGGCAATCTTAAGGGCTTTGTCAGGAGGAGCAAAGCCTAAACCCTGAAAAGAGGCCTGAAGACCCGGACAGATGTGGCAAACCCAAATTCCATCTGGCCGCGAAGAGGCGGCTTTTGGAGCTCGCTGGCCAAATGAGGGACACGCGTTGGGGTCATGCTATTGGCCGGGACACCTGCAGGGGTTCATGTTAGCTGAGCAGGCCGAAGGGATGTGAGAACATGTTGGGTGGCAAGCCCTAAACCCTACAAGGAGATGGTGGCAAGCCCTAACCCTGGCAAACGGTAAGCCCTTTATGGAGATGTTGGGTGGCAAGGCCTAAGCCCTGAAAACAGATGTTGCAGTGCGCCCCTGAAGCTTGAAAAGATATAATATGTGTTGAGAGTCGTTAAACGCCATGTCGGGTGGCAATCCCGAAAATAGATGCTGGCAGGCAGGCCTGTCACTATAATTCGAGATGCGCGTGGCCCTAAACGGAGAGAGACTGCATTGGCTGGGAAGGCTGCAGGCTGCCCAGCAGCCGCAAAGGACATGTCGACCCCAGAAAGGAGAGGTTGAGTCCTAAATAGAGGTGTTGGCAGCACACGCCTGAAACGGAAAGGCCGCATCTGGGGAAGGCATGAGCCCTACGGCGGCTAAGGCGAAAATGTGAAATTGTCTGCTTATTATGTATAGAGCAAATAATGTCTGTATGGCATCAAAAAAGCACAACCGCCCTCTCGAGACATCGGACGTCTTTGAAGAGAAAGAAGTTACAAGAGTCGCAGGTAAGCGAAAACAAGTTAGAGTTAAGCGTGCTTCTATCTCACCGTTCTTATGCTCCAGTGGAGGGCAAGATGCCAGTCTGATGCCGCAGGTCACAGTTGAAACGGCTGCCAAAGCAGTGGCCCGTGCACTGAAGGCACGGCCTGTGTCCGGGCTTGGGCATGTGTATGACATGTATGACCAACTGTGCCACGTGGACAAGGTGCCGCTATCTTGTACGTCCCCGAATTCCCAAAACCCACTCCGAACCCAAAACCCTCGACTGGGGTGAGTATGCCGCTGCAAAGTTGCAGGCCGAAGCAGCGGAACCGCCGCCGAAACGGCCAAAAACCTGCAGTGCAAAATAGATCGCACGGGATTGCAAGAATCCATTTTATGAGAAGTGTTGTCAGTGCATCTTCAAAGGTGCTTCTGGGTGCGACACGCGATCATATGGCTCTTTGCCCAGCCACTGTAATGCATGTCTTAAAATGTCTCAAATGTATTTCGAGCATTGGTGCCTCTATTGCTGGTGCACGAAGGCGAATTCAGACATCACCGACACAACAACTCCCACCCGTGAACCTTCAAGTGCCCAGTGGATGTGCCCATGCTGGCGCCTCGTAAGACTCCTTGCAGGCTTGGAGCGCCGGGGCTCCTGCGTGGCACAGTATGGCTCGCATCCTGCGCTTTGTTTGTGTCCATGTCCTTGCCTCCATCTCGTGCACTTGTCGGTGGAGTAGCTGGCCAGCGTGTGAGTCGCGCATGGAACTTTGCTTATGGCTCCAACCTGGATGAACTCACAAGAAGACGCAGACAACTTCGGCCTTCTCAGATTCAGCCGGCAGTGGCTCATGGCTGGGAGTTGCGGTTTAGCCTGCCAGGAATCCCTTTCTTGGAGCCAGCATTTGCATCTCTTCGGCCATCCAGAAGCAATAGCATCAGCACACATGGAGTGTGTCTCGAGCTGGGCATGGAGGGCTGGTTCCGTTTGCTGACCAGTGAAGGAGTTCTTGGAGCTGCAGAGGTCAATGAACTGAGAATGCGACAAGCCTCCTTGGAAGAAGTACTGGACAGGGCTGCAAAGAAGGATCAAGATGTCCGTGGCTACAGGCTCTTGCCAATCGAGGTGCAGCCTTCACTTGCAACACCCTACCGTGCACTCACGCATCCTGAACGGTAATGACTAGCGCAAGACGTAAGACGACAGATCCAAGCACCAACTCCACAATGGCTCCTTCGTTGCCTCTCAATTCCTCTCGGGATTCTTATCTCTCTCACCGGGTACTCTTGTTCTTTGTCATTGTTGTGCTCGGAGCTGTACTTGTAGCGTGCGATGCAGACTTATGTCTCAGGGTCACCTGGGTCTTGTGAGCAGGTTTTGACATATTCTACGTCTCAGCGCGAGACGGCCTACGCCCTGGTTGATGGTAATTTCGAACCTCCAGCACCTCAGATCAAGCTGCCATCTTTGAGATATTGGCGGCTGCTGCGCAATGGGGCAAGGCGACATGGCTTGACACGCGAATACCGCGACTATCTGGCCTCGTTGCCGAGGCCCTTGAGAGTGGCTGAAACCTAAATGCAGTGACGGCATCATGTTCTTTTGCTGCTTTGCTGTGTGGACCCGCATATGTATGGGGCTTGTTCTAAAGGTGCTTGGAAGGGATGGGTCGTTGGGAAAAGGGTCCCTTAAATGGCGGAAACAATGAACATCAATTTATCATTCAACATGCTCAAACAAGACATCAAATTTTTTCCACACAACCGCACAACAGCTGAATCTATTAGTCGAGCTGCATCATCGAAAGCCCATCACCGAATGATCGTCAATGAATGTGCCTGACAGTGGATGCGATGCACCACTACCAGGCGACCGTTGCAAAAAACCTATACATGTACGCCTTTCATCACCGAATGTTTCGTCACCGAATCTGTGGTGCAGTGCTGCGACCTCGGGGCAAGCTGCCCAACTGCACCTAACATGTTCTCCTGTGTCTGCAAGATAGACTCATAGATACACCATTTGCTGTACGCATTCTGGTTCTTTCCCTCCCCATATTTGCTCTTTTATTCCTCCTCACTTCACAGGCAGTAAATTGTTTAAAACTAGACCAGTTCAAATTCTGTTTCACCCCTCCGCCGCCCTCAGATCTTTGACTATCTTCTCTTTATTTCGTTCCCCAGGCTAGGCTTCTGTGCTCAGACTGACAGTCTGCACGTAGGAAAAAATGTCGGAATCCTTAAAAATGCCTATGTTGGGGACCGGCATTTGACCAACTGCCATACAAGGGATAAGGGGTACTTATTGCGCACGGGAATCTGCTGAGTTTGGCCGCCCTGAAGGTATGTGCCATCTTTGCTAGCTCCAGCTGCACTTCCAGCTATAGCTGGGGATGCCATGAAATGGTGGACGCCTGGTGCAAGCTTGGAGCAGGAGGCACAACTGCCGCCAACAAATCATACCCCTGCTTTTTTTTTGTTTGCACGGAAGTTATTGGGAATTGGTATGACGGTATAATGTGGCCTGCAGAGGCCTGGCCGCAGCTGAAAGGTCCCGCAAGCCTTGCGTGCCGAGCTCAGCGGGGCAAACCGAGATGCAAACATGAGCAGATCAGGTTTATTGTTTATGAACTTTTACATAGCCTCTTCCAAGGCAGGGCCGCCTGGAAATTGGGCCAGACCCATCCAATGCCGTCGGTCTCTCAGGACAAAGAGGAACTGGTCCAAGCGAGACATGTACAAGCTCATGAGGCTCATACAAGCCGATTTTTCCTTTCGGGTGCTCAAAAGTCTGAGTCTCACATCAACGCTTGTGAGGGTACTTGTCGCGCATTTCTGTTGGCCGTGGCTCATAACTTTTGCTTGTTGCCTTCTAAAATGCAAGAATTTGGCTGGAAAATTGCCGTTAAAATGCACGCTTTGCAGGTCTGGAATAAATTCTGTTCCATGCCGCGGGATGACGTGCAGGGGCCTTACTTGGCCTTAGCCTTGCCCAGATGTTGACATCCTGCGGGCTGCTCTTAGGGGGCTGAAGCCGAAAACTCATCAAAGTCTTCAAGGTGGAGCTTGCAGGGCTCCGTTGTTGTAACTCGTTGTTTACATGGTCAGCCCCGCCCACGCAGTGGTGCTGGGGTTTGGGGTAAAGTGTGGACTCGGGGTCGAGCACCACGGGGCTTCTCTCCATAAAAAACCTTGAAGGGCAGAAAGAGCAGTGACATGCAAATAAGCCGGCCAGAGGCCAACCAGAAATGTTTGAGGTTGAAGCGTGTGCTAACGCTCGTTGGAGAGGACATCACAGTCGCTGTTCGAACCTGCGTCTTGCATCAGACGCATGGCAATGCTAGGCAACGATAGGCCCAAGGCAAAGGCGAACTGCAAGATCTCAGTGTGCAGCTTCACCTAGCAGGAGTGCCCAACTCTCTATTGGGCTTAACTTCTGAGATGGCATGAGGACTTTGCGCATTTCATCTCGCATACTGTTGCAATATTTGACATCAGGCAGGCTGTAAGAGTGTTCGGTCACAAGCCGCACCTATATAGCCGCAACTGGCCGCAACTAGCCCTAACCAGCCGCACTCTCATTTCACTCTCAATTCGCTTGCAAGGACGTCCAGCAGGTTGCGGCTCTTATGACTCCGCAACATTTAAAGTGCCACAACCTGTTGACACGTACTTCTAATGCCAAATTTTCCGCAGAGCAGAAGCTCAGGCGCCAAAGCAGACCGGGTTTCATAGGCTGAAGCTCCGACTGTGGTCAAAAGTTGCCAGACATGGTCAACTTTAGGTCATGAAGCTCATTTCTTCAGTTCTCGTTTCGCAGACCTCTCCAACCATGGCTCAGGACGACATGCGCAGACTTTCTCATACTTTCTCAGACTTCATTTTCACATGCACCAGCATTCAACACAGCAGAGGACCCTTTCAGATCGTTGATGGAGCTTTCAGAGGACAACAATCTCTAAGGGACCGATGCACCTGTGCAAATCTGCCTGCTCGAATGATGGGCCATGGGTACCTATCGCGCGCACCGAGTTCTCGGACGGCATGCAGCGCGAACCTTGGACGGTCGAAGCATGCTTCCAGGGTGGCAAGAGGCCTACTGCAGGTGAGATGTTTACATACACTAAATGCCGAACTCATAGGCCTCTCTTGTCTGGAGGTCGGTTTGAAGTTGTGGTCTTCAATTGCGCAGCAGTGCAGGGTTCTGCGGTTTCACTAGTAGGGAATCATCACAGAATTGCCTGCGCCTCCCGCCTGCGAGGATAGGAATCGCGCCATACTAAGATGCTCATGACAACTGCAGTACATAATCCGCGTAGCGACGGTCAGCCTGGACCTCTGAGGGTTTCGCAGTGTTCAAATGTGTTTGGCATCAGGTGCGGTGTTTCCAGGGCTTGGTGGTTGCTCACGATAGTTTGGTAAGGGCGGTATTGTGGCCCGGGTGTGGAGCTACTGGGCTCAGAGTTGCGCGCATGAATGTAGATCCGAGTCAAGGGGAAAGGTCGAACAGCTTTCGTCGATGATTTTCTTGAAGGCATGTCGTTTCCGTCGTGACCTTCGTGTTTGGCTTGCTCTGCATTGCCCAAATGCAGGCGTGGGCGCTTGTGGTTCTGATCTGGCAGTGCAGGCGTGGTTGTATGCTTCAGAGATTCTTCAGTGAAGTTTCGTGTTCCCGAGTCAATGCTTTTCGCCCTGCCAGGCCCTGCGGCTTTGCACCCAGCGTGAGCTCATTGAAAGCTTCCTCGTTGCAGGTTCGCCCGACGTGTGACTTGAACAGGGCAGTGTTCTGTTGCATTATGAACTTCACTTGGCAGGTCGTGCCACTTGCCGTTTCTAGACTCAGGACCCGCCTGTTATTCATCTATCCCGTTCTCATGTGTTCAATTATTATCGCTATGCGACCCGCCTCGGCTGGGGCCTGATCTGAGCACCCATGCAAGGCAAATGGACGACAGAAGCGCCAGGGATCGGGGATGGAGGGCTTCTCAGATTAGGCTTCAGAGCGTGAAGGTGTAGGAAGAGTCAGTTGTAACGGAGCGGCTTGGACACCGACGGTTCTGGGTCGCAAGGTGTTGCATGGTTGAGGGATCTCAGCGACGCAGGTTCCTACCCTGAACCATTCAACCTGCTCCATCGCTTTACGGAAACATGAAAGCTCCGTGTTGCCACGCCGTTAAATCAAAGGCGGCCGAGGGTTCCCTTCCGCACTTTCAAAAGACAAACCCTTCAGCGCTCTGAGTCGATAGACATCCCCAGCTGGCCCTAGAGGGTCTCTGCTCTTCATGAAAGAGGTCCTTGGATGGATTCTAAAGTCCCCAGATCCCTACAGGGTTGAGGGACCCCAACTGAAGACCGGTTTTCAAGGTCATGCTGGGCGCGGCGGCTAGGATTCAGGCAAAACAAAAAGCGGATTGGGTGTGGTACCTTTGGAATCCTTGAGACGCTTTATGATCCTCTTCAGACCCGAGGCATTGGCGGATAAACATATTCACTTGTCTGGTTCCTATTCGTTCTAATGTTGTTGCATGTATCAGCGTTATCAGCGTTGTACTGCTGGAACTGAAGACCAGTGCGCCTACAATCTTGGGCCCGTCGCGCAGCTGGTGCGGGGAACGAGGCCCCGCCCTTGTCACGGAACACAACGTTTGCCGCAAGAAGACTCAGATGCGACCTACCACTTCAGATGCATGAGGGAGTGCTGAGACCTTGTCACAAGGTGGAGGGATTTCTGCTGGAGGAGCTACATGAGAATTGTGGTATTCGTAAAGGTTTTTGTAAATTCTAAGCCCAACGCCTTGTTGAGGAGAAGTTGGGTGCTGGTTCATTTGGCACCACATGGCAGGCCTCATCCTCAGAACCATAGCCCATGGAAATATGCTGACAGGGAAGCCGAGCCTCGCACGCCTCGCACGCCTCGCACGCCTCGCACGCCTCGCACGCCCGAAGGCCAATGTCACTGACCGCTGTGAGGCAGCGGTGGGTTTCTGATTGTTTTGTCACCAGCCTGTGTGTGGGGTAGGCTTTAACTCAGCAACCCGGATCAACCCCTTGGAGCGCCAATCCCAAGAGAATCCCTAGAGTGCCCACCGCAAGAGATCTTGCAGAAAATCCCTGGAGTGCCCAATCTCAGATGATCCTTACAGGAGCCGGTGTGGGGATTCGCATTAGCTTATTGTGAGTCCTATGCTTGCATCTATCGCTCTGCGCGCTTCAAGGGCTCCACGGCGACCGAAAAGTTAAGCTCTGGCATAGGCTGGCATGGACCATCAGGCGGAATTGCTTGGGCCAAACACGAGGTATCGAGTTGCTGGCAAGGACCGATCAAAATTTCCAAAACCAAAGGACGATCAGCACGCCATCTGTTGGGGCCCCCGCATTAGGAAAGCAAGCCAAGCAAGCACAAAATGCCGAGTACAAAGCCCGAACTTATGCAAACGCACCTCCCGGAACTTATGCAAACGCACCTCCCGGGAACTCGCTAGAGGGTCCCACAAGGGGATTTCTCGACAACGGAGCCAGCTCTTTTGTTCTGTCAGGTTCCCAACTTGTCGCCGGGACAGAAGGTGGCTCTGAAGCTGGTTAGGCTGGAGGACATCCGACCCATCCGACCTGTGGACTCATCTGGGCGCAAGTGCACTAAGTGCATTGGACTTCCTAACACAGGAAGGCTGGGCCACATTGGACAAGTTTGAGCGTGAAGCTTCGGTACTGCAGAGGCTGGTGCTGTAGCCATTGCTCGTTTATGACCTGGCATCGTGAAGACTTCGCAGGCTGCAGCATCCGGCAGTTCCCTCATACTTTGGCAGTGTGGTCAAGGACCGTCCAGATGGTCAAGACTTCGGCAGCTCAGCAGAAGCTAAACAGTCACCACGCAACTCAGGAGGTGAAATGGAATGCAAGAAGTGACACTCTGCACATCTCTGCACTACTGCGTCTCCACACAGTGATCTCTGTAGTCCCTATCCCCTTGCACAAGGTGTGGGAGCGATTGATGTCGTTAGGTGCCCACTTGTGCATTCGTGGCCAATCGACGAACCTGTTTGGCTTTTCTGGAGTTTGGCCATATGATCCCCACCCTAATCCAGCAGCGATAAGCCTGGAAACCTTTCTTGGACACTGTGCGTTGACGCGATCTGGGCCAAACTTGAGCACACACACACACACCCACACACAGCGTGGCTGCTGTATTCAGCTTCAGTAGGCCTGATGCTCATGATGCCCGATGTTTGCCAGGACCATTCCCAAGATTCATAAGCCACCTTAGCAATATGAGTGCATCACTTTGGGAATTCAAGCTTCAGGTTCCAGGAAGCTCCCTCCATGATGTCCAAGAGAGAAAGTTCCCGAGGCTTAGTGTCCAACATCGTCAATGGAAAGACGTTGGAAGAAGAGCTTCGTAGTGGTCACTGGGCCGCAGGCTCAGCACGCCAATGTCGGAAATGGACGCGCAGTGTACAGAGTACATGCAGCGCCCAGGTCGCCACCGTGGAAAATGTGAAGATGCTAGCAGACACCCTCTTGGACGTGTGGAACTGGGACATGTGCCGCATGTTGCGGGTGGCAAAGTCTCAGGAGTCCAAGAGGGAGAGAGTTGATCTAGATTGATCTAGGTGTGTGTCCATTTGGCCAGCTTTGCACCTCCGATCGTGCGCTGGCATGCTTGGGCTGTGAAGTTAGAAGCGCCTCTCGAATTGGTGTCTTACTCTGAAAAGTGAACCGGACCATTTATGCTGTTCATGATGTTCATGCACCAAGCCGACAAAGAGCATTGCAGGTCCACCGAGACATCAAGCCTCAAAACATCTTGCTGGAGGCTCTGGTTGCAAAGCTGTGCAGGTTGTACCAGCACATAAGCACAGTTGTCTTGAACGGGGCGTTTGTGTCTATGTGTGTATAAATCCTCAGGGAGTCACGACCATGTCTGTTTTAACAAGATGCAGGGTTGCAGAAAATGTGAAGAAAACAAGAGGTAGTTGCAGTCAACTGCACGTCTGCATGTAGCGCCTTTCTCCTACCTGCAGTCGTGCTAGCATTGTTGTTCCCTTTGTCACGCTAGGCCGCCAGGCCTCCTGCACTAGGGCACTGGGGTGTAATTCAGGGACTATTCAGGGCTGAGGGTTCATGGTTTTCCCCGATAAGTGCGAAGACGAAACTTGCAACACGTCGAAAGCAACGATGTTTCTTTAAACGCGCTGCCGGCCTTGCCATAGCTCCCTCAACCTCGCAAGGGCTTCGCAGGGTGTTGAACAGTTCACCCCAAACATCCTCGCATCGAAGCCGTGATACGGCATGCATCTCATCCACAACCCAGCTTAACGGGTTACCGTAGATTGTCGCAAAGCTGGTGAAGTGGGTGTGCTGCAGCCATTTTTCGAAAATTTCAGATGGCCCAAAGGCTTATGGAATGGCAAGATGGCTTGGGTCCTGGGCATCACATCTGGACCTCATGATTCAGGAGCATGTCTACTTCGCGGAGGGGAACTGATGTGCGCTTCGAATGAAGAACGCTTCAGCCGCCGCAAGCATGATGGCTGTTTCCCGAAACGTTCGATCGAATACTGCATGCGGTCGCAAGGAATTGCCCCAGAGCAAATCAGCATCGTTGCGCATGGCTGGCTCTTCGGTGAAGAGGGCGATTTAATGAAGCGAGTTGCTGAAGAACCGGAGTGCATACAGAAGCAAATGATCTGGATAGCAGAACGATTTCGTGAGGTAGACTCCAACGTGGAATCACGGCTTCGATCAGGCTTGAGAGCACTTGGAGTCTCTGAAGATCGGCTGCGCTTCTATGACCACCACTCCTGCCACGCCGCCGCCGCTTTCTTTTCGCGGCCACCCCGCCTTCTTGTCGACAGTCGCGAGTGCTGCTGCATCACGTTGGATGGACGTGGCGATCTAGCATCTGGTAAGATTATCGAGTTCGACCAGAAGCCAGTGGTCCTCGATGTGACTTCCATGTTTGATAGCCTTGGTATGCTCTGGGCCTTTGTCACCGCTGCGTTGGGCTTCAAAGCTTTCCGCCACGAGGGCAAGATTGCAGGCTCTGGAGTACGTTCGGATGTTATACACCGTGTATCAACATCAGGGTTCGCACCCAAGATAGGCATCCGTAGAGGCAGGCCTCCAACATTTCAGTGATTGCCTGGGCCAGTTCGTCAGCAGACTTGACTGAAAGTCTTTGCAGCCAAGGCTGTCTTTATGAAATAGTTTAGAATGAACTGAGTCATCGGCTCACGGCCATCACAAAAAATATTCCAACCGCAATCACAAGCCCAGGACCACCAGAATACCCGCACAGTCCCATCTTCACTTGGCCCCGTGTGCAGGCCTAGCCGCTGGTGGGGACTCCGCAAGGACTCGACACATCTTCGAGAAAGTCATGGGGCTGACAAACAATGAGGGGCGATGGAGGATCAAAACGTTCTGGCAACATGAAGAGTCAAGAAACTTCATGCTTTTTCTGGCCAGCCTAGAGGGCTCAGCCCAGCAAAGGCGAGACATTCGAACGTTCGCTCTTTACCAGGAGCTGCAGCAGCACCAGCCACAGGATGTTGCGGCAGGCCTGCAGTCATTCACGGAGGACATGCTGGTGGACTACCTGCGCTTGAACAACTTTGTCAAATCGTACGTCTGTGTGGCCGGCGGCGTCTTCGCCAATGTCCGCCTAAACATGCGCCTGCGACAGTGCTTCCCGGAGGCACGAGCGGGTGGCTGAGAAGACTACACGTGTGCACATTGTGCGAAGTTGTGCGACATGAAAGTGGCTGCGACGCTGGGCTTTTCTGCCGAGGTCTTTGTGTATCCAAACATGGGCGACGGTGGCCTTTGTTTCGGCGCTGCAGCTTTGGCAGCGGCTGATTCAAGTCAGCAGGTGTCCAGTCCGATGCTTGGTTGCGCACATGTGAGTCTGAGCGCAGCAAGTACTCGTACCAGATACGAAAGACTCAGCTGCGCGGGGCTGGAGTTAGATGATAGGCTTTGTCTGAGGAAGGGCAGCGTATTCCTGGGACCAGACTATGTTGCGGAGACACTTGGCTTACTCTTCCGAGGGCATGTTCTCCGGTACTTTCGCAGGGCTCGAGATGCAGTCCGGTTCTGCGTTGACCTGAAAGGCTTGACGGAGTTTTGCGACCTCTTTTGCCAGCAGGTGCCTCGATGACTTCGGAACCTTGAAAGCCACGTGAATTTAAGCCGTAGAACCAGTAGGTGCAGCATGATGCAGGCGTACGTCGCTGTAATCTGGTGACTGTGCGTCCTTGATCACACCCTTGCAGGTGGATCGGAGATAAATGATCTGAACCGATTCGCCGAAGAGGTGGCAACGTACTTGGCAAATGGCAAGGTGCGGAACACCTTTGAGACTCTAGACGAGATCTCGACAGGGGGAGACCTGGGGCTTGTGTAGTGACAGTGTAGTGTAGAGTTACTAGTGCTGACTGATGTTGATCGAAGAGGTCGTGGGGCTGTACCATGGAGCGATGGAGTTCGGCCCGCGCGCCCTGGGACATCGCTCTTTGCTAGCTTCTGCGACTGATCCTGCCGTAAATTCAGTCTTGACCCTTGGTAGCACAAGAAGCTCATTGATTTATTGTTGCGGAGCTGCTTATCTTGGCGTCTTGACATCTGGACCAGCAGGAACATGCGCTTGGGACGGACGGACTTCATGCCATTTGCCCCAATGACGCTGAGAAGCAGGGCTGGGCGAGCATACCTGGACTTTCCTGTTGAGGACTCTGCAGTAGGAACTTGATCGGTGCTGTGCAGATTATCACGAAAGCTCCCCCTGGAGAGCTTTCGTTTAATACCCCGTCAGGGCTGGGGCGGAGCCATGGGGGGGGTGTGGGGGGGGGGGGGGGGTCAAAAAACCCTGACATTTTCGCGGCGTCCCCGGGCGAATTTGGGGCCCAGGGCGGTTGCCCAAAACGGTTTTTTGGAGCATTTTTCGGGTCCTCGGCGTGGACTCGTTTTTATGCCTCTCCGAGGAGAAGCGGGACCGGGCTGATGCTGCTGATGCTCGCGGGGCGGCGTGCTTTGGCGGGTCGCTACAGGCCTAAATCTGCCAAAAAAAGGCGCAGCAGGGTCTGCACGACAGTCGCCAATAACTGCGGTCACTCTCGTAGCACCTCTTCAGTTGGTCCGGGCCCTCCTCCCTGTTTGACCCTGTAGCCCAGATAAACGAAGCGAGTTGAGTTTTCTCCTGTGCCCCGCTTGCAGGGGTCCCCACCCTCATAGCTACAATCTGACACACCGCTTTCAACACCCGTATGTGTCGTCGGTCTGACCTCCGAGCTTTTGGCCGTGTCTGTCTATACACGGTAGGTACACTTGTGTGACTTCCTGTAACTTTGTGTTGCTTTTGTGCATGGTGGCTCACTTGAAGCACCGCTTCGCTTTAACCTTTGACTTTGCCACATGAATTGGGTCGGCGCTTTGATCTCTCGGCGCCTGTCTCTTCCTGCTAGCTCCGTGTCCCCAGTCCTGGACCTACTAGAGCTTTCGTCCCAGCCCGTGGCTCTCAAGTGCCTGGTAGAACTGACTTTATCGTATTGGTACGTCCATGCAACTGGTGGAATCACTGTGCCTACTGAGCACCACTTTGTCATTTGTTCATTGGTCTTGCATCTTTTCTTGCCTGCACCGCTTCTCTGGAACTCACGACTACCAGGACCTGGAAGCAGGGCAGCACATGACAATGTGTGTGGCTCCCAGGCGCTTGCAGTGCACTTGTGCTACACATGCTACATAGCAAAGGAAGCTGGATCATCAACGCGTGTACTACACATGCTACATAGGTGCGAGCTCAACCCCACTGCCTTTACAGTAATGTCAGAACATTGAATAGGCGCCTCCTTAAGTTCAGCCGTGCCGCCAAGCGGCGCATGCAGAGTTTGGGCCTGGGCGAGAACGCCCATGGCGGTAAGCTCTTGGAGCTTCAGGACTGGTCGTCATCGGTGCTAGTGCAGCTTCAAGCTCCAGAACCTTCCAGGTGCACAGCTCCTTCTCTCGCTCTCCCTCCCTCCCTTTCCATCTCCTTCAACAAGGAGCGCGACTCCGCTTACAGTGAGGCGGCACTTGTGCTTCCACCCATGCCATCCTCACTGCCAGAGACGCAGCTGGGCCTGGCCTGAGGGATATCCCCATGGGCCCATGGGTCTGCCAATTTCCGAAGAAATTGCTGGAATGGGTTGGGTAGCTCCTTCCAGCCGTGGACTTCCATCATCAAAGAAGCCCTGAGCTCAACTCTTTGCGAACACCATCAGCGAACTCAGTCAGTCAGCGAGGCGGACCATTTCCAATCTTGCCATGAACTGCGGGAGCCTCGCCAAAAATATGGCCGTTCCATCCTAGCATGTCCCGATTTTTATTCCCGCGGAGAAGGGCAAAGTCGACCACTTTGACTCCGGAAGCCCAGCTCATGACTTCCAAGCTCACAAATGCACTGCCTCACAAAAGGGGCACCTCGCCAACATAAATCATAATCATAGTATGGGCCAGGTGGACCACACTGCCAGCTTTCCTTTGACCGCTGCCGGCAACTCCCCCTTGGGGGAAAGGATGCTTATGATGCTTCGACGCCTCAAAGTTATGGCTTGGCTCGAATGGCCTCCAGTGCCTGAAGAACTGAAAGACCGGATCAAGAGCAACCATGTATGAGACCAGGCAGAGCTGCCGTCCACCAGTGAATCTGCGAAGTTTCTCTCGTCTGGAGATTCTGGAGTATCCGAATCCGCAAGCATTCGCCTTCCGAGTAGGCCCTAAATCAGAGACCCTCAGACCCTGGACCTTGCCGGACGTAGTTTACTTGATCATGGGTATATGTAGTATTGGAGCCGAGGCTATGAAGCAACGGCAGACTTGAAAAGACTTTGCCCTGCCATTGTGCATCTGGATGGCACTGCAGCTCGGCTTGCCCGCGCCAGTTTTTTTTTTTTTTTTGGGGGGGGGGGGGGGGGGGGGGGGGGGGTAGGGGTCGTGTTGCTTGTAGAAATGTAGTTGTTGATGCCATTTGCTGTTTGCACTCGGCCTCAAAACCTGAATCTTTAGGGTCTCCGGCTTCGGGATCGACTTTGATGTTCTCCTGGGGCTCGTTTCGATGGTGCAAAAGGGTGTGCACTGTGAGGGTCGAAGCAGTTGTGGTTTGGGATGGCGAGGAATTCTGTGAAACATTGACAAAAGATTTCTTGCAGTGGCACAGGTGAGACCTCAAATTGTGGATGAGCGCGATGGACTAGCCTTCCAAGTCTTGGTGCGATACGTTGCGCGTCTGCAATGTCTTAATTTGGAAGGGCTCTTTGGGTCTTTGGGTGTACAGGATGCCGTTGTCCGCTGTTCTGTGGTGAGTGTTGAGGAGGCCAAGACGGGTGTGCACAGCTTCATCAACACCAGCAACTTGGACATCGTTTGAAATCGCAGTTGAAATGGAGATTTTGCCGTTCGCGTGCCTGGTTGATTGGCTGCGTTGAACCTTTGAGCACAGCTGCAACGGCAGAGCCACCCAGTCAGGCTTCAACATGCATGAGGATCCGATTGTTTGCACTCCACAGGACAGGCGTGTCATGAGAGAGACCAGTAATCATTGCTGCTTTTTTCTTCAACACTTGTGCGTCTTTGGACTTTGCAGTGGCCTCTGCAGTTTGAGGAGCAGACTGCCGAAAAGAACCTAGAGAGTTTTTTTTCGTAGAGAAGCTGATTGCTAGAGTCAGGATGTTGCGTTAACGGGTTTAGGCTTACTAGTAAAGCTCACGCGGGCCACCTCGGCGCGGCCTCCACCTCAACTTGAGACTAGCGACTGACAAGCCACCAGAAGGTTTGTTAAGCACTCAGGGCTAGGCCCTGAACCCCAGGGCCATCAATTCATCCAAAACAAAGCTTACGGGAAGCCTCGACTTTTTGGCCCCGGGCATAGGGAGTCATAGGAGGTCCATGGCAGTTTCGCCCGCAGGTCCATAGAGGGCCCATGGACATCTATCAGATTCCATAGAGGGCCCGCAGCGGGTCCAGCCGTGGGAGGGGGTTGGATAGGGTGTATAGGGGTCCACGACCAAAGGCGGTCCAGCGAGGCTCCAGGTCCATACCATTCCAGAGACTTAGATAACTCCGGACGGTCCGCTCCATCATTCCCAGAACCAAGAATCAAGACATAAGGGTTGTGTGGAGCCATGGCATAGGGGTCCATATGACATTGAATCCAAGTCACAGGGTCTGTCTGTAGGCGCTCCATAGGGGCTTGGCTTGAAAACCCGATGTTTTAATGTAATGCTGGTCAACCCTAGTTGTTGCTGCAGTTGAGCTGCGGACCCCGTCAGTCGACTGTAGCTGTAGCTGTGCTTGAGCTGCGGATGAATTCTCTGCGTTTGCAGATTTTTCCCAGGACGCAGTGCGCGCCTTCAAAATGGGTGCGTGCGATGTGCCTCAGCTGGCTTTGGAAGTCCTTGCCTGAAATCTGCAGACTGTTTGCCTTGAACCTCTCAGGTGTTGGCAGCCTTCCCATTCTTGATTTGGATGCCCACATCAGCTGCAGACATCATCGCATCTGGGTACGTAGAAGAGCGAGGACACAAGCGTGATGCAAAAAGAATTCTGCACTGTAGCGAAGCCGCGGCTGTTAGCTGGTTAGCTCAGCAGAGCGCAGCATCGTACACCTTGAAAAAGCCCCGCCTGGCACAACACTTGCGCTGTGCAGGCGACGTCCATGGATGCGACGGAGAAGCCGAGGTATGGTTTTGGCCTGACATTGCCGAGTGTCATAGCGTGTCAGAGGTTGTATCTGGACATTGGACACTGCGAGAGCCGATGCTTTTGACACATTTGCAGATGGCGTACGTACCTGGTGGACTTCGGCTCCGCCGTCCTGGGATCAGGAACCAGGACCCTGGTAATATTTCTTGTATTCTCTCGTCATTTTCGCATTGCCCTCGATCCCGTGCTAGGACTGCTGAGGGTACCTTCGGATACATGGCACCAGAATCATTTGGTCGGATCTTCACTCCGAAGCGCTCTCCTTACCTTCTGCTGGCTTTGTCTCGTCTTTTGTGTGATCATCGGGGTTGAGAGGTGAGAGGTTGATGACATGTATGGCACGGATCAAGTTGAATCTGGCATTCGGCGAGTTTTCGGCATGCCACAGCATTCCAGGTCCGATCTTTACAGCTTGCGCCTCGGTCCTCTGCTTTTCCTTGTTGTAAGCCCCAAGGGGAAGCTCCTTAATAAGGAAGCCACAGATCTGAAATCTAGAAGGCGCCGTTGGATCCGGCTTTTGGGCACTGCCTTGCAAGATGAGGTTTCAGGTCCATGAGTCCAGCAGGGCTCAGCAGTAGGTTCAGGACATTTCAGGACTGCAGCGTTGGGGTGAAGGCCGAGACATTCTGCCAGGCCCAGACAAAGAGGATGCAACCATGCCCTGGAACGTGTTCTTGTTTTGAACCGTGTGCATCAGCACAGATAACTGACAGGGGGGGGGCCGTGAACACGCTAGCGTGGGACAGACACGTGACAGACAGCATCTACCAATTCCCGCAATCCCGCACCCCCGCTGCTGCACGGTTCAACGATTTGTTTTCTACTATACTTTTTCTACATGCGCTGCAGGTGTCGGTGCTACATTGTTGTATGCGGCGACAGGTTTGGAGCGGACAGCTTGGTTCTCGAGAGACGTAAGCTGTAACAGATATGACAACATTAGTTCGCGGAGGCCTGGAGCACTGCCTCAAGAACGCCTCAAGGCACTGCCAACAACACGCCTTGATGGCCATGACAATGACAGCAGTTTGCCTGGCATCTGCTCAGGTGAAGTTTCGCACAGCTTTTGTTGGCACTGTGTGGGAGAGACAGGCTCGAGATGGGGAGTTTGCACATGTTTCAATGGTTACAAGCCGTGCAGATCTGTGCAGATCTGTGCAGATCTGTGCAGATCTGTGCAGAACAGGAGGGTTGGTTGCTGGAGCTGTTGGAGAGGCTGCCAGGGCCTTGGCCTTCCAAGCGTTGTCGGGTTTCATGTCACGAAAGCTCCTTGGATCTTGCGGAGTTCTTGTTTGCAACCTTCTTGTTTTGGCCAAATAGGACTTTGGGGGACCTTTGGCCTGATTTTTCAGGGTCCCCCCCTCCCCCCAGTGACATTGAACCCGCCCACCCAAGGACTTGCAGCTTATGCGAACATGCTGCGCCCGAATTGCCGCAAGCACTGCAAACCCAACGCGCAAGCATATTCTGCCTGGCTATTCGAGCTTACAGCTTGCAACTCGCCCAAAGTTGAATCCTTTCGTGTGGCAACTGCGCGTAAGCCTTGCCTGCCGAAAAACATCTGCCGTGCCACCTTCGGGGCCCCAGCTTTCGTTCACCCTGTTCTCAAGTTTGGGCCACCCTCAGGCTTGAGCCCGCGCCCGAAGATCGCTTCAGTTCTGCTGCGGAGGCTGCGGGAAGTCAGCAACACTCGCTTTCTGCTTCTCAGAGCTTTGCAGGCCCTGGCATTCTTGCGCCAGCCGTGGCAGCCAGAGGCAGGGACTCACAAACATTCACAGATGCTCAAGCCTAGACGGGGCCTTTCAGAGCCGCCTCTCACAGGTTCAGTCATGCTGAGCACGGTAGCTTCACAGTTGAATCTAGCTGGCCCGATCTACCCGCTAGCAAGATGTAGCGAGACTCCAAGCGCTGTGCTGTTCTTGTAGTTGGTATCACATGTCAGCTCAGTGAGGTCTCCATTCAGATGGGCCAGCTGCCTGGGGTCATTGCCAAGAAGCAGGTCCGAAAATTCCGAAAATGCCGAAACATGCGCCGAATGTGGGGAAGGGAAGCGAAGGCATGCATTGATCGCTACAGGCCACCGTGGAGCCTCCGCGTGGGTGAATGACTGAGAAGTTCACGGCATGTCTCTTCGCCATGGTCTCTGACTCTGCCAAAAGGTCCCGAATTAGTGTGGACCGGCAAGGAGACCAGCTCAGGGTGCCCTTTGTCACGCTTATCATTGGCTTATCGACCACGGCAAGTTGCCTCGAGCGTTGAGCGCATCCCTCATTTGCAGGTTTTGCTTCCGCCCGTAACATGGGAATCACGAGCTTCGATCGGCACGGACCTTATGCTGCCGTGTGAAGACGTTTGCCAGCTCGCGATTTGCAAGAGCATGGGTTCAACACGGCTCCGCCGTTCTGAGCAGTACTGAAAGAAGCGAGAAGTTCAGGCGCCTTTGGAATCGCCTGGACTTCATTTACTGCTGTGTGGACAGCAGGGGTCATAGCTGCTGGTGCCTCGTTTATGGTACGCCCGTGCCTGGATTTTGCAACGACCAGCTAGTCTCCGATGACAAGCTCTAGAGCGCTTCCCAGCGTGCCAGGCACTCTTCAGTCTTCCGTTCTGGACTGCAGGTGCTGGCATGCTGAAGGACAGTGAAGAGAATGCAGTGTAGTTGCAGCGAGCAAGTGAAATAAATGGAACGAACGCTTTGGATGGCCTAAGATTTTATTTCTGCATTATCCTTGCAAAATGCTGAGCATGCTACAATCCCTGTTTCAATATTTTCAATCCAAAGAAATGTTAAAAGCACTGGCAGTATGCACTCGTAAGCAATCGATTTTATAATGGCTTGTTCTTTTGCACCTACCAACTGGTGAGTCATGACTGATGACCAAACGGTCAGGACACATTCGGCCCTCTATTGAGGGGAGCGGCGGAGTTGCAGATCCGCCGTGACCGGTGGATGCTGAGCTTCGAGCTGAGTTTCCTGAATACCCATCTTAAGTCGGATGTGCAAGCACACATCGGATTCCCGGCCTGCGGAAGCAGTAGATGAAATCAATGTTTGCTCGTGCAAACTGCCATCTCTTTGGCTCAGGCTGGGTGAGTAGATGCGAGCATCTGCAAGGGCAACCTTTTACAAAGTTTGACAGGCTTTTCGTACCAACTGCAGGCCGATCTACCAGTATGACGAAGACATGTAAGACATCCAGAAGTTCACTATTGAATTGAGGGAAGCAAGCACACACTTCGATACATTCACAGCCGACATGTGCGCCTTCTCAGAGCCTAAAGCCTTGCCTGCCAGGTGTCACCACAAAGGTCAAGACCTGCACGACTGTCAGGGAACAGCAGCGGCTGTTACATCTGCTACTCCGCTCCGTGAACGTAGAGGCAACGTGCCAGATCTACAACGCATCGCAGAATCTCGCACTCCCGGATGCCGCTTTTCAACGTGGGGCTCCTGTGACCGGAAGCGATGTGTCATCACTGTGGGACTGGAGGATCTTCGCATCTACGTTGCGTACCATAAGCCACCAACGGTTTTTCCATTGAGTCGGCTTCGCATGCGCTGTGGCCGTTCCCAACTCGAACTCAGTCGTGCCAGTTGGACCACAAAGTTCCTCCGGTACCTGTGCTGCTGCGAGCCGTTCACCACGGTCTGCAAGCTGAAGCGCAGTCAGGTGCACAGCCTGCATGCAAACCAGGGTTGATCTGCAGTTTGTCGTGGGTGGCTTGTTGTCTACAAGGTTTGAACCCCCAAATCTACTTTACTTTCAGAAGCACCATGGAGGTAGATATGGCCTGCGAAAGGTGAAGCGAAAGCTCCGTGAAAGGAAGACGGGTTTCTCCGGTTTCTCCCAACGAAGCAAGCTCCAAATGTGAGAGAGTTCAATATATGGTTTCTGGCACCTGGAAAGAGTCCCTTTAAAGCACTTGTAACGGTTCTATAAGGAGTGCAGAATGGGGTTTTCAACAGTATGAATGTGCAACAGAAAATGGATTTACCAGCTCCAAGTCTTGCAGAGCGCCGTACTTCGCTTCATGCAGATGCCTCGTGCGCAGCTGCAGCTTGTCCATGCCCTCAGCCCGCATCAAGCCATGGCGCGACTCACATCCCCGGCTGCATGTCGAGTCGCCCCGACCTTCCGCCGAACCCGCACTCAACTGTCAGTCATCAGTCCAATGGCCTCACGTGTCAGCAAGGGGTGGAAGGGACAGAGTCCAAAAACTGAGGCAAAGCAATGGTGCTCGAAAGTTCAGGTTCATGATAGTTTTAGGGTTTTGGGATGTGGGGTTCAGGCCAAGAAAATTTTTGGGTTTAGCGTTGTCTAGACAGTTTGGGGTTGAGGGTTTTCCGGTTCCATTGGGGTAAATAAAGTGAAATGGTACACGGTGGCTTGGGGGGTAGGGTGTTGGGTTTTTGGGGTTGAGGCTTAGGGTTTAAGGTTCCATGGCTCTAGGCCGCGTCTAGAGGTTCAGGGTTGTATGGGTTTGGGGTCGTCGAGTTTTAGGGTTCGAGACCGTTATGGTTCAGAATATGGGCTAAGTTCGCAACATTATTGTCACCTTCTTCAAAGTTTGAAGCGAACCAATGGCGTGTTTTACAGTTTCTTTTTGTCCATATAACAGTTCCTCGTGCCTTTGGGGTTTAGGGTTGGAGTTTCAGGACGAGAGAAGTTTTAATGTGTACAGGGTCCAGACAGTTTGGGCTTGGGTACAGGGTCAGACAGTTCGGGCAGTTTGGGGTTGTCGGGCTGTGTGGGAGAAGAAAAGTCAAAAAAATAGTTGTAAATTTAAGTCAAGGGTCCTTTTAGGGTTAGGGTGTAGGTGTTTTGGTTGGTTAGGGTTTAGGTTGTAAGGTTCCCATGGTTCTAGGGCTTTGTTTGGAGGTTGTAGAAGTTTGGGGCTGTCGAGCTTCTAGGGCTTGAGACCATTGTTATTCATGTTGGGGTATAGGGTTTCAGGTTCCATGGCTCCAAGGCTTTGTTCCCAGGTTCCAGGCTGTAGGGGTTTGGGGTTTCCGAGTGTAGGGTTTGAGACCATTCTTATTCATATTTAAGTTTAGCTTTGCTTTTTTTCCAGTTCATCGTTGGCTTCAGGGTTTTAGGGTTTGGGGTTTCAGGCCACGAGAAATTGTCGGGTTTACTGTAGCGTTTTAAGGTACAGGGGCTAGACATTTTGGGGTTCGGGTTGTTTGGGGTGAAGGTTTGCGGCTTTCGAGTTCTTGGGTTTGAGGCCATTGTTGTTCTTACAACGTTTCAAAGACAGCAATATATTGTTCGTTCACTCGAAAGATTGAAGCAAAACAAGTGCGTTTTAAAGTTTAGCTTTGTTCATATAGCAGTTCCTCATGGCTTCAAGGTTTTAGGGTTTGGGGCTTCAGGCCAAGAGAATGTTTAGAGTTGAGCGTTTTAGGGTACAGGGTCTAGACAGTTTTGGGTTGAGGGCTTTCGGGTTGTTGGGCTTAAGAATGGAAGGTCAAGTGTAGTTTTCATTTGTAAGGTGTTGGTTTTTGGGGCTGGGGCTTAGGGTTTAAGGGAACATGATTCTAGGGCTTTGTTTAGAGGTTTGGGGCTTCCGAGCTTTAGCGTCTGAGAGCGCTATTGTTTTCACACAGCAGGTCAAAGACAGTAAGTTTGCAACATTATTGTTCATTTCTTTCATTTGCTCAAAACTGAAGCAAACCAATGTGGCGCTTGAAAGTTCAGGTTGTTCATATAACAGTTTGTTATGCAGTAGGGTCTCACGCCAACAGAACTTTTCGGGTTTAGCGTTCTAGTTTACGGGGTCTAGACAGTTTGGGGTCGAGAGTTCTCGGGTTGTTTGGGACGAGTCTGGACGAGTAGCCAAGTCGAGAAAAGCACAGGCCGACCTGAGTCGAAAACAACCTAGGTTTAGGGTTTTTTGGGTTTAGAGTTTAGGGTTTTTAGGGCGGTTTAGGACCTAGGTTTTTTTGCGGTTTAGGGGGTTAGGGTTTCGGGGCTTTTTGGGGTTCAGGGTTTCGGGTTTTATTAGGGTTTAGGGTTTAAGGGTTTCTAGGGTTGAGGGTTTCGGGCATTTTAGGGTTTAGGGTTTAGGGGTTTCAGGGTTTAGCGTCTAGGGCGTTTTCGGGTTTAGGGCTTATGGGAGTTTTTAGGCTATCTGAAAGGGGTCGGGGCCTATCGCGGCTTGAAAAGCGGGGAGGTCGGGGGGCTTGCAACCCCCCCCCCCCCCCCCCATCTGCAAACACAACACACGCATGACGGGTTCGAAAAAGGATAAAGCAGGGGGGGGGAGTTCAAGCATGATTGGCTAGGAAAAAATGCCTTGCACGGCTCATTAAGCGCGGGGGTTACGGCAGCCCCCGTCCCCGTTAACACAATGCTCGCATGATGGGTTTGAGAAAAAATGCCTGAAGCAAGCTTGCACAGCTTAACAAGCGGGCGGGTGCGGGGCCAGGCGCAGTCCCCCCCCCCCATTTGCAAACACAAAGCTCGGATGATGGGTGCGACAAAGATTAGGGTATTGAGGTTTAGGGTTTAGCTGAATGTAGGGTTTAGGGTGCAGGAGGTTTTGGGGTTTAGGGCTTACGGTTTTTTCGGGGTTTCGAGTTTAGGGGTTGTTCGGGTGCTCGGATTTCTCGCTTTAGGGCTTAGGGTCGGGGGCTTTCTTCTTGGGATTAGAGCTTATGGGTTTGTTGAGGTTTCAGTTTTGGTGTTTCTTGACGTGCAGGCTTCGCGGTTCTACGGGTTCAGGTTTTGGGGGGTTTCAGCGTTTGGGGTTTAGCGTTTTTTTTGTTTAGGGTTTAGGGTTAGGGCTTAGGGTTTGGGGTATTTTAGGGTTTTGGGTATTTTAGGGTTTTTTTAGGGTTTATCGTTTTGGTGTTTGTGGTGTTTAGGGTATAGGGGTCTTTACTGTAGGGTTTAGGGTTTAGGGGTTTTTAGGGTCTCGCATGATGGGTTCGAAAATATCCTTTTGAAGGAAGCTTGCACGGCTTCAAAAAAGCAGGGGGTTGGAAGGGGCCACAGTCCCCCCCCCCCCCCCGCCCATTTGCAAACACAATGCTCGCATGGTAGGTTTTTAAACAACTCATCTATGCTTGAAGCAAGTTTGCACGGAACCTCGAAACGTTTGATGTGCATAGGGACCTATACGTTTCGTTGTGAAGGTTAACTTTGGTGTGCATAGGGTGGTTTTCTGACTCAGTCTCTGGTTTTCTGACTCGTGTGTGCTCGGTTTTCCGACTCACGCCTTTCCACTTTCTGGCTCGGTCCTCCCGGATTTCTGACTTGGTCCTGCGCGTTTTCGATTCGTTTTCCCTCGACGGCGGTCACCCGCATGTTTGGGACACATATTGTCAAGTGTAGTTTTGGGGTTCAGGGTTGTAGACCTTTTTTGGTTTGGGGGGAGTTTGGGTTAAGGGCTTGAGGGTCCGTGGCTCTAGGACTTTGCTGTAGGGGTTTGGGGCTTTCGAGTTCTAGGGTTTGAGGTCATTGTTATTCATACAACGTCTCAAACACAGTAAATTCGCGCCACCGTGGTTCCTCAAAAGATCGTTGCATGCCAATGGCGTTTTCAAGTATAGCTGTGTTCATACAACAGCTCATCATGGCTTTAGGTTTTAGGGTTTGAGGTTTCAGGCCAAGAGAAATTTTCGGGTTTAGCTTTATCTAGACAGTTTGGGGTTGAGGGTTTTCGGGTTGTCTGGGATAAGTAAGGTCCATTGTAGGTTTTGGGGTTTAGGTTTTTGCGGCGTGGGTTTAGGGCTTCGGGCTCCATGGCTCTAGAACTCTAGAACTCTAAACGTCCAGGGTGGTATAGGGGTTTGGCACTTTGGGAAATTCGGTTGCAGGGTTTGTAGCCTTCTGTTGTTGTTCACGCGTCAGTTCAAAGACAGTGTAAGTTCGCAACAGTATTTTTCACTTCTTTCAGTTCCGCAAAAAATTGAGGCAAACGAATGGCTCTTGACAAACAGAACTTACAAAGGCAGTAAGTTCGCAGCGGTATTGTTCATTCTTTCATTTCCTCAAAAGTTGAGGCAAGCGAATGGTGCTTGAAAGTTCAGATTGTTCATATAACAGTTCACCATGATTTTAGGGCTTTAGGGTTTCGGGTTGCAGGCCAAGAGAGATTCTAGGGTTTCGCGTTGTCTACCCAGTTTGGGGTTGAGGGTTTTCGGGTTGTTTGGGGTAAATAGGGTGAAATGGTAGTGTTGAGGTTTAGGGTGAAAGGTATTTGGGGTTGGCGGTGTTTAGTTCCATGACGTTCAGGGTTGTAGGGATGAATGCAACATCTCAAAGACAGGGAGTTCGCAACCTTATTCTGAATTTCCTCGACTCATTCCAAGTCTAGCTTGATTCACACAACAGTTCATCATTGGCTTTAATGTTTTGGGGCTTGGGGTTTCAGGCCAAGAGAAATTTGAGCAGGCGGTGGTGGAAAAAACCGTACCCGCTTTTCGTGTTTCTCTTGGGGCGGGGGGGGGGGGGGGGGGGGGGGGGGGGGGGGGGGGGGGGTGGGGGGAGGGTGGGGGGGGTGGGGCGTGGGGGTGGGGGTGGGGGCGGGGGCGGGGGCGGGGGCGGGGCGGGGGTGGGGGTGGGGTGGGGGTGGGGGCAGGGGTGCGAACATGCCCACAACACTGGACTGTTCAGCGTGTTTGCCAAAAATATATTGCAGGAGCATGTTTGATGTTTCTGCAACCAAACGTTGCCACACGTGTTCAGGCACAAGTGTTCATGCCTTTTGCGAACATGCCTTCAGATTTGCTTGTCAAGACCGGCACAGCGGTTGCAACGCTTTGACCCCGACAACCCGAAAGCCAGAAGGTGTCCGGGTGCATGGCGCTGAAGTCCCCTTCAACAAAATGATACCAACATTTGCAAGAACACAACGTTTCCGCAAAAACACCCTCAAGAATTGGCGTTGTTTTTAAGCAACCAAAACAAGCATTTCACCCAGGCGCAACGCTAACTTTCAATAAGCATAGGGTACGGTTCCAACGGCGGCGGGAAGGGGTTGAGGGTTTTCGGGTTGTTTGGGGTAAAGAAGGTCACGTGTAGTTTTGGGGTATAGAGTTTTTGCTGTTCTTGGGGCGGTTGGGGTTAAGGGTTTAAGTTTCCGTGGCTCCTAGACTCCTAGACGTTCGGGTTTGGGGCTTTCGAGTTTTAGGGTTTGAGGCCATCGCTCTTCATACAACATCTCAAAGACAGTAAGCTCGCAACATTATTGTTCATGTCCTCACACATTGAGCAAACCAGTGGCGCGGTAAACTTAAAGGATGGTCACACAGCAGTTCCTGGGTTTGGGGTTTCAGGCCAAGCGAAATTTTAGAGTTTAACGTAGGATAGATTGTCTAGGCAGTTTGGGTTTAGGGCTTTCGGGTTATTTGGTACATAAAGTGTCACGGGTTAGGTTTTTTCGGGGGCACGGAGGTTTCAGGTTCCATGGTTCGAGGGGTTTGTAAACAGATTCGGGTTGTAGAGCTTTGGCGCTTCCGAGTTGTAGGGTTCGAGCCCATCATGTCCTCAAAGGATTGAAGCCAACTAATCGCACTTAAAGTGTCGCTTTGTTAATATTAATGTCTTCAGGGTAGGGTTTGGGGTTTCAGGCTAAGAGAATTGTTAGGGTTTAGCGGAAATCAGCAAACGGTAACGAGTCCGGGACCGGCGAAAAAGCAGCCAAAGGGCAGTGGCAACCCGTGATTTTTGGTGACGGCGCCCATAAAGCGCCCTGCGTTTGCGCATTCAGCCACTTTCGGGTTTAAGGGTTCATGTTTCTTGTTTGGGTGGGGGCAAGAACGTCATTCGTATTGCGGCCATGCCCACATCACCGGTATTTACAGTGTTTACGCCTCTTTGTACAACATGCTGCGTAAGGATGTGGAGCAAGACACGTTGTCACAAGCATCCAGGCCTTTGGCGACCATGCCTAAAACGCTTGTATTTACAGCGTTTTTGCCTCTTTGTACAACATACTGTGCAAGGATGTGCAACAAGACGAGTTGTCACCAGTGTATAAAGCCTTTGGCCGGCTTTTGCATGAAGTGAAAGGGCTGACAAAACATTTGGAGTCTGCGCGAAAACGCTGCCGCCAGCTGGGTGTTCGCACGTAAACCTCTAAACATATCGTCAGTTTCAGGGATTTGTGCCCTTCTGCTTGGTGTGAATAGTGTGTTTTCCTAGGGTTTTGGCAACTTGCAACAACAAGCTATATGCAAAAATGCAAGGCGCACTACACGCGCCGCAACCTGTTTTTTCCTGGTAGGCAAGCAACCCAAAACCCATCATGCGAGTCTAGCTTTTGTTTGTGAACAGGAGGTGCTGTGCCCTCCAACCTCCCCGCTTGTGTTAAATCCCTGCCAAGTTTGTTCGAAAGAGCTTCAAAGAACATCAAGCCATCAAGACATATTATTCAATCGTTTTCAAACCTGTGAAGCGAGCATTGTGTTTGCATATGGGGGGGGGGGGGGTTGCGACTTCCCTTAAAACCACATGAATCCTTTCCAAGCCTTGTCAAAAGCTTTTCGAGGAGATCGCCGGCCAGTTCTTGAGATCGACGCCCCTTAATTACATAACTCATCAGTCGTAGAGCATGAACGCTACCAAAAAATCTAAGTTTAGATACGTTGCAACAAGGGGATTTTGATGTTTCTGGATACTCCAAGAGACAGTTGCAAATCCAATCATCCGTTGAAAGTTTGACTATAAACAAACCGTCAAACTGTCCACCAGGCACAACTTCGGGTTTTTTCATGGAAGGTGGGAGGTTGAGAACTGTATGCCACAAAACCGCCGCGCAATACAGATCCATGGGGGTCGACATATATACATATATGCACATGCCTATCGTGATTTTCTGAAACGAAGCCCCTGTAAGGTGGACGATCTTCGCAACATCATCTTCCCTCAGCCAGACAAAGTACTGGTGCCCTGTGGCGTGCCCCTTGCAGTCTTCCCACCTGAAGTACTCCATACTATATCTGAGTTTCTGGTTCTTCCGACTATTCATGATACGATGCGAAGTTGCAAACAACTTCGTGCAACACTTAGAGCAGACAGCTTCTGGCAACACTTCTACATCAAACTATTTCCGGTGGCTGTGCGGGACCAGGTGGAGGAGTTTACTGATTTGGGCGGCTGCACTGTCTTGGACAAAGTAGCAGTAGCTACTTTACGTTTCTGCAATGCTTGTCATGCACGGAGGCTTGCGCCTGGGTTTTGCACTTGTGGTGCAAGACCCCGATTCAACAAGTTTGTCCACTTCGACATGCGTGCCGCCGAGAAGCTTCGTCTTGGCCTACACAGTTTGAGCATGCACTTGCTGGTGAAAGGTTTCGACTTGCAAACGGCCTGTCTCTGCTTTTCTTCTCGTTATCATGGTAACTCTCTGGCCAGTTTGCTGCGGCAGACAGCAGCTTTGGGGAGAATGCAGCTTCTCGCATGTGAGAGCGTCTCTGGGGAGGTCTTCGGTGCTTTCTTCGGCTTCCCCCTCCAGCGCCGTTCGGCACGGGCTTACGGTGCTCGTGACAAACTCATGCTTTTCAACATCCGGTTAGATGGGACCCTGCGCATCTTCGAGGCCGGTGATGGAGCTGATCGAGAGACGGTACAATCCTTTCAGGACGCCCTTGTGATCGGGACGTCTTCGGAAGCAGCCTTGTCGCTTAATTGGGACCTGAGCATGGCAAGTTGCGCTAACACGAATCTCTGCTCCGGTTCATGTCTATGTGCTTCAACTGTGCCTTTGAGATCTGTGGCGACATTTTCAGACAAGAAAGCCGAGAAAATCCTAGACCGTCGGATCTCTCACTTGACTGCTGCAGCCTTGGGAAGTGATGCGGAAGTGCAGCGTAACATGACGAGGCAGTTGCTCCAGTTGTCTGGACATCAGGACATGAGGCATTATTTCGGATAGTATGGAGAGTGGCCGAACCGTTCTGAATACGGCAAACGACCCACCCGGCAGTGCAATGCCATTTCCCAATATTACGAGCGTGCTGGAATGGCCATCTCTGTACATATCAAGGCTTCCGAATTCAGGCCATTTCAAGCCGAATTTCATTCAGAGCGTGTCTGATGTGCTTCGCACCTCCCCAGTGAACTGATCGCCATGCTTCTTACTGTGCTGTGTTGCCCATGACAGCTAGTTTTTTCAAGCCTGGTTTGAGAGAAGGGCAGCGAGTGCAGGCCGGGTGAGTGGCAAGGTGCTCGAGGAAGGCAGAACGGCCAGAGCCTTAGAGTCGGAGGTTCGCCGTTCTGCCGTTCTTGTGTTTGTCAGATTCATGAAGCTGAGCTGATGTCTCACCCTCTCAAGTACACGGGCGCCCTCGTTTCCTCGTCTTGCAAACGTGTGTGGCTCGCGGAATCTGTTGCAGAGAGCCCAAAGCACTCGCTGCAAGCCACAACTCTGGACACCTGCAATAAAGACCCTGAGACCCGCAAGCGTGTCATCACCCACCACCACCTGGCACCCCCTAAACAGAAATAAATCGTGCCGATCAGAGCCAGCCTAGGCCATGGAAGCTATGACAGCTTAAATCAGTTACATAGAAGGATAGCTGGCACCAGTACCTGTCCCATCTTCAGCTACAGAACAGTCTGACATAGCTTCAACATGTCCAATGACACGCTTACCGGGCTCTGCCTCCAGTACTGCCTACACTGTCTGGAAAGTGTGGCACAAGCAATGGAGAACTGTTTCGTTGCAGAGAGTTGAGCTGTGGCAATCTCCAAGTTAGCATGAAGCTAGTCTTTGTCAGTAAGCCTGCCGGAGGCCGATCTTCAGTGCGTAATTGCACGAAGTCCCAACACTGGAGGCTTGAACGTCGTGCACCTTGGAAAGCAACGAGTGTTTGAGCCTTTCTCTGTGCGTGTGCGCGCTGCGTGCCTAATTACAACCATACCGCTGTCAGGTTGCAAGAGGGCCTTGTGAGCGTGACGGTGCTGGGAACTCAATGAAAGCGTGTTCTCGAAGATGAGCACCTTTGCGCATAACAACAACACGTAAGGTCTTGAAAGAGAGCTTGTTTTGTGCAGCTGCCTTGGCCCAACGCCCCAAGAGTCCCGAAGAGTCCTAAAGCCAAAAGCTCAAGGCAGCTCCCCTCCCCAGCACCGGATCGCATTGCATGTTTCGTTCTGAGTTCACTGTCTACACACACACACACACACACACGTGCATGAACATGCTGTACTGAGCACTCGACTCGCATCATGCCTTAAGGCAGGAAAACCTGCCAGAGGTGGAGGCAGAGTGGTGCCTTGCTGGCATGACATTTGAGAGAGTTTGAGACAGACCTGGTTCATCCAAAGACTTAAACAGTGTCAGCATCAGGGATGGTGTCTGAGCTTATCTGAGGCTCCAGGCGGTGATTCAGGATCACATCGAGCGCTGCAAGTGAGTCGGCGCTATTCAGCTGCCTTTCGTCCCGCGTTGTCCCATGCTGTCCCAGTCGTAGGCTCGAAGGCTGAGAAAATCTCGCCTTCGAGCTAACATCTGGGAGCTTGAGCGGGCCAGCAGTGCTTCCACTCACGAAGTGAATTCACGAAGTCATGTCGCTGTTTAACAATAAGTGAGCACCGGGGCACTGCACGGCCCGGCTCTCGACGCAACCAATGAGCGCAGATTCCACAAAGTGCACTCATCCGCGCCCAGATGAATCTGGATGAATCCCGGCACAGCTGAGATCAAACAGGTTTGAGCCTTACACAAGAGAAGAGATCAAGAGCAGATGATAGCAGGCTGAGGCCACTCTTGAAGTTTTTGCTAGTTATTCTGATGAAGTCTTACCGCGCGCGGTTCTTCTTCGGTTCTTTGAAGGACTTTCCGCTGGTAGTATCCCGTCTCCATCCGAGCCTGTCATTTAGAACTGCACAATCGCAAGCATCATCTCACGACTGCGAGGAACTGCCTTGATGGAGAATGGAGAGATACAGACCAGACCTAGGCAGATACGTTGTCTGGCGTACGATCAAGCGGATGCCGCATCCGGCTCTTAAGGCTAGGACACTTGCAGTGCAATGCATACTTCATGCCATCTAAGTCGCCGACTTTACAGACATGGTCTTGCAAGCTTTGTGATGGCTGGCATGCTGGCATGGTCATCGGCGGGTTTGCCGATCACTGCGCCTGCCCAATATGGAGGCCATATCGCCACGCTCGGATCCGAATAATGTCTGTTGGTGCCTGAGAGGATGGCTCAAATGGGCTCGACGGCCTCAATGACATCTGCAGCAAGTGGAATGGCCCTGGTGGCCTTGGCGGGTTTGATTTCAACACGCTTAGGCAAAGTTCAGGCGGAAACTTGCAGCTTTTCTCTCGTGCAGGCGGCAATACTATCACCATATATCGACAAGGAGATGTGATTCTGCTAGGCATGTGAGCCTGTAATGTTCTGTCATCACAGGCTGCAGCAAGTGTACGTGACGTGTGCGTGCAGTCTTACTCGACGTCCTACTGTTGCGTGGCTGGAAGTCTGGCATGCGGACATGCTGACGAGTAAAGTTTGTGTTCCGCATTTCTGAGCGCTCAGCGATTCGGTGGTCAAGAGAAGCACACGGGTTGAACATTGGACATGGTTGAGCTCAACCAATGGATTTCACGGCAGAACGCTCTGTGTACCAAGTCAGACTTGAGGGCTTCACGTTTCAGGTCGCCTGGGACATGGGATCCCAGCAACTCACCCACTCCCTTAGGTCTGTGCTCTTTTCAGAAGATCCCGCTCTTCCACTCAGTCGAAGATTAGCACATTTATGACTTCAAACAATTTGCAGCATGAAGCTTCGCAGGCGGGTGCAGCTCCAATGCTAAGTGTTACCACAGAGCCGTTGAAAGTACAATCCTCCTTTTTTAGCATTGGCTTGGAGATGCCATTGTCTGCACTCGACATGGAGATGAGGAGATGGGCTTCGGCTACAGCTTGGAACAGACCCGACTCCTTTGCAGGCACAGCTTGGACTGCTGAAATGAAGGTCTCTGTTCCTCACACTCTTTCCCATGACCTTGCAGGTAACACCTGCTGAGGCCAGCGCCGAGAAGGCTTGAGCAGTTCAGCACGTCGCATGTGCCACATGTGCACCGTACATCATCTCAGGCGTGGCCCAAGAAATGGTCTGTGGTGCAAGTGGACTCAAAGGCGCCGGATTTACAGCGCTAGGGCTTGGCCCGGACATGTCGGGACCGTCCGTGATGCAGGAAGCGCCGTACCATCTGGAGATGGGATCTTCGACGTCGCAGCTAGTTGTCAGGCGCTTCCTCATACATTGTTGCGTTCTGGACACATTCAAGACAGGCAAAGTCTACGGAGTAACTGTTTATGCCAGCACCAGGCGAGGAGACAACGCCGAACAATATTCTCGAGTTGCTGCAACAGGGATATCCTGGCACGTTGAGAACATGGAGAGTCACAGACTTCCCTGTAGCTTGCATGCAGAGCGATGTGTAGGCTCTGCTCACGCCATTTCTTTCACACCTGCAGTCCCCACTTGGGACTCCCTGGATCTAAGCTTTCCCAGAGACACCCCATGCCCACCCTAAGAGGTGGGAGAAGTGGGGAGGTGGAGCATCAGACACCTCTTATTATTAGAAGGCTCCTCAAAGTGCTCAATCCTCAGTAAGCAAGGACAGCATACATTGCATCAGGGGCACCAAACCAAGCAAACCAACAAACACATCAAACACCAGACGTGGAAATCCATCCGCCGCTCATCCCCCGCTTCAGAAGATCGGCAATGCCGAGCAGAAAAGCAGAAAGCCACTACATCACATCTCGACACGCAACCAAGGTGACTCGGCTGTTTCACGCTTTAACAGGCCGGCGTTGTTTCCTCCCGCGGCTCGCCTTCGGCTACCCTATTGCCACAAATGCCCCTTGGCCCCGTGCGAAAATGTGCGAAATGTGTGCTGCACCTGAAGCGACGCGGCCCCTGCCCTGAGCCCTGCTCTCTCTGTGTGGATAACACTCGCTGTAGCAATGCCCTCCCTCAAACAAATTTGGTCCGTGACAAAGGAGTCCCCAAAACTCCGAGTGAGGGTCAAGTCAGAGAAGATGCTTTCGAGTCAGGGTCCGCGAGTGGAGAACGCAAAAGTCCGGAGTCGAAAGCCTTCCAGACCCCTGAGTCGAAAAACCGCCCACGCCGTCATGCAGAAAATGCCCTGAGAGGCGTGGTCCCGAACCTCCCCGCAGAAAACCCCGAGCCTGTTCTCTCTCATGTGGTTGCGTGCTGCCTGTTTAGGGTTTGGCAACCAGCATCTCCTTGTAGGGTTTAGGGCCCTCCAGATAAAACATCTCCTTTTAGGGGTTCCGCATTAAACATCTTTTTCGGGCGAGGGGTTTGGTAACCAATATCTCCTTTCAGGGTTTAGGGTTCTCTCCGAATCCACAATCTCCTTTTAGATTTTACGGTTTGGCAACCAACATCTCCATTTAGGGTTTAGGGCTCGTCGAATCCCACATCTGTTTTTAGGGTTTAGGTTTCTCTGAACCCAGCATCTCCTTTTAGGGTCTAGTGTTTGGCAACCAACATCTCCTTTTAGGTTCGGGCTCTCCGAATCCCACAGCTGTTTTTAGGGTTTAGGTTTCTCTGAACCCAGCATCTCCTTTTCGGGTTTAAGTGTTTAGCAACCAACATCTCCTTCTAGGGATTAGGGCTCTCCGAATCCCACATCTGTTTTTAAGGTTTAGGTTTCTCTGAATCCAGCATCTCCTTTTCGGGTTTAGGGTTTGGCAACCAACATCTCCTTTCAGGGTTTAGGGCTCTCCAGATGCCACATCTGTTGTTAGGGTTTTGTTTTCTCTGAATCCAGCATCTCCTTTAAGGGTTGAGGGCTTGGCAACCAACATCTCCTTTCAGGGTTTAGGGCTCTCCGAACCCCACATCTGTTTTAGGGTTTAGGTTTCTCTAAATCCAACATCTCCTTCCAGGGTTTAGGTTAAGTTTTCGCAACCAACATCTCCTTTTAGGGTTTAGGGCTCGTCGAATCCCACATCTGTTTTTAGGGTTTAGGTTTCTCTGAATCCAGCATCTCCTTTTAGGGTCTAGTGTTATGCAACCAACATCTCCTTTCAGGATTTAGGGTTTGGCAACCAGTTTCTCCTTTTGGGGCTTAGGGTTCCAACATTTCGTTTTAGGGATAGGGATGGGTTATTCTGCGAGCGAGGTCCGTACGGGTATCACGCGGAGCCACTTCGTGCAACCTCATCTGATCTGATTCCGTACTCCGAAAGGGCCTCGATTGATCTGATTTGTGCCTTGCGTGATCCCGTATACGGATCCCGACTCGGGACACACACTCATCCGAAAACCGTGAGCCGATACGTGCTCCTACCGCGGGGGCTGTCCCGCGCCGTTTTCTGACTCACTGCTCTCTGTTTCGGACTCGTGCCCCCGCCGTTTTCTGACTCACGCCTCGCTGTTTTCTGACTCGGTCTTCTTCGGTTTCGACTCGTTTTTTCCGACTTGTCCTTCACCCCCAAAACTCCAGATGGGGGCCAGAGGAATGAAGCCCTGGACTTTATGGACTTTAGACCCTTTCTTAGCTTTCCTGCTTGGGCGATTTTCGGAGCCGGGCCTGACGCTACTTATCGTTGCGAACAAGCTGAAGCGGATCCTCAAACCTTGCACGCTAAAAAAGGGTGTTAGACGGAGCGGCTTATCTTCTTTGGACTTTCCATGGCTGTCATGGCTGTCCCAAGGCTGGAAGGCAAGGCCTTAACACCTGCAGAAAATCGCAGAAGGAAAACCTCTGAAACCCGAACAGGCCTTCCTCAAGAAGCTGTGAAACTGAGTTACAATTGCATGGAGTTGGCTGGGCGGCCGGCCATGACCAGGAAGATATCTTTGAAGCAACTGTTGCAACGGACGCAGTCATCACACGGCCTGTCAGCGAGGAGCACCACCACAGAGCCTGAGCTGGTGATGTGACGCGAAACTTGTAGGGGCTTGAGCTGAGAAATCAGGCATCGCACGGTCATCCAACCACGCATACCAACAGTCGAATACGTACCGCATGGCATGACACGGCCGCTGACTACGACTATGTGACTATGTTCGGCAGCAAGCCAGGAACGGCTCGGTGAGCGTTCCGGAGCCGCTGGAGATCGAGGTTCCTTGCGTGCTTCAAGGGGCTGCGCGGCTGCGCAGCAAGAGGTGCCCCGCCCAAGGCCTCGGGTTCATTCGGCAGTGCAGGCTTCTCCTTCCAGATCACGCTCGAAATCATGCTCGGGCTCGAGATCTCGTTCTTCCTCGTCTTCGAAGCCAGGCCAGCACAATCGGGGTTTGCTTATGTTGCCTTGTCGTATCGTATCTTGTCTTGTCTTCACTCAGGAATAGGTTGCCATTCTTGCCGTTGCTTGGCCCACGAGGCGCACAGAGCCAAGATGGTCCGAACGTTGCCGGCAGGCCCATGCCGTCTGTAGACAGTCGACCAACCATGAAATGCTCATGAAAGTATCTGTAGATACATTATTATATATATATATAAAGACATGTGCATTTGCTTTGGCTAAATCTGTCTGCCAACCATTTCGATTGGATGCGGCCATTTCATACCGGATCAAATTGAGACCTTGAGCCTTCTTCTGCTGCAAGGGCCCCGGACCGGGATCCTTCAATGGAGCATCAGTGTTTGCAGCATGCTGTTTGTTGTGTTTCTTGAAAGTGGATCCGCTTGTCTTGCAATTGCAAGAACCGTCGCAACACTCTTCCGCCACCCTTCGTTCTGCACGGCACTCTTTTTTGCATTGGACCCCCTTGACTGCCAAGGCTTCAGATGAGCTGGTGCGGCTGAAGTGTGAAGCGCATGGCCTCTTGTGGATGAGCCTTTTCCAGGCTCGCAAATGATTCAGTATTGCTCTGCACTGGTAGCTGGTAACGATGGACGAGAACTTCGAGCGCGATTATGTGCTGAAGTACCATGCGCATTGGGCGCATGATGCAGGCGCGGGAGTGGTGGAGCACTCAAGTCAGTGAAGATGAAGAGCACGGGCCCCAGCATTGCTCTAGCTTTGGCTGTACGGAATGGTCCTTTTTGACTACTCAGGTTTGACACCGGTTGCCTGTGCCTGGCCAACATTGACAATGAGCCGTGGCCCACAGCCGGACCTAGCAATAGCTGCGCATAGGAGCTGCAAGTGCCTGTATGTGTGTGTGTGTGAGTGGTCGAGCTTTACAACACATCGCCACTTGCAAGACCAGCAATCTCGTGGCCCTGGCAGTCGCCTGAAAGTTGTTCGTGCTTTGTTCTCAGGCCAAGCGGGGCAAACAAAATCATTACTGGAAGCTACCAGGGAATGCTTCGCATGTGCGCCCCTATTCACACACTTGCTTGCGAACACATCTCCAATTGACTTCCACCTTCAATTCCCATGGCAAGTCCTGATCTTTTGCAGGTACTACCCGAAACAGAAGGAGTACAAAATCGAGGATCTCATCCTGGAGAGTAACATGGAGGCATCCGACTGCGTCTAACCTGTTCAACGCCACTGCGAATGTGCTCAAAGGCCCCGATCCTGCAGATCGAGGCGGGTAGATTTGTGCAGGGCAGCCATGAGCCAAGAGTCTGTGGAAGCGCATCATCATGCCGAAATTGTCTGGACAGATGGTCGCGTCGTTGCTCAGGCCGAGAGATCTGCATGGCTTTGCTTCACCCGATGAAGCTGTCAGTCTACATGGTGTGTGACCCCCAGCTCAGTGACCGTTAGATTGTGGGTTTAGGGTGTGATCTTTTTCGGCACAGAATGTCAAACAGTGTGGACAGCGTGTGGACACATCGAAGTCTTGGGCACATTGCTCATTCAGTGTTGCTATGTGTTGCCCACCAGTATCTCAATGAGAAAGTGCGGCCAGATGCTGACAAGTAAGCCAAAGCGATCTGTGGAGGACTCAACTATAGGACCTTATAGGAAACTATAGGAAGTACAACGGTGAGGTAAATCGCACGCACAAGAAGTGGATCGCGAGCATTGCTTATGTTTGGTCTGCATTGAATTCCTTCCAGAACTTTTGACCAACACTTATTGTTCTTGACGTTCGCACTTCGGGGCTTCTCGTGTGGCATTGTCCTATTTGTCATGCCACGGTTATGGCAACTTGAGCAGCTCAGCACAATGCAATCTGACAAGGTCAGCGGTTTCCTCTGGTGGATCTGTCAACTACTACTCTGTGGCTCTGGCCTACGAGCACAGGCTTTCAAGGCGAATCCTTATCTCGATTGTTTCCGCTATGTCCAACTTCAAGACACTGTCCGGGAGGCCTGCTTTCAACATGTGTTATGGATGCTTTGGCGTGCGGCTGAGACTCGACGGTGCGTCTGGATGTGTAATGCTACCTCAACTGGTCAACGTCTTCTGGCTGTAGAACGTCTTCTGGCTGTAGCATCCTGCCTCTCCCGATTGCATGCGTTGTCAGTCGGTCTATGCTGTCTGCTGCTCTACCCCGCATGTGCTGCCGCAAGCTGCAAGCATCCCTGCAGCCCTAAACATATGACAACTCTAAAGCGGTCTCTTGTGCCGAGGTGGAGTCAAGGATCGTGACTACTTCTGTGTTCAGCTGGGCACTCAGTGTGCTGACGTTCGGTGCAGCCTTGACTTCAATACTGCCACCGAGTGCATTATGTCCAGGTCTTTGGACGGCGTCCTATCCTTTTTCGAGCAGGACTGGCATAAGCATGACTAGCTACTGCGAAGCTCATGACACCGAGACATGTGCACGTGCAGGAATCGTTCGCTTTCAGCCGAATGCTGACAACCAACTTCCTGCCACGTCCTGAGATGCCGTTGATTACTTAAAGAGCTTTGAGCAGCCTGAGCTCCACCCCTCAGCTCCGTCAAGTAGAGCTTTGGTGTGTGCCCTGCTCAGTTAAACCACTTAAAAAAACCACTTACACGTTGCGACACAAGATTTGCAAGGGTGCCTGGCCCCATATGCTATGTGCCAAAGATCGACAGCTTTGTCATATGCAACTTGGCAACAAGTCGGAGCTTGCGCCACACGACCATTGGCGGTGTGCCTTGCAAAATCATCTGGAAAACCGCCTGAAAGTTCCTGGAGCCGAGGCACCAATGCAATGTGTATAGAGGCCTACCGGTATCAGGCACAGGGAACAGTCAACGGGGATGCCAAAGATTTGCCACCACTGACACGTCTGATCTGAACTCTCATGTAGGTTCTTGCAGCAGCTGCAGACAACGTGGACCAGTCAGCAGGTGCAGAATACCATGTCGAGTTGGCTCAGCACAATGACATGGTTCGACATGTTGCCTGGGAAGATACAATGCCTCGCACAGGAGAGGGCGCCTCCGGGAAAAAGGTCCAGGCAGCCTCGTGCGATTGTTAGGAGCACAGGGTTCGGCCTCTGTTCCCGGAAGTGGGAATTGCGTCCCGTGCTTGATCGTCAGATAGGGGTTAGGTAGTCAAGTCGGTTTACTCCAATCATCCATGTTTCGCATGGTGCCGGGACAAAAGCTAGCATGTTGCGGCGTAAACTCGTTGGCCACAGAGTTTGGGCTTTGTTCTTCCAGGCGACGACTGACATGTAGTTAGCCGATCCAAGTTTCTAGAAAGACTGCCGCTGTCTCGCACATCTCGGCGATGGTCAGCTCAGCCGTAGACTAACGTACTTTACACCCCACATCTCGCACGCAGAGCGCTCCTCGAACTGCTGTATTTGTGAAGGTCGACTGGTCTACGAACATTGGGGAACATGCGCGGACCCTGGACTCCGCACACAGCTTTCCATAGACAAGGCTTTGGAAATTTCGAGCAGCTGAGCACACGCCTGTTTGCGCCCCTGTTTCTTTATCAGGCTCGAAGCATCGAGGTGGTGCGCTTTAGCCGTTCACTCTCCGCAAATCAGCAGGACACAAATGACGGACAGCTTTCACCAACGCATCTTGACGTTCTCCGCCCAAAACATGACCTGCGAGGAAATCCTGGTGGTGGGGGAGCAGACGATCTTTACTCTCAAGGACTGCACCTGACCCAATCCTGCCTTGTGGAACGTCACGATTTTGAATCAGCAACAGTAGCATCCCCCCCCCCCCCCGCCGAGGGGGGGGTGCATGTCTTGTCACTCGACCTGGCACATCTCGATCAGGCCTCTTTCGGCATTTGAGAAACATGAGGGAATGCCGTTCCGAAATCGTCTGCGAAAGGTTTGATGAACCACAACTTTTCATGTACCCCGCATGAGTGCACGAGCTGTGTTACGACGCAACGATTTGCGCATCGGCCTAAACACATCACACACACACACACACGCGCACACACAACCGAGGTTACCCCAAGTTGCAGGTACATCGACCCCGCGATTTTGGACAGGAAGGCAGAAGCAGGTCTTCATTGGTGCCAGACTTCTGCAATCCCTGACGCCGCCTGCTCCCGTCGAAGAACGACGACAAAGTACAACTAAACCTAGCTCTCAGGAACGCGGTGCGACACACACACGCACACATACATAAATACATACATACATACATACATACATACATACACACACGCACACACACACACACACACACACACACACACACACACACACACACACACACACACACACACACACACACACACACACACACACACACACACACACACACACACACACACACACACACACACACACACACCACACACACACACACACACACACACACACACACACACACACACACACACACACACACACACACACACACACACACACACACACACACACACACACACCACACACACACACACACACCCACACACACACACACACCACACACACACACCCACACACACACACACACACACACACACACACACACACACACACACACACACACACACACACACACACACACAACACCACCCCACCCACCCACCCACGCACGCGCACACACACACACACACACACACACACACACCCACGCAGGCAGGCAGGCAGGCAGACAGACAGATAGACAGACAGAGAGCGGTGAGGACAGTGGTGGCATCCGGCTCCAAAAGCGTCTGGCCGAGTATGGAATAAGTCACTGGCTAAGTTAAGCCAATCAGAACAGTTCATGCGAGCTGCTGCTACGCGTACCTCGCTGTGTGCTTGTCTCAGCTGCCTCTCTGGCGTACAAGATGCCGCCCGAGTCACCAGACGCAGCTACCTGAGTTTGAGACCGATAACATCTTAACGGCGTTGCATGTCGTTGCAGAATGTCGTCGTTTACATCCCAGCTCCTTCTTGTGCATAGGTCCCTGCGAACCACAACTTGATCCTCGGAACGAGCACGGGCAGAGCACTCAGGGGTCTACGGGAAGTTGCAAAGGAGGTTCAACTTTCAGGCCTAAACTCACCAACTTGACTAAAATCCTGAAGTTTCAGACAGCAATGTCAAAGGCAACGGAAGGTCAGGCGAATGTGGGCTGTTTGGGACTCTGCAGCTTTTCATAGTACACGAATCCTGCATCATGTCACTTAGGTCATTGTCTGGTGCTCAAAGAAATGCAGCTTGTCTGGTGCGCACGCCTTCAGGGCATGGTTCTGGCCTCGTCAGGGACATGAGAGCTTGTCTTGATAATTACCCAAAGCTCAAACTAAAACCCTTCATGAAAGTACAGATAGCACAAGCAGTGTAACAAGTCACACATCAGAATGATGTGCATAAATGTCGTGAACGATAGGTTCCGACGCAAATCTGCGTCGACACTGTTGGCGGCGTGCGAGGCACCCATGCCTCACAACGCAAAATTTGCGCCTAACCTTCTGTGTCGTGCAGCAGAGCATATAGGCATGGTGGTGCTGATGGATGGCAAGGGAAAGCTGCAGGTCTGCTATTTAGGTGCTGCACTTAATCCAGGCTCACGTCGAATGCCCAAGGTATTTGCACCGTCCTTGTTGTGTCCTGGCGTGTTCACGTTGGTTGAAAGACCACCGTTTGCAAGCAATTCAAGAACATGAAAGCTGTGCGATGCTGTGCAGCCTTGGTGCTCCTTTTGTCAAGGCACTGATCCGCCCACTGCGAGCTTGGTCAACACGGAAATGAAGGCAGATAGAGATTCTTTGTAGAGTCATTCAGTGGGACTTGTGATGAGAAGCAGAAGTTTGAAACATCAAGTGAACACCTATGAAACCCCAGCCTGGCAATGAATGAACTGTTTTGGCGAACTTCATGCTAAGCAGAGAGTTTCGCTTCAACGCGAGCTGAATCAAACAGCTACAGCTTTGTTTCGTGAGACGTGACTGCTTCGTTTCTGTCCATGTGTACTCGTTCTCTCGCAGGAAGCTGAGGAGGGAGTGTCGGGAGTGGCAACCGTCCCGAAATTCATTTTCCAGCAACAGGCAGCACAATTATTGCAGCAATGGCAAGTGAAGACCATGCTCTCAGGACAGCGAGAACAACCATCATTCTCGGGCCAAGATATCTGAGGGTTGTTCAAAACCCCCCTTGTCTTCGAGTTATACTGGGGCGACCATCAGATGATGGAAATGAGGGTCCGCGAAAGTCCGCGATGGGCCCGCGAAAGACAAATCACGCTTTCGCGAAGTTTTGTGTTAGTACTGTTTGTGCTGAAACTACTACGGGTGTAAAATATGCTCCGCGAAAGTCCGCGATGGGCCCGCGAAAGACAAACTGTTTTTCGCGAAGAATGGTCGTTTTGCCGTGAAGCAAATTTCGAACATTCGTCATCTCAGAATTGCGAAATCATCCCCAAACCCTGTGAAATCACCGAGCGAATGACCTGCAGAGATATTGAACATTGCGGTCTAGCCGTTCAGGAGTTAAACTACGATGAGATGGAAGAGGAGCATCAGGACAGATATGGACGGAGACTAGAGACTGACATGACTGACATGTGACATGCTTCTCAGCTTCGCAGCTACCAGTTTTACTGATATGCAAGGAGCTGCTGAAGGTAATTCGGCAAGGGGCTCAAGTCCTTGTTGCACCAGATGTGAGAAGTGGTATCGAGTGGAAGGTAGCAGCATGAAGAGATATGAAAAGTCTAGAAGTCCGCGTGGGCTCTGTAGAAGTGCTGCAGCTGGCCAGTCGACACTGCAAGCTGCCCTTTCTCGTAGTCTCATACCCTCATGCGCAACTCCGGTGGAGGGTGCACGCCGATTTGCGGTTGCACACGCCTCTTGGGAAACGCTGCCCCTAGTCCTCCTGGTGTGAAGCCCTGCTGCCGAAAAGGAGATGTTGGTCGGGAAGCCGCAGACCACAGAAGGACATGTTGCATGGGAAACCGTAAACCCTCAACAGACACGTTGGGTGAGAAGCCCTAAACCCTAAACCAAGAAATGTTAAACACAAACCCCCAACCCTGAACCCAAACCACAGACCGCAAGCACTCGCCTGAACCTTGCTCATGCACAAAGGATGAACCGACAGCTCCAACCTGGACCCTGAAACACCCTATATTTAAATGAAGATTATTCGGTAAGTTCTGAACCCTAAAGGTGATGTCCTACGAGTGCTGTTGGGTGGAGAAGTCCTGAAATTTCTGAAAGGAGATGTTGGGGGGGAAAGCCTAATCCACGAAAAGGAGATGTTGGGTGGAAGTCTAAACCCTAGACGAACATGGTGGGTGGGAAGCCCGACACTCAAAAGGACATGTTGTGTGAAAACCATAACCCCAAAAGGAGGCGTGGGGTGTGCAGCTGTAATATAAGGAGACATGTGTGAAAAACTTTGAACCCTAACAGGAGATGTTGCCGGCGAACCCTGAACACGAAAACATTGTACGCGACAACCCCGAACCCTTTTGCCTAAAACCCTACAACTTAAACCCCGAACCTTGAAGCTGAGAGGGCAGCCCGTCAGCCTACAACCTGGGTGTCGAAACTCTAAACCCAAAAAGACTTCGGGTATACTCCGAAACCCAGACAAGAGATGTTGGGTGGAAAGGTCAGCCCTGCAAGGGGATGTTGGGTGCACATGCCCTTGAACCCGACACCCTAAACCCGGAAACATAGCCCTTTTCGTTCCCTGAGCCTTATACAGGCCTATAAACCCCTGTCACCCAAAAAGGGGGGTGTGCAACGCGCTGGGGCCACTGGAGAGTGCGCCTTGGAAGCTGCCATGCTCTGCCAGGCTCTGCCAGGCTCTGCCATGCTCTGCCAGGCTTTGCCAGGCTCTGCCAGGCTCTGCCCTTTCCGTCCTTTCCGTCCTTTCGGCTGAGGCAAACCCACGGCGACGGCGCCGCCGAGCCGGAAGAAACCCTTGTCGTGGACTCCCAGGTCAGCTTCGTAGCCACGAGGCGTATGCAGGTGCACTAGCAGGCCCATCTAGCCCGGTGCAGGTTAGAGAAATTCAGACAAGACACGGTGGACCCGCAGCGAATCGCAGCGAACACCTCAAACACCTGCAGGTGCCTCAGGTACTGGACCTGGGCATGAACGAGGACGACTGCGATGCAGATTCTTGGCAGCCGAGCGCAATCTGGAAACACCTCCTGCCTTGAGATGTGTATAGGCTGTATACGTGTGTTAACAAACTTGTAGTTAATAGTCACACTTTTAGAACCTCTTGCGCCAAGGATGACCCCGTGGGACGTTCAGACGGTCGATAACTAAGTTCGAGCTCAGCACAAGAAAACATTTGCAGGCGCATGCCTAGTCACTCTTGCTCGAGACACTGCCAAACGACCTCAGGAATGGTGATGCAGCTTACAGTGAATTTGTGCGTCACTCTGGGTGGTGGCAAGGCCGTAGAAAACGTCGGTAACTCTGTTTCCCAAGCAAAGATCCAAAAGCAAAGATCGAAAAGTTTGACGGCTTGTCTGTCGCGATGGTGAGGTCTCCATTACCTTGAAGGCTCTGCATGGCGCATCATGTACTGTCGAGTCCCAACCGACGTCCCCAACTTGGCACTTAGACGCAGCTGGCGGCAGGCACCACAGTGCTTTGCGCTCTCGCAGACATCAATTTTCATAGACAAGGCGCGACTTACGAACTTGCAGCTCTACGCTTCATATGTCATGTGAAGGGCAGCAGGCCGTGAACAGAAGATAGCTGAAGTGATTTGATGAACGAGTTCCCGCATGCGTGTCCAACTACTTCTACTACTTGTATAACTAGCAACAGTAATTAGTCATCATCATAGCTTGGACAAGGTTGCGACTTCAACTTTTTTCCCCACCTTCGGTGTGGGGTTGTTAGATGTTTTAAACTCAACTCTTCTCCTCGCCCGGAACTCTTCTCCTCGCCCGGTCTACTCCTACAGACTCCCTCCTGGAGTGCCCAACCCCAGAGTCTCCCTGGAGTGCCCAACCCCACAGACTCCCTGGAGTGCCCAACCCTTCTCCCTGGAGTGCCCAACCCCAGAGTCTCCCTGGAGTGCCCAACCCCAATTGCAAGCAAAACTAAGAAAGCGTATTTGAATCAATGTGTCTTTGTTTGAACATCCTATTTGTGCTCATTCCTTTTACGAGGAGCAAGGTGGGGATGTTGGAAGTAAGATAATTCAATCATAAGGTCGAGCCTGGACGACCACCAGTGATCATACCGATCGTCTTTCGTGTGCTGTGCCCTCAGTCCCTTCGAAAGCAGTGCGTGCTTTGAGTCCTTGTGCTTCCAATGAGGTGGAACAAGATCCTGTGTTCGAACTTAGAAGTTGCTGTTTGTGCATCGTGCCCTGTTTCCCGATTCACAAAGGTCAAGGGCAGGGCTTGCCAGTTTGCAGCCTGTGCCGGGGGAGAGATGGTCTCGTGACGGCCCCTGCCAGGTACTTCTCACTGAATAATGAGCCTCGCACTGTCGCATCCTCCTTCTGGTTGCCATTTGCCTTAGTGGACCCTGCCCCAGAAAGCTTTCGCTCTTGTCACGGAACTGCTTATTCATGCCATTCTCGGCTACGACAACTGCCAACCACGCAGGCCAGACCAATCCCGCCAGTCAAAAACGCCAAGCACAAGATTCAGCTGGACTGCAATAAGTACAGCCCTCAGCTTGTGAGATGCAGGCATGGTGTCGGGAACATATTATCGAGTGGTTCAGCCAAGGCAGCCCCCGCAGTTGCAAGTGTTGTTTGCCGGCCTGCTCAGCCAGCCGCACGTGTTTGGAGCCTGGTGAGGTACCAAATTGTACAAATTCATGAGCAGTCCTGCTGCTTGCTGAGGTCAGCTGCGGTGAGCCAGGGGATGTCAAGCGCTCATTGCACACCTATGTAATAATCAATTGCGAGAAGAGTCAGTTGTCACATCATGTGCTTCGCGCTTGTGGTAGGTCCAATCTGCTCTCTATTCAGTACGTCTCCGGAACGGAGGCAACAGTGCTGGTGCAGAAGACCCAGTTTGTTCGCCTGTCAAGCCGACGTTGCGCAGCAATATGCAGCAATCCATTGCCAAAGGCAAAACAACACACATGGTGCACAAGACATGGATGATGCTAAGGCTGAAGAGCAGCGGGCGCTTCTGTGTTCAAGCAACAGAATTCGCGGCTCTCTGGGTTTTGACACAGGACAGACGTTTTGGAAAGCAGCCGCTCAGCGTGAACTTTTCCATGCTCGTGCACGACATGTGAGGCATGTGAGTTGAATTTAATTCCTGAACTTGGACACCACACCTGTCACTCCATGTTACAATGCCATCTTCCGAGGCTCCGTCTTTACGAATGACACTTGTCCAAAATACATTGAAATATTGTAATTGGCCCTGAGGGTTCGATGTGTTGTTGGCTGTTGGAAACAAGCACATGCCAAGAATTCTCAACCAGTGACCGCTTCCCAGCTTCGGACAGGTCGGTTCGTGATTCAGATCGGTTTCCGGAGGTTGGTTGGCTGATTTTCACTGGTTGCTAGCCGAGTGTGCTCATATTGTGTCTCAACCAGCTTGCACAACAACGACGCAGCAAATGACTTCTAAAATCGGGCAGCCAGGTTGGTTCCAAAGCAAGTCCATATTTCGAAAAGCTACTGGCACTTATCTCGTTTAGAGCATGCTCTTGGAAGCGGATCATCGTGCGACCGAGTGGCACGTCAGGAGCTTTGCAACCGTCTCCATGAGTATTTTGGTCCTGGTGGCGAAGGCTCTTTGTTATTGATATAGAGAGTCAGAGGGTCAGAAAGTCAGAGAGCAAGCACGGGTATGGCACCATTGGCACCAGCGAGTTTTTTGATTGTGCTCGAGGTGCTGCCGCAGACGACGAGGTCAGAAAGGGGCGCTTGATTGCCAGACGCTGGCAGCTGGTAGTCGCCGTGAAGGTAGGGGTACTATGTCCAGTTCATGGCATGCAGGAGCCCTTCTTCATCACCTTCCAGGACAGTCTGCCTTTGTTGCTGTCTCAGGTATGGCATGAACCTGACATCGAAAGTGTCAAAGCAGCCTATGCTACTGAGGCATGATTACTTTGCATTGATCGATGATCACTTCGACCTTCGTCGCCACCTGGACGAACTTCGAAAGGCGTGTGCCTCAAGAGCTCTGGCAGGAGGATGCGAGGGTTGTGGTGCTATGACGTGCTGCGTGCTCTGTTGCTGAGGATCTGGCAGATCGAACGCAGCAATACCGAGTTATCCAGAAGCGGCTGTTTGAAGCTCGGTGGTCGGCCGAAAATTGAGCTGTGAGGAATGCCAAGCTCGGTTCGGTTTGATGCTGCTTTGAGCTTTGAGGCTGGTGCGATTCAAGGATCGAAACCCGTCACCGCTCAATCATCTGGACACCCTGCAGGGATCTCACGCTGCAGCTTCTTCATGTGTGCAAAGTCATGCAGAGCCCATCAAAGCACTTCGACATACTAGGCTCAACTTGACCTTCGAGCAGACACTTCTGCTCACAGATGCCATTGATGACGTGGAGCAAGCTCTTAGAACGGCAAGCCTTGCAGACCTGAGAGTCTTGTGACGTGATCTCACGTGGCTCAACCATCGATGTGTTTTGCAGGTCTCTTGTCATCTTTCGGCTGCCACTGAGCCGGATGCCTGTGAGTCACACGTGACCTTGTCTTTTTTCCTCTGATTTCGCTCCGCTGCCGTCGGAGCTGGGACAGTTGAGCTCTGAAAGAATGCGCAAGGTAAACTGCGCAGTGCTGTTGCACTGGGCATGGTAGTCTGCACCCGGCTGAGGCTCGTTCTACTCCTCGTCAAGTTCAGGTTTGGCCTGGATGAGGACAACTTCAACGCTCTGCGGAGGCAACGTGAGAAGTGGCATGTTGAGTTCTTCAGAGTTCGCTCTTAATGTGGGACATGGATGGACATGGGACATGAAAACATTGGCTTCTTGCACTGTGCAAGGCATTTGAGTCCAGAAGTCTGTGACACCACTGAGCAGGGTTGGGAGGAGAAGGCCGACTTGCTCCGGTTTGCGAGGAAACACAAAGTAATCCTCTACTAATGCTGAGACAGACGTGCTAACATTTTTTCAAAACCCTGTCCTTGTCAGGTAGACACCTCCTTGCTTCATCTTTTGCGAACTGCGCTGGCCGCCCTCTCAGGTTCTACAATCGTGGCCGGAGTACTGCATTCAACCACGAATCAGAAACTAGAAATCTCCGCTTCAGCACCGCTTCAGCACCGCGAACCTCCCCACTTCAGAAGTCATGGCTCCCTTAGACAAAATCCATGCTAACCCCCCCCCCCCCCCCCCCCCCCCCCCCCCCCCCCTGGAATCCCCTCAGTTTGTGGGGGTCTGGAATGGTGACCCTTGAGGGTCAGGAACTCGGAGGTCTGAAATGGGGTTAGGACCATTTTAGATCTTTTCAGCTTACCCATTTCACGTCAACCCCTCGCTGAAGGGTCTCACGACCTTTCCGTTGTGGTCTAGAGAACCAAACCATAGCCAACACCGACAAGTCCATAACCAACAAGGGGTCTGAAACGGGTTTTTCAAATTAAACCCAGCTCCCAGGAAAAAAGCCACAGTTGGGGGTCTAAAATGGGGCCCCAACCCCACCCCTCACTAACTGAGGGTGTCCCTTAGACGGCTTCCAGCAGATCTGGATGCGGATCCCCAGCCCTGACAGGCTGATTCTTTCCAGCCTCTAGGCCTTACAGCGAAAGAGCAAAGATTCCCCAAATTGCTGAGCCAGAGCTGGCCATGGGATCACAGAAAAGCAGGAGGCAAGGATCAAGCCACGAGAAGTACCGATCAGTACTGCCGGAGGTGCAAATGATCTCATACGATTTTTCAGGGTCAGAGACTTGCCACGAGTTTGAGCTCGGGGTGCTGGGGCTCGGGTTGCAGACTAGGGCACGGGATCAAGCCAAACATGATGCATAGAAGATCATAGAAGCCACTGCGACGGACATCGCTGCAACCGTAGACAAGACTTCTTTGTTATCAAGTGCCGCTTGGCACTTGATCCTTACTTGTCCACAGCCCGGCGCCGCTTGAAGTCCTGTTATGCTTGGCATCTGATTGTCATAGAAGTGCCGTTGCGAGAGTTTCATCTCAGGCAAGGAGTGTGAAGGAAGGCAACAGCTTGCCCCCACCTATGAAGGTGCCTCAGGACAGTGCAGCAGTGCAATACGCACAGTAGAATGTGCGCACATGCCAAAAAAGCACACTGCTGGCTTGTCAGATTCTTTCAACTGCGTCATATGGTCCAGGTTCCCCATTCTTAGTGACTTGGTGTCAGAGTCATGACGCTTGCAACTTCATCTCACAGGCTCTACCTGCACAGATCCTCAAGGCTTTGCACCAGGATGTTGCTCACGTGCAGGACACCCTCAAGCTGCGGAAGCGCATCACCACAGCCGCTCAGCCGAATGCAAATCACAAGACTCGAGCAGACTTGAAGGGTTCTGAAGTTCTGATCGCTGACAGTGACAGAAACAGCCGGGTGCACTTTGCGCATCTTTGCGCATATCGAACCAAGCAGGGTTGTCATTGTTTCTCAAGAGCGATGAATTCAATGAATCAGCCGCCTTTCCGGCAAACTTCGGGTTGCAATACTTGGCATGTTTGTGGTTGCTGATGTTAAGCCCAGGTTGATGCTTAACGGATCAGTCCCCCCGTTTTCCTGCCTATTACAATGCTGGAGCTTGCTCATTGCTCCGAGTTTGAACTTCTAGTGCTTATTAATTAGTTTCCCGTTTAGGCTTGATTCATCTGTGTTGCGCAAGGTCGTCGACCGTCTGGCAACTGGGGCGCGCATGAGCGACGAGGCTGCTGCAGGCACCTTGCCCAAGCTGGCCTCAAATATATTCTGCAAAGGCTTTTGTGCCATGCTCCGGCAGGTGGCATAGAGCCTCCAGAGGAAGAGATGCCTGGAGAGGACACCTCTAAGCTGCTGCAGGTGGTCCGACGCATGTGCAGGCACTTCTTGGGAATGTCTCGAGGATGGCGAATGACATGGGCAGCCTGCGAGAGCAGGCTCATGCGGCTCATGCTGCACAAGAGTTGCGCCACTCTTTTCAATTTGGCGCTGCGCCTGATCTGAACACCTCAGGAACGGAATAGTAAGGTGGCAAGGGATATGTGTGAGGTTGGGTGGGCGGCTGCGGGTGCCTTGAGGTCTTATGGTAAAAACTCAACCGTCCCCAAGACCCCCAAAACTCTGCAACTGAAAGGTTTATTCGATCATCCCACCCCAAAGCGAACCATCGTCAAAGCCATCCCACCCTCTATTCTCCACGAAGGGAGAGGAGAAAATCAAAAGAGGGGTGGTAGTGATGGACAAACGCCCTAAACTTCCTAAACCTTAAACCTAGCCCTTAGCCCTAAACCCTGAACCCTCGACCCTAAACTCTAAACCGGTTTCGCGTTGTTAAGGTAGCCCTCAACTCTAAACTCCTCTGCCAGGCGGCGTTGCAGCGCACCTGTCGAACCCTGAACCCTAAACTCTAAACCGGTTTAGGGTTTAGGGTTTAGGGTTTAGGGTAACTCTAAACCCTAAACTCCTGCCAGGCCGCGTTGCAGCACACCTGTCCGAAGGTGTGATCCCATGATGAGTCTCCTGTTTTTTGCGGCAACGGGTATCGGGACACAGGTAGGACCGCCCTCAGCCCGAAAACCCGGAACAAAAACTGGCCATGTTCGAGTAGACTTTAGACCCTAACCCCTAAACTCACACCTTGAACCTTAAACCCTAAACCCCAGGATTCTGCGCAGAGTGTACAACCTGTGCCACAAAAAGCAAGAGACAGTCAAAGGATCCTAACCCCGAGTCCCCAAAGCTTGACTTACTGGCTCTCATTCGGGAATGCGGGATGTAGGTGCCCCATAGAAACCCTTTCAACGGTGTATATATATTTATATATGGTACCTAATTCCCTAGCAGGTTTAAGATCTGAAGATGTTGCACCCTAGATCCCTTTAACTCCGGAAGTAGGAGCACCTTGCCCTTTTTGGAGGGCTACAGAAGGGGCACCCCTATCTGGGAAATGCGCACAGAAGCCTGGAATTATGTACCTCAGGGTGACTTGGGGAGCGGGAAGTCCACCACGATCGCAGCAGCCAGAGGCGCGTTACAAAAAGCGCTGGAAGAAAGGAGCTCCAACCCGGTGACGTGCCGCTGGTCGCTAAGCGGAAAAAGCATGACCGCAGGGCGTGATTCGTTAAGCCCGTGGTAACTAATCTTTCTTGTCATGGTTGCAAGATCGCGTTCTTTTCATGGTTGCCACCCTGCCCTCCTAGTAGATCTCTATGCCTGAACTCGGGCCATAACGCAGATAAAAGGGCGATGTGTGTGTGTGTGTGTGTGGGTGTTTGTTTGTTTGTTCCCTCGTTGGTTCATTCATGTGTTTGATTGTTTGTAAACCTTGTTGGTTTGTGTGTTGGTTTCTGGGTTTGTTTGTGTGCTTGTTTGCGTGCTTGTTTGCGTGCTTACTTTTGCGCTTGGTCCCCCGCGCGCGTGTGTGCGTGTGTGTGTGTGTGTGTGTGTGTGTGTGTGTGTGTGTGTGTGTGTGTGTGTGTGTGTGTGTGTGTGTGTGTGTGTGTGTGTGTTTTTGTTTTTGTTTGTTTGTTTGTTTGTCTTTTGTGTTTGTGTTTTTGTTGTTGGGTGGGTGAGTGAGTTGCATGTGGCAACGTGTGGGGCACCAAAGCGAGCAGTTTGGGATCACTTCTTCTTTGTTTTCATATTCGCACGCTCGTCGCACTCGGAGACGAGTCCAGACACGTGCCGCATGTACCGACTCTTGTTGGTCAAGCCGTGCACAGGAGTTGTTACGATGATCTAGAGATGCAGGACTGGTAGCTCTGCCAAGCCTGCAGAGGGCAAGACAGGCTGGCATGGATTCTTACATTCGCACAGCGTGCATGTCAGGAACATGGGGTGACCCGTGCAGGTTCCAAAGGAGGTGTTCTCGCAGACCAGGCCATCATGGTGTTCAAATGATCCACGACTGCATGTGGGAGTGTAGCAGGTTAAACGAGGCCAACGTGAGTCCAAGCGCTTCAAGGAAAGATGGCCCGCTCTTCAGATGTTAGAACTTTGGGCCAGACCACAACTACGTCTTTGCTTGAGATAGCAGGGGCAGCACAGATCAGCACAGATTGTCTTGGGAGCTTTGTCCAGGTGGGACTACTGTGACAAGTATGGCAAGGGGTTCTATGATCCACACCGTCATGAGCAGCGCTTCCTCGAGGAGAGTCCAGGGCTTCGCGACAAGTTATGTTCGCCCCACTTATTCTTCCACGCAGCTTCATCGCATCAGTTTCTGAAGGATTCTCGGGAAACCTGTGGCACAAAGTGCGAGTGTGCCAACATCAACAGTTCAAGATTTAGAAATCGAATTGTCGTCAAATCCTGCTGGTAGTGCTGGTAGGGGCTTCGGGCTGCCACTTCCAAACCGACGCTGGTGACTGATACAGAGCCAGAATGAGCCAACCACATGTGTAATCCGCCGCAGGATTTCATAAACCTGGAGAAGAAGCGAGCTGATGCTGGCAAGAGCGACAGCTACAGCCAGGGGCCGTGCAAGTCAGATGTTGGGCCATGTCTGTGACATCAATTTGATAATTGCTTGGCCGATGGCTTTCTCGATTTCTTGGGGTCATGTCGAACTGCCGGATACGGCCTGGCTGTAGGGCTCTTCTATTCGCAGCTCGTACGGCTTCACGTTTTGGAAAGAAGGAATGAAGGTCCTGGTTCGGGTCCCATGTCAAAATGCCGGTAACATCCGGTAACGATTGGTTTCTAAGTCCTCCAGAATTTGAATAATTTGACAAAAGCAGGGCAAAACTCAGACCAAAAGTATCCGTTCCGGGTATACTGACACGTGCTACATAGTGTTGCGCAAGCACTACACAGTGGTGCCCCGCGCATCAGGTAGCAGTCAGAGCCGCCCTAGCCGAAGCTCGTGCCTCAATTGGGTGTGGTGTGCTGGTCCTACATTCGTGCTATGTGTGTTATGCTCCGGGCTGCACAGCGAGTCCCAGGTAGTAGTTGCCGCAACAGGAGTCGCCGTCGAGGCAGTCGAGGCGCAGAGGGGTCGCGGCTCACATGTGAGGCCCCATCACCATAAATCATATCAGATGCCCTGTCGTCAAAACTGAGATGTGGAATGATGCGGAGCCGAACACATATTGGTCCCCACATCTCTTTCAGGACGAGTTCGCCGCCGGCGACATCGGCGACATGCACGACACGGTAGGCGTGCCGAGAAGTTCCGCGAATGCAGCACATCGTGATCAAGTTGATCCATCGTGCAGCTTTTCAGCCTTTGAGTGAAGCCTGTGATTGAGCGTGCTGGCATTTTGCCGGTAGGCGGCGGCATCGGAGGCGTCGCAGAGGAAAGAAGCGACGAAGGTCTCGCTCAAGATCAAGACGTCGTAAGGCAAAGCCCGATTCGATCTCAGGCCGCGCCTCAGACAAGTCATGGAAAAGCCCTTAGAGCCTAAAAAACGTGCTTTCGTCACCAACAAGGATCCCTCAAAATGCACGCGTACGCGCAAGCATACGCGCAAGCATACGCGCACGCAAACGCGCAAGCAAACGCGCAAGCATGCGCGCAAGCATCAGCGCAAGCATCGGCGCAAGCATCGGCGTAAGCATCGGCGCGAGCATCGGCGCGAGCATCGGCGGGAGCATCGGCGCGAGCATCGGCGAGAGCATCGGCGCGAGCATTGCGCACGCGCACACGCACGCGAACGCGCGCGCGCGCGCGCCTTTCATCCGGTCACGCGTGTGCGGACCTGCGCACTCGCACACCCGCGCCCCCGCGCACCCACGCACCCACGCACCCACACAGCCACACAGCCACACAGCCATACAGCCACACACTCACACACCCGCACACCCACGCACCCACACACCCACACACCCACAGACCCTTAGACCCACAGACCCACAGACCCACAGACCCACACACCCACACGCCCACACGCCCACACGCCCACACACCCACACACCCACACACCCACACACCCACACACCCACCCATCCACACACACACACACACACACACGCACGCACGCACGCACGCACGCACGCACGCACGCACGCACGCACACACACACACACACACACATGCAATCCTCCCTCTTCTCACGATTGTCTTAGAGGTGAAGATTTCAAAGGCATTGCCTGCATGAACCCTCACATGAGTGTACTCTAGATATAATACGAAACAAGGACTTGCACAGCGACCTAAACAGCATCACAAACAAGCCCTGTTAAAAGTGGCAGGTACGCTGCAATGGCCAGGTGCAGTATCCCACTTTGTGACCTAGCTTTGTTAGACTGGGTCAGTCACAGAGTGCTCAGTCCCCCTGCTCAAAAGACTTGGCGCAGACTGCAAACTGCGAAAACCGCTCTAAACAGGACGCTGTAGCTCATGGCACTTCAACCTTGGTAACAGTGATTCCCCCCACACACGCTGCAAAGCAGGGTAAGAATTTTGCTGCTGACGAAAGAGCAATGCTTGGCACGAGCGAAACGCGCGCAAAGACAAACTCACGGAGCTCGAAATGACGCAAAAGAGGCCATTAAATCAGGCTCCTCATTGACTGCAGCATCTTGATGCTGCTGCGACACTTCCGGTGGGAGCCATTTGCCCCACGCTTCATCCTGGATTGCCAATAGTGCGCCAGTAGGGCTTTCCAAAGGCTTCTTGGTCTTCACTACGGCTGGACCGGAGTCTTGCGGAAAATCTAAAGAATGCATGCTGGAAACGAGATACACGAAATCGATGCGAGCTGCGGATGCTCGCGCACGCCGTAAAATCCCCATGGCCCCGAGGCTGTCAGTGCCATGTGCCCACTGATACCACTGAGGAGGCGGTCCTGGAAACCCGGCTACCGGAAAACCAGCACACTGGTGACTCGAAGGTAGTTGCTTGAGGCTGAAAAGTATCGAAAATGGGACATCTGGAGCGCCACAGAATCTGACAGAACTTGTGCAACACATTGG